TTTGTCATCTTCCACTTTCGCTTTCATGAATAAATTTATGTATACCTATTTTTAGTTCTAATAAAGAATTCATTGAACGTTTACGTGTCCGTGTTTCATTGCGCTAACAGTATAGACATTGGAAATTTTTTTAAATCCACGCCTTGTATGGACCCTTGAAAAAATATTGTTTTAAAAATCCACGCTGTTCACGTAGCGAACATGGGTTTCGTATAATAAAGATAGTGAATGTCTTGCTGTGGGTCTCTTGTGTAAAAGAGGAGAATATTTAGTTAAACAGGAATCTATTTTCGTATACAGTCCACTTGAGATAAGAGATTAATTTGGTTGAATGTTTGTGCACAAGAATACGATAGAAGTTTTCAATTGCCCCATGTGGAATGTTTGGGTGAGATTACGGGGAGTTATCTTCACTACTGACTGATAAGCATGTGTCCACTACATGTATTATGGCAGAAGGGTTTACGCACTCTCTCTCTCTCTCTCTCATACACATTAGTCTAAGATAGGTTAAGTCATATTGTAATACTTAGTTCTTACTTAATTACTTAGCTGGCTTGTGACATACCTTTCATTCCATAAGCCGAGCTTAGAAAAGATTTCCAGGCGCGTCGTCGATCTTTTGCGCAGTTTTTCCAATTTGAAAGCCCATTTTCGGCGATATTGTCTTCGACTTGATCTTTCCAACGTATTCTTGGCCTTCCCCTTTTGCGTGAACCTTCAGCTGGTTCGCTTTTATATGCCTTCTCGCCTGGTGCATCTTCATCCATTCTCACACCATGACCTAGCTAACGTAGTCGCTGCAGCTCAATACGTCTAACAATGTCGATGTCCGAGAATAGCTTGTACAACTCATGGTTCATTCGGTGGTAATATTCACCGTCAACGCAGATCGGCCCATAGATCTTTCGGAGAATTTTTCTCTCAAACACTCCAAGAGATGCCCCATCTGCTTGCGTAAGTACCCATGCTTCAGATCCGTATAACAGCACCGGTGAGTTTGGTCTGGCGGGAGGTGGCCTTGCTTTTGAGTTGTTTGCTCAGAGTAGCATCGGTTGGTCATCAGTATCCTTCTACGAATTTCAAAACTGATGTCATTCGTTTTATTTATGGCGGTACCAAGGTATATAAAATCTTTGACTACCTCGAAGCTGTAGTTCTCAAGTTCCACAGTTGGTCAGAGGCTACTGGACGTCTTGCGCGTTGATACCATCAGATTGGCCTTCTCGCCGTTTACTGTCAGACCCGTTTACTGGGCAGACTTCTTCTCAATTTGTTCAAAGGTGGCTGTTACCGCTCCAGTGTTCGACCCATTATGTCGATGTTATCGGCGGGTAACATGTGTTGTTTGGTGTACAGAGTGCCATTTCTGTTCACATTTGCCCTTCTCCAGCAGGATGTTAAAAAGGTCACACGACAAACTGTCACCTTGTCTGAATCCTCGTTCGGTATTAAACGGGCTTCGAGAGGTCCTTTACGACTTTAATTGGTGACCTCGTGCCAGTTAAAGTTATCCTGCTTAGCCGAATTAATTTTGCAGGAATGGCAAACGCAGACATGGCTTTATACACCTCTGAACGGATAGGGCTGTCAAATGCGGCTTTATAGTCGACGAATAGGTGGAATGTGTCGATGTGTTTTTCGTGGGTTTTTTTCTAGGATTTGGCGCAGAGTGAAAATCTGGTCAATGGTGGATTTGCCAGTTCTGAAGCCACATTGGCATGGTCCAATAATGTCATTGACCATGGGCTTCTGTCGTTCACACAGCACACCGGATAGCACTTTATATGCGATGGGAAGGAGACTTATTTCTCTATAGTTGGCACATATTGTCTTGTCTCTTTTTTGTACACGGGACACAGGATGCTGAGGTTCCTCCAATCATAGGGTATGCATTCTTCTAGCCAAATTGTACTAATCAGCTGGTTCATGCTCCTTACTAGCATCTGACCCCCAGTCTTGAATATTTCGGCTTGTAAGCCATCGGCACCTGCTGCTTTATTATTTTTCAGCCGATTGATTGCTATTCTGACTTCATCTTGGCTAGGTGGTATACACCATCTATACCGTCATCTATTATTGGTTCTAGACAACAGAACACCTCCTTTATCACACGCCTTCGATAGACCCTTGAAAAATTATTTTTAAAAAAAATCCTCGCGTTGTAAAGCCCCTTTGAAAAAATATATTTTTTTCAAAATCCACGGCTTGAAAAAATATCCTTTTAAAAATCCACTCCTTTCGGATGGACCCTTGAAAAAAAATATCAAAAACACGCCCTCTCACATCCTCCCACACAACTTCTTTATTTAATATTTTTATCCAATATCTGAAATTGTTCAAAATCCTTTGAATATTTTTCAAACAATTCAATCCATTGTGGACCATATGATTGCCGACCGCTTGTCAAAGTTCCGCCATATTCCTCAGGCAAACAATCCGGTGAAATATGCCGATGTAACGATGACATATCCGAGCCATGAAAATGAATACGTTTATACATTTTCTCCTGTATCATTGGCTTGGCAAGGGCAAAAACCATATCGAACACTTTCGGATTATTGACAATGTGATAGGCCTTCAGACGTATACCCATGCCTTCCTGAATAAATGTGACTAAAGATTTCAGTAACATTGGGGTATAACGTATTGCCTTTTGCATCGTCAGGCCATCGAGGTCCAGTATGATGACAATTCCCGATATTTGTGTCTCCGGTTCGGCACGAAAATATTCACATTGCAGGATAAAAGATTGCAGCAGGGAGTCAAGGGTGAATTTTTTATGATTCCAATATTCTAGGAAGGGAAAGGACATAAAAAAATAGTGAGTGAGGGTGGGTGGGGTAGGGAGTGAGAGTGAAGAGTTATGTGTTTCTCCTTACTTCCCTGTAATGAAATAAATAGACGACGCCCATATTGATCCCTTTGTGGTAACATGGACCCCGTATAGTCCTGCATCACTTCCTTAACCGTGGCCAATGTCAAGTCCTTGCAAAGTTTCGTATATTTTTGGCGATAATTTAAATAGTTTTTTATCTGAAAAAAAAAATTGAATGAGGTTCTGAAATTCTTAATTAAAAAAAAAATACCATTTGTAAGGCTCCTTCAGGATAAAAATGGGCCGGCCTCAGGAAACTCAAAAGCCACACATCACTATCCAAGGGGCAGTTGAGATCAGTTTCAGCTGGAAATATTTTTCAAATGTCGATCCGAGGGAATTTTTAAAAAATATTTTTTCAAGGGCCACAGGCTTGGATTTTTAAAAAAAATATTTTTTTAAAGAATCCTTTCATACCTTCCAGTAAATTCCGCAATTCTTTGAGACCCTTTTCAATATTTTCCGGCGTTTCCCTTAAATCCTCTTTGGCCACAGCTTTAGCATATTCGCTTGCCTCACAGTAATCCAATTTGAAGCGAAATCCTTCGTATTCGAGCTGAGGTAGATCACTTGAAATTTTGTACATGATTTTGGATAATTTTTTTTTGTTCAAAATTATTTTTAAAAAATTTTGAATATTTTTAAAATTTGTTATTGTTTTTTTTTTAATTTATTTTTATTCTCCTCACTATTTTTTTAAATAGTCCTTTAATATCCTTTTTGTTTTACGCGGTCGAAAAACAGTCTCGTCTCTTGCGATCTTTAATACCGATTAATCGGTATATAGTTTTCAAGATCATTTTTATAGACTTCGATGTCCATTTGCAGATCGCCTTACTCATGTCATTTGAATTTTTTATTCAATATAATTTATAATTATAATAATAATCATAATGAGTAATAGGTGAGTTCGATGTGACCCTTGCTTGTAAGTTGAACATGCCCGTATTCGCTCGTGCTCGAGAAATTCCGTTTGCTCTGAGGGACAAATATGCATCGGATATAGACAGGAAATTGAAAGCCGGTCTCCTATAAAAGGGTCGAATTTTTCTGAATGGGTAACTACAAGCCCACATTCAATCCGAGAATTATTATGGCTGAGCATTTAATACCGAATCCGGAATTTTTGTGCTCGAGAAATTCCGTTTACTCTGAGGGAGGGACAAATATGCATCGGAGATAGACAGGGAAATTGAAGGGTCGAATTTTTCTGAATGGTCTTCAACAACGCATGCGGTGGTAAAGAAGAACGGCAAAATTAGAATCACGGGTAACTACAAGCCCACATTCAATCCGAGAATTATTATAGATGAGCATCCAATACCGAAGCCGGAATTTTCGTGGGCTTAAACTGAATCGAGCTAAGTGTGTATTTGCACCATCATCAGTTGAATTTTAGTGATATAGAATTTATGGAGAAGGTATACACAAGTCTGACATGAACGCTCAAGCTATAAAGGATGCACCCAAACCAAAGACACATGATGAGCTGCAGTTGTTTCTTGGGAAAGCCACTTACTATGGCTCGTTGTTTATTCCCAACTTATCATCCAGAGGTAGACCATTGCGAGAGGTGCTCTCTAAGAAACCATTTCAAAAGGTCGTATAGGGATTTGAGGAATGCGCTCATGTTCCGACCAGGTGTTAATACCATATGACCCTCAGTTACCTCTGGTACTTGCAACTGACGCAAGCAAGACGGAAGATGGAAAAGAGCGACCAATAGCATATGCTAGTAGGACACTGTCGGCCACAGAAAGGAAATACCCGCAGATTGATAAAGAGGCTCTGGCCATTTTTGTGGACAGCACAAACGTTCTTCCTGTACTTGTATGCGAAGCATTTCACATTGATAACGAACCATAAACCATTGACACAGATTTTGCACCCGGACTAGAGCCTTCCCACGCTTTGTATGCGGATTATTTGTCGAATTTTAATTTTGATATCTTCTTCAGGTATACTTAGGCTAATATCAATGCTGATTTTTGTTCAAAAGCAGTCCATGCGAATATGGTTGGCAAAATCCGTGTGGAACTTGATGATTTTGATGGGTTTGTTATAAGACAGATGGAACAATTACCGACAACAGCAGAGCGAATAGCATTGGAAACCCGCAAAGATGAGGAATGAGGGTAAGATTGTTAAGCTCTTGGAGGCTGAAAAATGCCTGAAAGCACACGGATATAAATCACCGCTTGCAAATTATAAACTGTCTGACAATTGTTTGGTATTTGAACATCGGGTAGTAATACAACAAAAATTCAGACACAAGATGCTAAAGGACCTTCATGCGGCCCATCTAGGCATTGTCAAAATGTAAGGCGTTGTCAGATCTTTTGTTTTGTTGACCAGGGCTGGACAAAGACATAGAAGAAGTAGCAAAGGCTTGTGGGGAATATGGGCAATTGGCAAACGAACCAACGAAATTTGTGGGACATCATTGGCAATATCCGAGAGGTCCATGGGAACGTATCCACATTGATTATGCCGGTCCCTTTGTGGGAAGAATGTTACTAAATGGATTGAAGTTGAGATAACTTCATCGGCAGCCACGATTGATGCCCTAGACGAGCTGTTCGCAACTTACGGAGTTCCAATCACGATTGTCTCCGACAAATGGCACAGGCTTTGCATCGGAGGAGTTCAATGATTACTTGACAAGAATTGGAGTTAAATACCAGAAATTTAGTGCGTCATACCACCGATCCAATAACGGGGAGGCAGTTCAGAAAATAAAAGCAGCTGTGAAAAAATAATTGGAGAAGGTATCCACATTGATTATGCGGGTCCCTTTGCGGGAAGAATGTTACTGGTGATTACTGACGCATACAGTAAATGGATTGAAGTTAAGATAACCTTCATCGACTTCATCAGTAACCATGATTGATGACCTAGACGAGCTGTTCGCAACTTACGGAGTTCCAATCACGATTGTCTTCGACAATGGCACAGGCTTTGCATCGGAGGAGTTCAATGATTACTTGACAAGAATTGGTGTTAAATACCACAAATTTAGTGCGCCATACCACCCTTCCAATAACGGGCAGGCTGAAAGATCAGTTCAGACCATAAAAGCAGTTATGAAAAAATAATGGGGGCGAGCAAAGAACGTTTACAATTACGGTTAAATTAGTACCTACGACATTATAGAATTGCTCCTCATGGAACTACGGGCAAATCCCCTGAAAAGCAGTATATTAAATTCACCCCGACATATCGCGTTTTTGAACCAATGCAAAAGAAAGAAAAAGTGGCTTAAAGGCATTATAGTGCGGCGAACGGGTGAAGTGCATTATTAAATTTTACATGAAGGGAAGGAGGTTAGACGGCATGTTGATCAGATACGAGTCTGAGTTTCAAATAGGGGAAATGGAAGTAAAATGGTGACCATTGCTCCTACCGAGTCAAAAAATGTTATTCGATGCTCGTCACGTCCTCAGTCACACTCAACAGCACAGGGATCAATCGAAACATAGTTACAAGTGATCATTCTCTGGGAGAGATTGAACCGGACGAGGCAGCCCTGGAAGACGGATTTATAACCCAGAAGTCTGAATTTCATGGGTTTACCAGTGGTAACATTGAACGTACCTCAAATACATCCCAGAAGGTCGTCAAGGCCAAGACGACAAAGAGTCCTCTTCTCACCACAATAAACATGGACAAAGGGGAGAAAATGTTATGTTTTACCTTATTAATATTATAGTTATGCCTTATCTGGCTACACTACACATTTATATTTGAATTCATATTATATGGCAACTCTATTTTCATCATTCCTTTAGCCTTAACCTTTACTCTTAGTCCTAAGGCTTCTTTTAACAATAAAACTCCTTTGAAAAAATATTTTTAAAAATCTACGCCTCTTATAGATCTTTGAAAAAAATATTTTTAAAAATCTACGCCTCTTATAGATCTTTGAAAAAAATATTTTTAAAAAATCCACGCCTCTATTGGACACTAAAATCCACTTTTTTTTGTGAACACACCCAATATTCATTATTATAATTATTAGCTAAACTCAAATACATTTGCCTCGAATCGAAATCATTCCATTCGAACTTCTAACACGCTTGGACGCGTGTTGCTCTAAAAAAAAATGTGTAAAACGATCTGCAAATGGAAAAAGAAGTGTATAAGAAACATATTGAAAACTATATACCGATTGATCGGTATTAAAGGTCGCAAGAGGCGGGATATATTTCGGCCGCGTAAAACTAAAAATATATTAAATGAATATTAAAATATAACAACAAAAATAAATAAAAATTACTAGAAAATTAAAGAAAATAAATTACAACAACAAATTATAGTTCCATAAAAAAAAATATATATACATATATATATATATAATCTTCATTCAAAAAATTAAATAAAAAAATAAATTATTAAAAATTATGTATCAAATATCAAGTGATCTCCCACAACTCAAATACGAAGGATTTTTTTTCAAATTTAATTACTGGAAATAACACTGGAAACTATTGAAAACGTTCCCAAAGAATTGCGGAATTTACTGGAAGGTAAGAAGTCTTTTATGGACCCTTAAAAAATATTTTTTTTCTTGAAATCCAAGCCTTTAATAGACACTTGAAAAAATTATTTTTTTGGCCACGGTTAAGAAAGTGATGCAGGACTACAGAGGGGGTCCATGTTACCACAAAGGGATCAATTTGGGCGATGTCTATTCATTTCATTACAGGGAAGTAAGTAGAAGCACTTAACTCTTCACTCTCTCCCTACCCCACCCTCCCTCACTTTCTATTCTTTTTTCTATGTCCTTTTCCTTTCCAGAATATTGGAATCATAAAAAATTCAACCTTGACTCCCTGCTGCAATCCTTTATCCTGCAATGTGAATACTTTCGTGCCGAACCGGAGACACAAATATCGGGAATTGTCATCATACTGGAACTCGATGGCCTGACGCTGCAAAAGGTCATACGTGATACACCGATGTTTCTCAAATCTTTATTCACATTTATTCAGGAAGGCATGGGTATACGTCTGAAGGCCTATCATATTGTCAAGAATCCGAAAGTTTTCGATATGATTTTTGCCTTCGCCAAGCCAATGATACAGGAGAAAATGTATAAACGTATTCATTTTCATGGATCGGATATGTCATCGGCATATTTCACCGGATTGTTTGGCTGAACCATATGGCGGAACCTTGACAATGGACCGACAATCATATGGTCCACAATGGATTGAGTTGTATTAGAAAAGTATTTAGAGGATTTTGAAAACTATCAGATATTGGATTTTAAATAAAGACTTTTTTTTGGATGGATATGAAGAGGTGTGTTTTTTTTAATTTTTCTTGGGGTCTATCAGAATTTGGATTTTTTAAAAATATGTTTTCAAGTGTCTAACAGAGGCGTGGATTTTTACACCCTGTGGTACAGGGTATTATGTCTTTGTGCATATGTTTGTAACAGGCAAAGGGAAACGAGATAGACACGTGGTTCCTTTTGAGAATATGCATAGAATCACTTTCTAAATCGATTTATGCAGGTCCGCCCGTCTTTCGGTCTGTCCATGTTAAATACAGGTCGAATTTATTATCCGATTTGGATGAAATTTGGCACAGCTCATTTATTTGGCCCAAGGAGGAACCCTATTGAAATTGGAGAAAATCGGTTCGGATTTAGATATAGCTGCCATATATATTTTCGTCCGATTTTAGGTAAATGGTGCACCAAACTCCCAATATTGTTGCGATTGAGACAAAATTTTGCACCGAGTATTAAATTGGGTCTAGATTGATGTATGCCAAGTTTGGTTGAAATCGGTGCAGATTTAGATATAGCTCCCATATATAGTTTTGTCCGATTTTAGATAAATGGTGCACCAAACTCCCAATATTGGTGCGATTGAGACAAAATTTTGCACCGAGTATTAAATTAGGTCTAGATTGATGTGTGCCAAATTTGGTTGAAATCGCTGCAGATTTAGATATAGCTCCCATATATAGTTTCGTCCGATTTTAGGTAAATGGTGCAATTTAAGTCCGATTGAGACAAAATTTTGTACTTAGTATTAAATTAGGTCTAGATTGATGCATACCAATTTTTTTTTTGAAATCAGTTCAGATTTAGATATAGCTTCCATATATAGTTTCGTCCGATTTTAGGTAAATGGTGCACCAAATTCCCCATATTGGTCCGATTGAGACAAAATTTTGTACAGAGTACTGAATTAGGTATAGATTGATATATGCCAGGTTTTGTTGAAATCGGTGCAGATTTAGATATAGCTCCCATATATAGTTTCGTCCGATTTTAGGTAGATAGTGCACCAAACTCCCAATACTGGTCCGATTGAGACAAAATTTTGCACCGAGTATTAAATTAGGTCTAGATTGATGTGTGCCAAGTTTGGTTGAAATCGCTGCAGATTTAGATATAGCTCCCATATATAGTTTCGTGCGATTTTAGGTAAATGGTGCCCCATACTCCCAATATTGGTGCGATTGAGACAAAATTTTGCACCGAGTATTAAATTAGGTCTAGATTGATGTATGCCAAGTTTGGTTGAAATCGGTGCAGATTTAGATATAGCTCCCATATATAGTTTTGTCCGATTTTAGATAAATGGTGCACCAAACTCCCAATATTGTTCCGATTGAGACAAAATTTTGCACAGGGCATTGAAGTAGGTCTAGATTGATGTGTGCCAAGTTTGGTTGAAATCGTTGCAGATTTAGATATAGCTCACATATATAGTTTCGTCCGATTTTTGGTAAATGGTGCCCCAAACTCCCAATATAGGTCCGATTCTGACAAAGTTTTGCACAGGGCATTGAAGTAGGTCTAGATTGATGTGTGCCAAGTTTGGTTGAAATCGTTGCAGATTTAGATATAGCTCCCATATATAGTTTAGTCGGATTTTATGTAAATAGTGCACCAAACTCCCAATATTGTTGTGATTGAGACAAAATTTTGCACAGGGTATTGAAGTAAGTTTAGATTGATGTATGCCAAGTTTGATTGAAATCGATTCCGATTTAGTTATAGCTCCCATATATAGTTTCGTCCGATTTTAGTTATCTATTTTATTTGTAAAAACAGAAAACCTGACACTGCTTTCCTTTTCCATTATTTAGTTATGTTATATATTTTATTTTACTATTTTTTTAATATATAATTTTTTATTTTGTTTTGTTTTTTTTTTTTTAATTTATTAACTAAAACTATTTCGGGAAAATTCTTTATTTTTCTTAGGATATATATATTGTTTTCTTCTTCTTCATCTTCAGATATATAAATACTCTATATATATAAATTTATTTTCTTATATTTTAAATATGTTTATATTACATTAATGTTTTGTTTTTATTTTTTTCTAGTATTGTCCATAGGTATAAAAAATTGATACTTGGTTTTTTATTTTATTTTTCTTTAAATTTCATTATTATTTAAATTAAAATTTTATTTTGCGCTATTTAATCTATTTTGTTTTTTTTTTTTAATATTTAAGGTCATATGTATATAAATATAAATGACTATACCTTGTTGTCTGTTTGTTTATTTCTTTCTTTCATTCATTCCTTCTTTTTTTTTTTGCTCTTGTCTTGAGTTGAACACTTTTGAATAGAAAAGAAATTAATTCAAATTAAAATTAATTTTCATTTCAATTTTTTTTCTACACAGTATTGAGTATAAAAAATATATATATGTGTGTATATAAAATTAAAAAAAAAAAACTAATATTGATATGCTACAATTTGCTACTTGTTGTGTCTTATTGTTATTCAGAAAAATATGGGGGGGGGGGAGTTTTTTACAATTCATTTGTTTTTCATAGAGTTTTTTTTTCATTTAAATATTTTCCATCACTCGATATTGCTTCCTAGTTTATTTAACTATATCATATTAAAAAAATTAATAAAATGAAAATAATTAATTAATTTGGCAACTAGTTTTCAAATATGACAGGGGGGGGGAATATTCCCCTAAATACAATTTTTTTTTCAGTAATCATAATAATAACTTAAACATAAATTAATATATAAAAAATAAGGCCTTTGGAATTTGCTTTTTTTGGAAGTTAATGGAATTGGTTTTCTTACCTTAAATAAATAATTAAATAAAATACAAGAAATACGAAAAAAAAATTAAGTACACAAGTTTTGTCATAGGAAGGAAGGCTATGCCATTGACATCTACTCTAAACACATACAACAACAATACATTCTAATGGGGAAGCAGGGAGTATATTTCATTTGTTATATACAAAATTTCCTAACATATTTTTAGCCTCCTCCTCTTCCCTCTTCTTCTATTTCGGTTTAATTTTCTCATACATATAACGTTGTATTTGTTTCTTATCCGGCTGCAGTAATTTGCGTTTATTGAATTCGAATTGCTGCAGCGCATATTCGTAGAGTTCATTTTCCATTTTCCAGATTTTCGATTCCATTATAGCTGCCACAGTTTCTTCACTGGGTGGACGTTTGTTGAGGGTATTGCGTAAATGAGATTTATTGGAATGTTGATAGTATTCACGGAAGCCATGGAACATTCTGGAAAAAAAATATTTTAATAAAAAATAAAATTAATTTCAAGGGGTGGATTTAAAAAAGAATTTTTAAAGGCAACAGCTCGGTGAGGTATAAAACCAGTAAGGAAAGTAATAAAGTCAGACTGGGCCGACTATATGATACCCTTCACCATTTTGCATATATTCTACATATGTATCCTAACAGATGTAGCGTGTTTTTTATATATCTATATTTGAACCGATTTCGGGGAAACTTGCCAGAGACTAATATTATATTACTTCAGTATGTTGTGTCAATCGGCCTAGCTATGGATCTTTTCACGAAGCTTAGCAACATCATTAAGTACCCTATGCTTACCCTTAAGTACCCTATGCAAATCGAAAGATATATAGGCCCTTTGGCGCACCAATTACATAAAATCGGAAAATATATATGGGAGCTACAACTAAATCTGAACCGATTTTCACGAAACAAATTTCGTGCAAATCGAATGATTTTCAGAGACTTTGGTGCAGCAATTACCTAAAATCGGATAAATGTATATATGGGAGCTACATCTAAATTTGAACCGACTTTCACGAAACTTTGCACACATCATTCTAGACTTAAGTCAGTACGCTATGCCAAAATTCGTGCATATTGAAAGATATATAGGGTCTTTGATGCACCAATTACCTAAAATCGGACGAAACTATAAACGGGAATTATATCTAAATCTGAACCGATTTCAACAAAATTTGGCATGCATCAATCTAGACCTAATTTAATACTCGGTGCAAAATTTTGTCTCAATCGGACCAATATTGGAAGTTTGGTGCACCAATTACCTAAAATCGGACGAAACTATATATGGGAACTATATCTAAATATGAACCAATTTCAACAAAACCTGACATATATTAATCTATACCTAATTCAGTACTCTGTGCAAAATATTGTCTCAATCGGACCAATATTGGAAGTTTGGTGCACCAATTACCTAAAATCGGATAAATGTATATATGGGAGCTACATCTAAATTTGAACCGATTTTCACGAAATTTTGCAAACATCATTCTAGACTTAAGTCAGTACGCTATGCCAAAATTCGTGCACATCGAAAGATGTATAGGGTCTTTGATGCACCAATTACCTAAAATCGGATGAAACTATATATGGGAGCTATAACTAAATCTGAAGCGATATCAACCAAACTCGGGACATATATTAATCTATACCTAATTCAATACTCTGTACAAAATTTTGTCTGAATCGGACAAATATTGAGAGTTTGGTGCACCATTTACCTAAAATCGGACGAAACTATATATGAAAGCTATATCTAAATCTGAAGCGATATCAATCAAACTCGGCATGTATCAATCTAGACCTAATTCAGTACTCTGTGCAAAATTTTGTCTCAATCGGACCAATATTGGGAGTTTGGTGCATCATTTACCTAAAATCGGACGAAACTATATATGGGAACTATATCTAAATATGAACCAATTTCAACAAAACCTGACATATATTAATCTATACCTAATTCAGTACTCTGTACAAAACTTTGTCTCAATCGGACCAATATTGGAAGTTTGGTGCACCATTTACCTGAAATCGTACAAAACAATATATGGAAGCTATATCTAAATCTGAACCGATTTCCGTAAAACTCGGCATGTATCAATCTATACCTAATTCAGTACTCTGTACAAAATTTTGTCTCAATCGGACAAATATTGAGAGTTTGGTGCACCAGTTACCTAAAATCGTACAAAACAATATATGGAAGCTATATCTAAATCTGAACCGATTTCAAAAAAATTTGGCATGCATCAATCTAGACCTGATTCAGTACTATGTGCAAAATTTTGTCTCAATCGGACCAATATTGGGAATTTGGTGCACCATTTACCTAAAATCGGACGAAACTATATATAAAAGCTATATATAAATCTGAACCGATTTCAACAAAATTTGGCATGCATCAATCTAGACCTAATTTAATACTAAGTACTAAATTTTGTCTCAATCGGACTTAAATTGAGAGTTTGGTGCACCATTTACCTAAAATCGGACGAAACTATATATGGGAGATATATCTAAATCTGAACCGATTTTCACAAAACTTAGCATGTATCAATCTAGACCTAATTCAGTACTCTGTACAAAATTTTGTCTCAATCGGACCAATGTTGGGAGTTTGGTGCACCATTTCCCTGAATTCGGACGAAACTATTTATGGGAGCTATATCTAAATCTGAACCGATTTTCTCCAATTTCAATAGGGTTCGTCCTTGGGCCAAATAAGTGACATGTGCCAAATTTCATTCAAATCGGATCATAAATGCGACCTGTACTTTTTTCACAAAAATACATGGACGGACGGACATTCACAGTGTGGTGAAAGGTATAAAAAGGGGGTTATATGCGGACTACCCCTAAAAAGTGGTGAATATTAATAATTTTTGGTGGGGAGATTTGTTACCATATACAACTACAAAATACCAAATTTCATCGAATTCGGTTGAAAAACGCGCTCAAGAACTTCAAAATATCGAAAATTGGGGGTACCCTTATATGGGGGCTACCCGAAAAAAATTGACCTATATTTATACTTTTTGTGGAGAGATTTGCTACCCAATAAGAACTCAAATAACTAAATGACAGCCAATTCGGTAAAAAAAAATCCGGTCAAAACCCCCAAAACTGGAAATTAGGAGGTACCCTTATATGGGGACTAATAGAAAAAGTGGACCTATATTTATAATTTTTAGTGGGGAAATTTAGTACCCAATAAGAACCCAATGTACCAAATTTCAGCGAATTCGGTTGAAAACCGAGCTCAAGAACCTCAAAATATCGAAAATTGAGGGGTACACATATATGGGACCTGCCTGCAGACAAAGATAACTCTATGCAAAATTATATACTCAATTCGTTTAAACGCTAGAGTGATTACAACAGACAGACGGACATGGCTATATCGTCATAGAATTTTTTCGCTTTTTTATAGGGTTGAAAATGATTATTTCGATGAGTTACAAACGGAAAAACAAAATTAATATACCCTCCACCATAATATGGTGGAGGGTATATATGCAAAATTAAGATACCCTCCTCCATACTATGGTGGAGGGTATAAAAATCTAAAACTATTAATATTCGTCAACTTTGAAGGATAAGCTCCGTATAACCTAACCTCCAAAATGTTGGTATTTGGTTATTTTGGGTCCGGGTTTTCAACCGATTTGGCTGTAATTTGGTATTTTGAATTCTCTTTAGGTGATACATCTTCCTACCAAAAATTATGAAAATTGCTCTACTTTTTGGGGTAGCCTCCATTAAGGGTACCACCAAAATTTTGCAATATAGGGGAAATCGGCCAAATTTTTGAACCGAATTGGCTCTTATTTAATATTTTGAGTTCTCACTGGTTGATAAATCTTCCTATAAAAAATTATGAATATCGATCTACTTTTTGGCATAGCCCCCATTATAAGGGCAATTTTAATTTTCAAATTGGGGATTGAGTTTTTTTTTTTGGTTATAATTGAAGCCTCGTTAAAAAGACTTTCCAATTTTGAATTTATACTCCTTATGAGTTTTTTTTTTAATATTTTACTAAATAATTTCAAAGAATTTTTTGGAATATTTTACTCAATAATTTCTTAATTCATTTCTACATACCTTGGCAATGATTTCTCTAGCAAATCAACAAAATCTTCCATTTGTTCCGTAACACCAACTAGAAAATATTTATTAACTAAATTATTTTTCGCTTCATTTAGGGCCCATTGGCTGCCAGGTTCCCAACACTCGGCGGCATGGCCACAAAAGAATGGTATCTGTAGCCACATATTTTTTGGATCACAATCGGGTTGTTTCAGTTTAACACATTCATCAAATGTCTGTAAAAGATTTTTTTTAAATTAATATCTGATATCACAAAAAAATCACAAAAAAATCTTACAATTTTATTGCCAGCCTTCTTACGTACTAAATTCGGACGATAGTTATCACCATAGCGTAGAAAATAATAATAGGATACCAGCCTATCTAAGGGTTTACGCACTAGATTTATATAGATGGGATTGTGGGATATTTGAAATCTGTAAATTGGAAAAAATAATATTAAAAATAATGAATAGATTTTAAATAGAAAAATATAAAAAAGGATTCAAGTACAAATTTTCAAATTGATAAAGGAGAAAAAACCGAAAAAAAAATTCGTTTAATATAAAAATGACTCTTGCGGATTCTGTAACAGACCAAAAATCTAACTTGAGTAGGTTGTTTTCAAAAATTTATATTTGTTTTCGTTTTTTTTATTCTTTCTTTTTTACTCACTTTGAAAAATCCAAGTACGCCACATGTCCATGATATAATGCTGGTTTCATTTCATGCCACTTGCTGACATTTCGTGCAAAAGAGACCTGTTGAAAATTGAAACCGAAAACCAAAAAAAAAAATTGAATACATAAGCACATATAAAAATATGATTACCCAGCCGTCTAGCCTATGCTCACCTGATTTGGTAATGACAAAACGTGACTATTTGCCGAGATATTGATATGCAAAACATGAAAACGATTCCTTTTACATAAATCATAGGCAATATTTACAAAACTTGTTGAACCCGTTTTCGGTACACGATTATAGAGTACCACCAATTGTTCTTCATAATCGAAATTATCCAATGAAATGTCTGTGGCCAAGTCGACACCCAATGTGGATTGTTGGCGTGGATTCGTCAAAGGTTTTAGAGCTGGAAAATAAATATAAAAATTAGTCATCAGAATTCTGGGAAAAACACATACAATACATACCAACAATTTTGACATCCGTACCAAAGACCCAATATCCAATGACTATCAGACATATGGTACTCATTAGGAAGAGCCAATGTTTGATGTTTGTCAACAACATTTTTCTCATGACCCACACCCCCTTTCTTAAACCAAAAACCAAATTTAAAAAAAATATGTAATTCTATTCGTTACTTCTTTTCTCCGCTCCTCCTCTGTCTGTTGTGGTTTGTGTGGCACTCAGCCAGCCCTCAGCACCGTGTCCACACCGCCACCTAATGTTGTCTTGTGGTATTTTTATTAGCTTTTTCTTCAATTTTTGTCTTTGGATTCCGCTTTAATTTACACATTTTGTGTGGTTTGTGATTGGGTTATTATAAAACTACGTGACAATCTCTTCTTCAAGAGAATTGCCGAGATATGCTGCTACTGCTTCAAGTCTTTTGTGTGTGTTTTTTGTCGAGTTATTTTTTTTAAAGAAATATTTTCTTCAGTATATTTACATGAATTTCGAGGTTTTCGAATGACGTTTTGTGGTTGGAAGGCGAAGGAAAACACGAAAGCAAAATTGTTGGATAAATGATGGGAATAATAACAAAACTGATTTTATATGAATAGGTTGCAAGAAATCGAAAACGGAAGGGGTGTAGGTTTCACAAAATCATTTTTGTCATATGGCATAAACATATGATTTAGGTGGCTAGGCTATATGACAAGCTGTTAAACGTAAATGATTGATTTATTTAAAGAAGATATGACATATTTTTTGCGTTGCTGAAAAAGAAATCAAAAATTATTCAAATAAAAGATGGGAACAAAAATATGCATTAATAATTAGCGCAAAATAGATAAAGAAAACGGAAATCATCGGGGAAACAAAAACGATTTTTTGGAAAGGATTTTTGAAGATTTTTTTTGGAATTGGAAAGAATGTTTTTTGGGAATCTCCTGGGGGCGTGGTTTTTTAAAGAATATTTTTAGAAAGCGCCTAGAGGTTTGGATTATTAAAGAATAATTTTTTGGAAGCCTCTGGAGAAGTGGATTTTTAAACAATAAGTTTTAGGGAGCCTCCGGAGGGATTGCCTGTAGACGTGGATTTATAAACAATCCTTTTGAATGACCCTCAGGAGCGGAGGGGTTTCCATGTTATTTTAAGAAATTGCCTGTAGGCGTAGATTTTTAAATAATATTTTAGGGAGCATCTGTAGATGTGGGGTTTCAAAGAATACTTTTTAGGGAGCCTCTGGAGACGTGGGTTTTGAAAGAATATATCTTGGAAATCCCTTGGAGGCGTAGATTTTAAACAACATTTTTTTGGGAACACCCTCTTCTAGGGACTTCATGAAACAAATTATTGGTCTGCTCCAGTATTTTTTTAATAGTAAAGCTAGTAAAGGGGAAACATTTCAAAATCGCTCTCAAAGTACAAAACCATTTGAAAAGTTCGGGACCGCAAAAATCAACAAAACAGCCAATTAGAAGTTGGCATTCCTGTTTACCATTTATACTCGGCCAAATTTTATTAAATTAAATTTGATTATAAACATGCATGTAAACATAGCCCTAGTATAATTAATAATAACTCCATTTACTTTTCATAATTTAATGCGTTTTCTTTATAATGGTGCTATTACATGGTGTTGCACCGTCATTTCACACACATACAAGATGACGTTTGAAACGCCGATTGACAAATTGAATAGCTGCAACAACATTGTCATTTCACACATACGCAACAAGAAGACATGCCGTTTGACATATTGAACAGCTGCAATAACTGGCGGCATTTTTAAGATTAATTTGGGATGCAGGAAAACAAAAAAACAAACAAGCCCCGGTCAAGCATTTGTAGAAAAAGAATATCACATTTTTTAATTAATTAATTTTGTGCGGTATTTACCCTTAACATAAATACAATCTCGTATTAACTTCCTAATGTCAATTTCTCTCTCGTTGTTATCATTCCCCCATGCCTTGCCTTTACAATGTGCTATCACTTGGTATTGCATTGCTGTATCACATACGCGCAATAAGAAGAAGACTTTTGAAATGCCGGTTGACATATTGGACAGCTGCAACAACTGGCGGCATTTTTGAGGTTAATTTGCTATATAGCCAAACAAAAGCAAGCAAGCTTGAGGAGACAAGCGTTTGCAAAAACAAGAATTTCGCAATTTTTCGATTTAAAAACTATTATAGAATTACAAATAAAACAACAAAATGTCGAGTACATTTTCATTTGGCAATTTTGCTAAAGAATTGCAGGAAGTAAAGGAGGAAGGTGTGACTTTTGAGGATAAACAATTGACATGGGACACTGCGGAAGATGGTAAGAGTGCAATTTGGTATTTAAATTTAATTAGTTATTTAAAATGAATTTTTATTACAGTCAAGGATGTGGTCAAAGCCTTAGAAACACAAAAAGTGGTACACTACCTGAAGTTAGATGGTAACACCTTGGGTGTTGACGCCGCGGCTGCTATTGGCAAGGCCTTGGAAAAGCATCCGGAGTTCCGCAAAGCTTTGTGGAAAAACATGTTTACAAGACGTTTAAAATCAGAAATTCCACAAGCCTTGAAATCTCTGGGCAATGGTTTGATGGTGGCTCAAGCCCAATTAACTGTACTCGATCTTAGCGATAATGCTTTGGGCCCTAATGGCATGGTCGGCTTGGAAGATCTTTTGCGTTCCAAAGTTTGTTATAGCTTGCAAGAACTGCGTTTAAATAATTGTGGTTTGGGTATTGGTGGTGGACAAATGTTATCAAAGGCTTTGCTGGATTGTCATCGCACAAGTACAGCGGCGGGAACACCATTGAAATTGAAAGTTTTCATTACTGGTCGTAATCGTTTGGAGAATGATGGTGCCAAGGCAATAGCTAAAATATTTTCTACTGTTAAGACGCTGGAAGAAATTGCAATGCCTCAGAATTCGATATATCATGATGGTATTGCCGCTTTGGCAGAGGGTTTCAAACAAAATCCTAATTTGAGAATATTGAATTTGAATGATAACACCGTGACCAGTAAGGGTGCCCAACATTTGGCTGATGCCTTCAGTTATACACCGCATTTAAAGGAGATAAATTTTGGTGATTGCCTGTTGAAGACAAATGGTGCTTACCATTTTGCTGAAGCTTTGCAAGAGAATCATCGAGAATTGGAAGTTGTTGATTTGGGCTTCAATGAAATTGGTCCTGATGGTGGTTTGGTGTTGGCAACTGCCATGGAAAATAAGCCGAATTTACAGAGACTTAATTTGGATGGTAATCAGGTGAGTGGAAACAAATTTCAGATTTTTTAAATACTTTTTTTTAATGTGCCTTGGGAAAGTGCATTTAAATAATAAAATAATAAAAATTATATTATTATAATATTTTTTAAAAGCTACAAGACTTGTGAATTTTAAAATAAAATTTTTATGGACAGTCCCTGAAGGCGTGTATTTAAAAAAATTTATTTTTAAGCAACTTAGAAGTGGCATTGGAGCCAAAATATTTTGTTTCAATACAATTTTTTTTTTAATATTTTTTAGTTCGGTTACGAGGGTCGTTTGCGTATTAAAGAGGCTATGGAACAAACCCATAATCCTGATGCCCTTGAAGAAATGGAAGAAGATCAATCGGAGGGTGAAGAAGATGAAGACGATGATGAGGATGAAGACGATGAAACGGTGGATGAGGAAATCGATGAAGAAGATGAAATTTATGATGAACATCAAAATGACACAACCGAAGAGGCCGATGAAGATGATTATGGTGAAAATGCTGCAGAGGAGACAGCCTATACTACCACACAGGCGTTTACCTCGAAAATGTTAAATGCCAATGAATCGTTTATGTCCAATAAGAGTGTCACATTTGCTGAAAATACCACCACCGTGGGTTCGTCTACGGCCGAATCATTCTGCTTAAGCCAAAAACCATGTTCCTTGCAAATGTTTGACTCATTGGTGGAAAGTGATAAATTGCAGGCTTTCAAAAGTGTTATTGAGGTAAGGATTTTTATTTATTTTTTGATTACGATTTGTGATTATTTTTGTTTTTTACCCTTAGCAATTTACCGATGACAATTATTTGCTTGTGCTCATCTTTACCACATTGAAATGTGCCCATTTGGCTCAATCCTCCTCGGTAGCCCTGGACTTGGCCATGTCTCTATACAAGGAATGTGTTGATTATGCCGTCAAAACCAAACAAGAACGTCGTGTATTAAATTATCTGCTACAACAATTGGGTCTGCTGCGCAGTGAAATGAAATTCCAATCGGCGTATAATTTAAAATCATGCCGTTATGCCCTGCGTGAGACCCTCTATAAGAAACCATTGGCCAGTGAACACATGAAGAATACATTTAAAGTTTTCTTGGAACAATTGGATGTTTAAATGTATGCATGTGAATACAATTTGGGTATACAAGAGAACATTCCCACCCCCAATATATATGCGTGTTGGCTATTTTTGTTATTGAAACTTCTCATAAAGAAATCTTCATTCTAATTCACATTTGTGTAGTGATTTGTTTTTTTTTCTACTTTTCTATCTACCATCATATTTGTAATTTTTTTTGGTATAATTTATTTATTTGTAAAAAAATGAAACAACAACAAAAAAATATTAGCAATAAATATCAACAATTGCTGGCAGTTAAAAATTGGTTCTTTAATTTCCGAAATCAACATTGGCGTGGATTTTTAAAATAATTTTTTCTTGCGGTATGGAGACCCACATCAGTTGAAAGGTCCCGAAATGTACTTTCAGAATATATACACTTCATGCCGAAAAAGAGACTTTCGTCTAACGGATTTTCCCGATTTCCCATGCAAGTCTCAGTGACAGTGGGATCCTGAAATGGATGCAGTATGGAGTCCCACACCATTCTAAAGGTCTCGAGAAGTACTTTTATTTGAAAGGTCTCGGGAAGTACTTTCAGAATATACACACTTTGTGCCGAATAAGAGACTTTCGCCTAACGGATTTTCCCGATTTCCCTTGCAAGTCTTAGTGAGAAAATTTCCTAAAAGGGATGACTATTGGGGCCTCTCGATACCTATTGAGGCCCCCAGCCCTCACTTAGGGTCCTTGACATGCGTGGATTTAAAAAAAAATATTTTATTCAAAAATTATCATACCCTCAATCACCCCAATTAAAAAAATACATTTTTTTTATTTTGTTCAAATTTCAACAAAAATCGATTTTATTTATTTAGTTGTTTTTTTTTTCTTCGCATTAGCATTTCTAATTATGTTTTACATACATCGAGCTTCATCATATCTACTAGATATAAGTATATATATTTTTTAACAATCTTAAATTCTCCATTCGATATTTTATTTTTTGTTTTAATTTCGTTCGAATCGTATGAGATCAAAAAATTTCAACGAAAAAAAGAAAGAAAGAAAGAAATTTTTTAAAATCATTGCCTAAGACCAATTGTATTTAGGATAGACAAACTATAATTCCTAATTTTTAGTAGTTTTTTTAAAAATGCATAAAATATCAATTCAATTATGAAAAAATGCAGTTTTTTATTGCACGGAACGCATAGAGAGAGAGAGAGAGAGAGACTTTAACAAAAAAAAAAAAAATTTATAAAAAAAAATGGTTAAAAATCATATTTTTACCACTACCATGGAGAACCAAGAAGAACCATAATTTGTCATTAATTCCTACAATGCTTTCCTTTGGTTTAACAACGTGGTGGAGGAGGAGCAGGAAAAAGAGAATTTTTTAGAAAATATTTTTTCCTTTCCCTTCAAGGGAAAAATTCTGTATTTGATTTTGGGAGACAAAAAAAATCGTTTCCAAAAAAGTTTCAAACTTTCCAAATCTAGAGACCAATATTTTGAATATTCTCTTTTTTTCTAATTCATCGTTTTTTTAACAAAAAATTTTGATTTTTTTCTTCCCCTTCCTACTTCTCCTTTTCCTTAAGACTTTCCTGCTGATGATGTTTCCGTTGTCGGAGGATTTTCTTAAACCAACTATTTCTCGATTGATTTGCAGCATAGTCAGCATCATTAATCGAAGTGAAATTATTGAAAACATCCTTCATGGCCAGAGCCTTGCGATAGGAATAATTTTTCGTAGCATGATACATATTATGCAGAACATCGGGCATTTGTTTTTGTGTCACCCAGGCCTTGACACTCTGCGGTATTGGCAGACCCGGATCATCATAATAGGTCAGCACATAGTGAACACCCGGTTCTTGAAAACTGCGATATGGTTTAATGACCATAAAACTCCAATAATCGGTGACGCGTACCTTATCACCATATTGAGGATAATTGGGATGGGTGGTCCCGCGATTGGCCACCATCATAACTTTACGCTTGTCATCGCATACAAAACGACGACAATAGACATAATCACGATTGCTAAAAAGGCGGGGCCATTGCATTTCCCAATATATTAGGTGGGAATTGGTCCCCGGTACGGGATCTTCTTCTATCAAATGTAAGGCCACAGCTGTGTTATCCCATTCCTTGCGATAATCTAAATCCACTTGAACATGCATTAAATCAGCTGCCGAGATGTCATTGAAACGGGCATAGACCTTATAGGAATACATGGCGGAACGCTCCTCCCGCCGCCATATGGAAAATTGATCTTTACTCATGTAAGGTTCCCATGGCTGATCATCGGCTTTTTGTATTAAGGCTGTGCCCATTTCGGAGGAACCATTGCTTCCTACAGCATCCTTGTAGAACTGATGAAATGTTTTCCGGCAATTTCCCTTTGTGTTGCCTCCATCAGCTGCTGCTGCTCCTGCTGGTGGACACTTCTTATTGCCCACCAGACAATAACAATATTTCATTTTATATTCCTTGCACAAATCACAAAGTTTATTCTGCGGCAAGGTATTAATAAATTCGATGTCACCCTGACACGCCTCGAAATTCAGTAAACTTAAACGTTCATTGGACCAATCGAACGTCGGCACCCCATTTGCGGACAGGCCCAATGCCCCCACAGCACTTAGTACCAGATTTTTGCCCTTAAATTGTGGCAGCTGTCGATGATAGGAGCGTATCAGCAATTTAAGGCCCTGCGGCCCATAGACCCGATGATAGAATGTAAACAATTGTTGTAATCGACGTGAACGTTGGGCCAATATACTTTCGCATTGATAGCACCATGATTTTAATGCAGCATTTGAGCTATGTTTGATATTGGACACAATGCGGCTGAACACCATGATGGGGCTTGGGGACTTTTCTCACTTCACAATTCCAGCAACTTTTCTATTATTCTTTCTCAATTTTTATTACATTTGAAAATGTTTGCGTTTTATGCTATTTTTATTGCTTGCATAATCGTGTCACCACACACAACATTGTATGCCCTGGCGATGAATTTGTTCTCGAAAAACGTACCGGCTTTGTTTTGCTCTTTCCAATTGTCAACTTAACTTTACACAGTTAAAATTCGTTTATTTTTTTATTCAAGTTGTATATCCCTTGGCCCGTTGCCAGCAACAATTTTTTTAAATTTTTTTATAAACAAAACTATAAATTTGTTGTTTTTCGAATCGTTGGCGTAGTAGTACATGTGCACTAAAAGCCAGAGACACAAATGTGTCAAATGCAAAACAATGTCATATTGGAATGTAAACAACAATGTTTTGCACACACACACACATGATGTTGCCATATTCTGGCTCTAGGCGTGTTCGCATTGATAAATTTCGAAGAAAAAACCATATGTAGCCATATTTACTTCTTTATTTTTACCGTTAATGTCAAATTCCAGAAATATTTGACACTAGAGCAGCAACACAGGGACTCAAACGGGATAAAGAGAGAGGAGTGGGAAACAATGAGTAGTCACATTCTCTAACATAACGGCTGTCTTCTTACATGTTCAAATCACTTAGTGTTCACTTAAATGAACTTTGGCGTCTTTGTAGCAGCAAAGAGTATTCTATTGAGATTGATTTCGTACTAATACATTTCCATTGACAGTTATTTTTTAATAAATAACGAAATATATGTATATATCAATAATAAATAACAAAAAAATCAATTAAAAATAGATGACACAACAATAAAATAAAAAGTCACCAGAACTTCTTATGACTTTGTTCAAACCGCTTTGTTTTCATTAAAATGAACTTGCGGCAACTTTGTAACTTCGGAGACAATTCTATTGCGAGAGAGAGAGAGAAATGGCAAAAACTGAAAAAAGCGTATTTTTATATTTTTATTTATTTTAAATATCACACCAATGGTGGGCAAAATTCTCTCCCTCTCAGTGGTAAATTGTGAATTGTGTTGGAAAACAAACACAGGTAGGAACAAAAAAGTACGAAAAGGTACCTAAAATTCTACTTTAAATTAATAAATCATAATAATATCAGGAAGAAAAAAATCAATATTTAACCTTGTATATGCGTAAATAATATATGTTATAATTTTTGTATTCACGAATAATAAAAAAAAATTTTTGTTTAAGACGTTTATGTCTGTACCTTTTGTGAACAAAAAGTACGCTTGTTACAAAATTAAAAATAGGCAATTTTATATTTTTAAAGCTCTTTTCAAGCGACATAAATGGACATATGGAAGGGACATAAATGTGAGTAATAAATAAATTAAAAAATAAAATAAAATAAATCACTTTGCAAAAATATCCATAGTTGGGCAGACTTGCACACCAGCGTTGATGCGTTCTCTTAACATTTTTTGATGTTAAAACAAAAATAAACCTTAATGGAAAATTTTCCGCAATTTTTTTAATGAATTTATTTTTTGAACTTCCTGGGATATTATTTATGTTTTAAAAATATTAAATTAATTGAATTCCGCAGAATAATTCTTGTTTTTATTTTCACTTAAACATTTTTAAGAGAAATTTTGCCCACCATTGAAAACATCGCACCAATTTAGCGAAAGTGAGAGAGAGGGGAGAATTCCAATTAGATTTCAATGTGCTATTTTCTCACTAACGAAATTTTTTGTATTCTTTCTAAGGGGATTTGGCATCAAATAAACTATATTATAAAATAAATGAGGAGAAATAAATTAAATAAGATGACAAAGCAATTAAACAAACGTCTTTACATCAATCTTATGACAATATAACAGCTGTTCCCTCATTGTTCAAATTCTATGCATTCATTTAAATAAACTTTGGCGCCAGTGAGAAAGGCAATTGACAATTGGAATACATCGATCTTATGACAATTTAACAGCTGTTCAATACCATTGCGTTCATTTAAATGAACTTTGGCGTCGGCGAGAAAGGCAATTGACAATTGGAATAAATTGTTGACATTTTTGGCAATCATTTTTAAGGGACTTGGCGCCAAAGAATTTTTTTAATAGAGAAAAGAAGAACAAACGTGTTTTGAAATAGTTAAAAAAGGAGATTTATACAAAAAAATAATTTTAATTAAAAATTAAAAATACCATATTGCGTGATTTTGAACCGAAATTAAATAATTCCAATTTAAATCAATGAAAACTTGAAATTGGGCGAATTCCCAAACCATCAAGATGGCTATGAGAAGACCGCGAATAAAAGTACAGGCTAATATCGCCTTGAATTCAAAGCGTAAGCCTAAAGTTGCCGATGTGAAAAATTCTGCTGAAAGCCAGCAGCAGCAACCAGCAAATGCCACAACAACGTCTGAGGAGGTCAAGTTAACCAAGGAAAAGGAACAAGAATTGCCTCAAAATGCAAATGAGAATACGGAAAACAGTAATGAGGTTGGCCGTCAAGAACAAGAAGAAAATCAGCAGATTGCAGAAAAAGAGGTTAATTCCGCTGACTCAATAATCAATGCAAATGACACGACTGCAAGTGATGGTGATGATAGTAATAATAAAAACAACAATGCTGCTGCTTTTGCTAGGGGTGGTGTTGGTGTGAACAATGATAAAACTCAAGCAAATATCTCTGATGATTCTATAAATAGTCCGAAGAAAACTGGAAATGCCAACAAAACACCCTCTGATGATAACAGCACATTCAAATGTCCGCCCAAGAAGTTGGAATATCAACGTTCCACCAGCCATATTTCTAATAATAATGGCAGCGATGATGTTTTCTATTCCGACATTGAGGAAAATGCCCAACAAATGGACGGGCAGCAAAAGTCCCCCAATGATTTCCCCATGTCTCCATCGAGAAGCCAACAATCTAGACAACGTATTAAGGCAACACCCATATTTGGGCAACGACGTAATAGTTTTGTGGGCTCCTCGCCATCACCATACACTGAAGAATCCACCAGTAGCGGAGGTAGTGGTGGTGAAGTGGGTTCCACCACCCCCAGACGTGAACGACACATGTCCGGTTCCATGAGTACACATTCGAATTCCAGTTCATCGCATCATTACCATCATACTCCGCACAAGTATTTACCAAATGGTGTCAGCATGTCTCGGGTGCGCACCGAATCTGGCTGTTCGGTATTCTCAGATTCCAATGTCAGCAGCACACACAAAAGCCGGAGGACCGATGAACACAAACTGAATTTAAAACGTGAATTTGAGGCACGTTTTTCCAATGGTGTACCCGATAAGTCGGCATTGAAAATGTCCGATTTGATTTTTTACAATCCAACCACAAATCCCATGGAACAAAAACCCAATCCAAATATCAAACTAGAAAATGGAGATAAAAATCCGGCATCCACCTCCGAAGATGATATGAAAACGGAAAATGATAATGACAAATCGAAGTCGAATGCCGATAAAGAAGAAGCCATGCCAGTGCCTCAGCTTAAACTGAATTCAAATGGTGAGCTAATATTGGACGACAAGTCTTTGGTAATTGAAACAACGGCCGAACAGGAAGCCCGTAAAGTCCTCGCCAATTCGTCGTTAATATATTTGGATGAAAACACCGGCATGAATGGGTTCTATTCGCGGCAGAAACGTACCCGCGATTGGCCATCTTCGGAAACGGTGAAATTCTATCGTTGCCTACAAACGGTGGGTACGGATTTTTCCCTTATGGTACCTCTCTTTCCGAATCGTACAAGACGTGACTTGAAATTGAAATTCAAAAAGGAGGAACGCATAAATGGCGCTTTGATAAATAAGGCTTTGTTATATCCGAAAAATTTCGATGTTGAAGAGCTGAAGCAACAAATTGAGGAGGAAGAAAAACAACGTGAAGAGGAGGCGGAACGATTGCGGCAGCTTAAAGAGTCGGCTACCAAGGTGGTGAAAAAGGTAAGAAAATATTTTTTTCTAGCTACCCATAAGGAATAGATTTTTAAAATAATTTTTTTGGAATTTTAAAATTATTTTTTTTTTTTTTTGTTTTTTCTTTTAGCGAAAAAATGCCCGAAGTCATGCAGATCGCAGCCTAAACGCAGACAATCTTTACCAAAATGAAAACCATCAGCAAGTTGCCAAAAAGCCAAGAATCCGTAAAGAAAAACCCGAAACTAAACAACAACAAAATAATATTGCAACGACACCAGTTGCCGAGGCAACACCAGCAGCAGGACCAGCACCACCACCACCACAAAATATTAATGGAAGTCAAACGATTTCGAATAATGAGCCAACAACTGCAACATCATCTTCCACAACTGCCGAAGATCCAATAAAAACCGAAGGTGATAAGGTACGACGAAGGCGACGGCGTGTGCCAAATATTAAAAAAGAAAAATTAGCTGTGCCTCAGCCGAATGATGATGATGGACAACAGCCAGCATCAGATCATGATGATTCCTCTCCCCTATCATCATCGGCCATCAAAGTTGAAAATGTTAAAAACGAACCCCTACAAATGCCTTTATATCCGACAAAAACCGAATATTGTCACGAGGATGAAGATGCCGCCGAACAAATCGAAAAAGATGTCGATCTTTTATTACATTCCGATCTGAATGAGGATGTTTATGATATTAGTGAGGCATCGAGGGCCAGTAACAATGATACGCCGCCCAGAAAATCCAAATCTCTATCACTGCCAATAACCGAATCTCCCGATTCGTCATCGCCGAATTCCAGATTTTTAGTTATCGATGATAATTATTGCAATGAACCAATGGAGATTGATGCACCATATGAGGGTAGGACATTTGTTAATTTGGATGATGGTTCATTTACAACGTTGGAGTCACCAAGACGACGGCAGTCGCCACCACAGCAGCCACAAAGCTATGATGAACCGCCGGCGCCAATTGTAAATCAACCCACACCATCGCCTTCTCCTCCGCCACCAGCACCAGCACACATACAAGCAGCACAGTGTCTCCCAAGGACCGGGTCTGTACCACAATCACCACGCCCCCAGCATTATCTAGCATCTCAAGCATCACCTCATCACAGATCCATGGTGGCAACACCACCCGATCTAACCTCCCAAGATACCAATTGTTCATTTACCTCCGATCGTGAACTAAACGAACAGGACATACAACGTATACTCACCGAACTGGCCGAAGGTTCATTGGTACTTGTCTCCACCCTAGATCCCGATGATCCCGACAAAGTGTTAAATGAGATATTTATGGTGGACAAGAATACCGGGGATTTGTGTGATGAACCCTTAAATATACCCGATAATATTGTGCAGTGCATTTTATCTGTGATGAGCTAAGAAAAAAACAAATCTATTTGAAATCAGCAAGAAGAAAAAGCTTAAAACATTCATGAATGTGGTTACATTCTGGAATGAAAAAAAAATATACAAAAAAATGAATATTTTTTTTTCTTTTTTTTGTTACCCCCAGCTCGGGGGTATTTTCTAAGTCCGGGAGAATTTTGTTATTACTTCTTAATATGAAATATTTTTTTAAAATATATATTTCTATTTTTTTTTTCATTTGCTATGCTTAAGCAAAATTTGTTAACTATTACTCAGACATCTCTAATATAAAAAAATACATAAAAAATCGCTAAACATACATATTGCATAAATATATATAATACCATTTTCATATATGTCGTTTGTAGTATTTATTACAAAAAAATAAATAAAACAATATTGTTGTTTCAAAAAATGCAAAAAGTTTTTTTATTTTAAAAATCTACGCCTTGTAAGGACGCAATAAAAAATTAGTTAAAAATCCAGGCCTTATAAGATCCAACAAAAAATTATATTTTAAATCCACGTCTTTGAAAATTGAATAAATTTTAATTAAAAAAAAAATACTTCAATAACTTACTGTGTTGTCTCCGCAGTCTCTTGAATACTTTTGGAGGTTTTGTTTTTCAACGACATTAGTACTATAGCATTACAGCATCACAAGTACTGTTCACTATCTTTTCTTATTTGATTTTGATCATTCTTGCTCATTTACAATCGCATACACACACACTCTTTATATGCTAAGGGTATACAACTTGTTTAGCACGGTGAACACAAACACCGTTAAATATTTTATTTGCTTTGAAACTCAAAAAAACATTGATTAATTTGTAATGATTCAAAATTCCACAAAAAATATTCTAAATATATAATATTTTTAAACGCTTTCATTGTTAAAAAATAAAAATATCACACGACCACGGAGGACACGCACAAACAAATTTTAACCGCTATTCTTGCCTGTCAATAATGGCAACTGTTTTATCGATTGTAGGGATCTATACATCGATAAAGGCAATTGTTCTTCATTGTAAATAAGATGAAAAATAATTTAGCTTGGAAGAAATATTCATTACAAAACTATACCGTCAAAGGCATTGTTTGTGCGGAGGACACGCCTTGAAAAATATATTTTTTTAAAAAATCTTCGCCTTGAAAAATATGTTTTTTTAAAAAATCTACGCCTTGAAAAATATATTTTTTTAAAAAATCTACGCCTTGAAAAATATATTTTTTAAAAAAATCTACGCCTTGAAAAATATATTTTTTTAAAAAATCTACGCCTTGAAAAATATATTTTTTAAAAAAATCTACGCCTTGAAAAATATATTTTTTTAAAAAATCTACGCCTTGAAAAATATATTTTTTTAAAAAATCTACGCCTTGAAAAATATATTTTTTTAAAAAATCTACGCCTTGAAAAATACATTTTTTTAAAAAATCTACGCCTTGAAAAATATATTATTTTAAAAAAATCTACGACTTGAAAAATATGTTTTTTTAAAAAAAATCTTCGCCTTGAAAAATATATTTTTTTAAAAAATCTACGCCTTGAAAAATATATTTTTTTAAAAAAATCTACGCCTTGAAAAATATATTTTTTAAAAAATCTACGCCTTGAAAAAAATGTTTTTAAAAAATCTACGCCTTAAAAAAAACATTTCTAAAAAATCTACGCCTTGAAAAAAATGTTTTTAAAAAATCTACGCCTTGAAAAAAAAACATTTCTAAAAAATCTACGCCTTAAAAAAACATTTTTAAAAAATCTACGCCTTGAAAAAAATATTTTTTAAAAATGTATGCCTTGAAAAAAATATTTTTTAAAAATGTATGCCTTGAAAAAAATATTTTTAAAAAATCTACGCCTTGAAAAAATATTTTTTAAAAATCTACGGCTTGAAAAAGCATTTTTAAAAAATCTACGGCTTGAAAAAAACATTTTTAAAAAATCTACGCCTTGAAAAAAATCATTTTTAAAAAATATACCCCTTAAAAAAAATATTTTTAAAAAATCTACGGCTTGAAAAAAACATTTTTAAAAAATCTACGCCTTGAAAAATATATTTTTAAAAAATCTACGCCTTGAAAAAATATTTTTTAAAAATGTATGCCTTGAAAAAAAATATTTTTAAAAAATCTATGCCTTGAAAAAAAAAACATTTAGAATTCTTTTTATTCAAATATTTATTTTTTGTTGTTATTGATTTCAAATATGTAATAGTTATGTTTGTATGTATTTTATTTATTGTGTGTACTAAGAGAATACATTTTTGCAAAAGTGGATAATTATGTTATTATTTTTTTAAATATAGAATTTATGTGTTTTGAGAAGAAAAAAATCGAAACAATATTTTTTTAAAGAAATGTGTAATGAGGTTTAAACAATATTTTTTTGTTTAAAATAATTGTGTTTGATTACAACATTAATGTTGTTTTTTTTTCTTTTGATATTTTTATTTTTTTTAGTTTGTACAACCTCTACACTTTGCACTAAAATAATGTAAGAATTTTCCAAAAAATGATTTTTTTGTTAAAAAAAAAAAAATTAAAAATTAAAAAAATATAAGGAATTGTGTGTGTTTTTAAATGGTGTTGTTTTTTTGTTTGTATTATAAGTATTTGCAAATTTTATTTTTGTTTTAGTTTACTTTTTTTTGTGGAAAATTTATCATTAGGTCCATGCAAAGTATAGCTTGTAGGAGGTTTAAAATTCCTATAGTTTGCAGCAACTATAGATTTTAAACAAATATAACGCGTTTTGTTTTTTTTTTTAATTTTTTGCATGAAATTCTAAAACACTGTGTGTGGAAGGGGTGGTGCGGGTCGAAAAAATGCCAATCCTTCATTAGTGTGGAAAAAAATATATCGATTTTTTAAGTGCACCTGCACACACACAACCACACACAGTGTAATAAGCTGTTGCATTTTTTTCATTCTCCCTTTTTTCTTTTCAGTTTTGAATTTTGTAAAAGGAAAAGTGGTTTTTGTTTTTCATGATTATTTTCGTCTGCAATTTGAATTTAATTTTTTTATATATATGATTGAACTAGTTACATAAATAACTATAACTTAAAATATAAATTTTCCATATATATAGTTTTTTTTTAATTTTTTTCTTTTTTTGTATTTCTAAGCCATTGGACATTTAGTTGATTATTTTTTTTTTTTATATATTTTAATTTTTTTTTCATTATTTTTTTGTTTTTTCATATAGATAAAAGGTAGATTAATTTGCAAAATGCATATTTTATATATTAGTTATTTATGTATTTAGTTAAATTATAATTGTTGTTGATGTAGGTTTATTATTATTTTGAAAGAGGCGTGTTCAGCAGCTGCCAAAAAAAAAAAAAAAAAAAACGAAAATAAAAAAATAAATCAAATTTTTTGTTGGTCAAGGGGACTAATTTTGTTAGGCTTAGCCACTGCCTTAAAAGAGAAAAAAGAAATCAAATCATTAAAAATTTAAAAAAATATTACAAAAAGTATGTCATTTTAAACATAAAAAACAAAACCATATTTCCAATTGGTAATAGCATATTTTTTGGTTAAGATTTGAGATTGGTTTTCTATGCGACAGCTGCATTACAGACTACAAAAAAAAAATCTTTTAGGAAGGAGGGGTTTTTCATCTCTTTACCCCCCTTCCTACTACCACCTACGGCCGTATTTTTGTATGCCGTGATATATTTTTTAATTTTGCTTTTCTTATGCCTGCGCCGCCACCATTCATTTTTTGGTCATAATTTTCAAATATTCTAAGGCATTTTGTGCTGCCATTTTTTGAGCCTCAGCCGGTGTAGCACCCGAACCGTGACAAACACCCACCGGCAAGGTTGAAAGTTGCACCAAACATTGATAATGATCATTGAAGGTTTTCTCTTCGATATCAACATAGGTCACCTCGAATTGATTTTCATGAGCAATTTCAGCCAATAGCTCGACATATTCAATTTTGGGATTTTTCAGACAAGTTTTCTGGAATGAAAAATAAAACAGATTATAACAATATTTTAGAAAATTAAAAAAAATTATCTTCAAAAATAATCTAGGCGCTTTTAGAAATTTAGCATTAAAAAAATGTTCTTTATAAGATTTACAAACTGAAAAAAATTAAATCTAGGCCGTAAAAACATTCTTTAAAAAAAACTTTAGACACTATTTTTTTTCATAAAAAATTCATTTTAAAAATCTACGCCTTTATAAGACGCCACCCACCATCATATTTCATTATGATCATTCTTGTTCATTTAAAATCACATAACACACCCACACACACTCTTTATATGCTACAGGCATACAACTTGCTTAGCACACGGGGAACACAAACACCGTTAACTATTTTTTTTTTTTTTTTTGCTTTAATACTAAAAACACCTTGATTAATTTGTAATGATGCTTATATTCCAAATTCCCTAAAAAATATTTCAAATATATAATATTTTTTAAACGTTTTCTTTGTTAAAAAAAAAAAAAAAACATAAAATTTCAGACGACCACGGAGGACGCGCACAAACAAAATTTAACCACCATTCCTGCTTGTCAATAATGTCAACTGTTTTATCGATCATAGGGATCTATAAATCTATAAAAGGAATTGATTCTTCTTTGTAAATGAAGAGATGAACAATAAATTCAAGACCTTAAATTGTAGGACATTGAAAAAATATTAAAAAAAAAATATATATAAGCCTTTGAAAGGTCTTGGAAACATTATTTTTAAAAAATCTACATCCTATTTAGGCCTTGAAAAAAATATTTTTTCACAAATCTACGTCTTGAAACTATACTCTTTGAAAAATCTACTCCCTCGTAGGCCCTTGAAAAAATATTCTTTTGAACAAAGTCTTCCTTAATTCTATTTTAGTGGTTATTGTTGTTGTAATAGGGTATAGGATAGTAGCTCTCACCTGCAACTTGTGTAGTTTTTCACCCGTTGAATTTTTAAGGGTCTTATGAAATTGTGAAACCTTAGCACTATGCTGACTGGTGATGGTTGGTACAGTAATATCTTTCAAATCACCATAATAATTGGCCTTCTGCAAGAAGAAAAAATGATTGTTGTTAACTTTGCAATATTCAGTGGAAGTTAATGAATGGCATCTTGAATAGATGATGCCGTATTAGATATTTAAGAAAAAACAATATGGAAACTTAACCAGTTAAAAATGGTGACTTGAAAAATATGAACATCCACAAGAAACTTTAAGACCCCTAAAAATTTTGTGTTTTTATAAAAAAAATATGGTCGCATGATTTCAAACTTCTTTATAATTCCAACCCTTTGAATATGGGCTTCTAGAGAGAAGTTTGAAGAATATATAAAATCGTTATTAATTTGCTTTGCTACTTACATCACCACCCAATTCGGTGCCCATTGTCTCCGACAATTGATTATTTTCAATTGGTGTTTCCTGTAGGCGGGTCCACATTTTATGAGCCGCCATGCGTTTGGCAATTTTCTTGCTCTTGCCCTTGCCAACTTCGCGGAAATTCAAAATTGTACAGGCAATTGTGAAGAGACGTTCGTGGGGTAGACCCACTTCAGTTTCGGTTTCATAGTTTGGTGGTGGCCAACGGCGGGACATGCACATTTCCTGTAGCCAACCAATGGGATTGCCAACAATTTTATCGGCGGCACTACAACAAAAAAGCAGACAAATCCGACAAATTAATAATAAAAAAATGAATAATCGGAATATCCGAAATACTCACTCTCCACCCGCTGACACATTGGCATTGCCATCTACCCCACTACCACCACCCCCGGCTGTAGCATTTGTGCTGCTGGCCGTAGTTGTTGTTGTTGTGTGCTGCGTCTCCGGCAGTTGGACACCGGTCAGTTTATCTATCAACGCCCTGGCTGCTGAATGTTTAGCCTCTTTTTTGGAACGTCCAGCGCCCATGGCCGTAAAGGGTACATCTTTGTCATTGAAGGACACGCGATAACGGAATGTCGGTTCATGGATGGCCCCTTCGATTTGTACCAATTCATAGCTGGGTGTAATGCCGCGACGGCTAAGCAATTCTTGCAGCAATGAAACGGGAGTTTTCATGGCAATACCATTTGCATCGGTCTGAAATGAAATGAGAGGAGAAAACAGGGCGGTTAGGTGGCGATAAATAAAATTCTACGCCTTCAAAAAAATATGTTTAAAAAATCTACGCCTTCAAAAAAATATTTTAAAAAATCTACGCCTTCAAAAAAATATTTAAAAAAAATCTACGCCTTAAAAAAAATATTTAAAAAAAATCTACGCCTTCAAAAAAATATTTTTAAAAAATCTGCCGCTTAAAAAAATATTTTTAAAAAATCTACGCCTTCAAGAAAATATTTTTAAAAAATCTCATTCAAAAAATATTTTTAAAAAATCTACGCCTTCAAAAAATATTTTTAAAAAATCTACGCCTTCAAAAAATATTTTTAAAAAATCTACGCCTTCAAAAAAATATTTTTAAAAATTCTACGCCTTCAAAACAATATTTTAAAAAAATATACGCCTTCAAAAAAATATTTTTAAAAAATATACGCCTTCAAAAAATATTTTTAAAAAATCTACGCCTTCAAAAAAATATTTTTAAAAAATCTACGCCTTCAAAAAATAGTTTTTAAAACTTTACGCCTTAAAAAATCTAGGCCTACAAAAATATTTTTAAAAAATTTTTAAAAATTTTTAAATTTTTAAAAATTTTTAAATTTTTAAAAAATCTAAATATATAAAAATATTTTACAAAAAAATATTTGGAACAAGTTGAGTTTTGTGGGGCTCATCTCGGATTTGTCTGAAATTTGCCACAGGTAGGTCTTGTCTCCCTGATCACGAAAATATATGACTTTCATGGGGGAAGTCCATAAGTCCCGAGATATAGACCTCTGAAGTTCCGAAATTACTATGCTCATAATTTCATTATGTATGGATCGATGAAGGTAATATTATTAAAAAATCTACGAATTAAAAGGCCTTACATTTTTTTAAAAAATTAAAAAAAAAAATATTTTAAAGAAATCTATGCTATAAGGCCTTAAAGAAAATATTATTTTTAAATCAAAGACTTCATTGACCTTTGCTAAATAATCTTTAAAAAATCAACTTGGTTTGGCCTTGGAATCTTCTTTAAATCAACGCCTTTACAAGGGCTTGAGAAAGTTTAATGTATCTACGCCCTTGTAATCCCATTAAAAACATCGTCTAAACCATGAGAACCAGCTCTTTTAAAAAATTTGCCCACCTTTATAAAAATTTCGAAAATATATTCTTTGAAAAATCTACTCCTTTTTTTGTTTCCAAAAAAATCTCAATTATGAGAAAATCACGACGTTTGTGTGATCCTAGAGCATTACACACACATACCAATTTAAGAGATTCCTCAATGGCCAATTTTCCAGTTGCAGCTGCTGGATCCGTATTTTTTTCTTTCTTAATTTCTGTCTTCTGCAAATCAAAACAAAAAAGAATTTAAAAAAAAATCTACGTCTTTGGAAGGCCTTGAAAAAAATATTTTTTTTAAAAATCTACTCCTTTGGAAGGTCTTGAAAAATATTTTTTTAAAAAATCTACGCCATTGAAAAAATTGAAATTGAACATTTTCATATAACATTTAATTTTTTCTATCATCTGCACACTATACACATTGAAAATCCACCCCCAAAACCGACAACGGGAATACACATATTCTCATATACATACTATGTCCTTACTTACCAATTTAAGGGTTTCCTCGATGGCCAATTTTCCAGTTTCAGCTGTTAGCTCCTTGATTTTTTGTTTCTTAACTTTTGGTCTCTGCAGAATGGTTGGAGCAACCGTGGCTGCACCACCACCGGCTGTAATCGTTTGGCCATTTGATGTTGCATTTTGGCGTCGGGGTGCAAAACCCGTCTGCTGCTGCTGTCCCTCAGTAGCTGGTACAGATGTCATATTTATTTTTTTATTATTTTCTTGTCAATCAAAAAGTAATATTTTATTGGTGTCTGCAATTAGAAAAAATTAGAATTATGAAAATCATTTTTCCCCATGTTTGTATATGTATGTCATTTTCATTAGTTTTTTTCCACCATATACACACAATCCCGGAAAAGAAAATCAATAGAAATTAATTGCGATTTTTTCCAAAAGAAAAACTGTAATTTTTCGCTCACAAATAGTCTAGAAAAATACAAGAAATATTGAAATATTTTGCGTTGTACTTACTCGATTGATTTGCACTGATATTTATCTAAAAATAAATTGTAGTTTTTCATAAAATTTATCTTCAAATAAAAATGCAGCAAACCGATGTCGACCAAATACGTGAACTACGAATAAATCAATGAAAATAGTTTTTTTCTCTCTCTCTCCGCTTTGCCTTTGGCTGTCAATTGTTGCCTACAGTGTGGCAATATTTGACAGCGATATGGCAATGCTCGGCACACAACAGAATACAATGAAAGCGTCACTGTGGCGAGCGTTTGTCAGCTGTTGAACTCCGTGTTCACATAATGGAATTACTGTATGAAAGCACTTGATGTTATTAAAAAATTTTTATAGTCTTAAAAAGCGCGGATTTTTTTAAAAGGATTTTTCTATACCTTGAAAAGGCGTAGATTGAAAAAAAATTGCAAGGCTTAAATTAGGGGGTCGCTTGCAATGGCGTAGATTTTTGAAAAATATATTTTTTTTAATTTTTTCAAGACCGTACAAAGGCGTAGATTTTTTATAAATATTTTTTTAATTTTTTTCAAGGCCTTATAAAGGCGCAGATTTTTCTAAAAAAATATTTTTTTTAATTTTTTTCAAAGCAGGAGTAGATATTTTAAAAATATTTTTTTTTAATTTTTTCAAGGCAGGAGTAGATATTTTAAAAATATTTTTTTAAGGCATAGATTTTTTAAAAATAATTTTTTCAAGAGGCAGATATTTTTTAAAATAATTTTTTCAAGAGATAGATTTTTTAAAAAAAAGTTTTTTCAAGACGTAGGTTTTTTAAAAATAATTTTTTCAAGACTTAGATTTTAAAAAACTAAGTCTTTTATAAAAAAAGTATTTTTTTGGAAAATATTTAAAAATATATATTTCTTCTAGTTCTCACTAGTTCCTTACGTTGCCATTAGTACAAACTAGTTGTTTTGTTCCATTCAGTGAATCATTGCTGTTCAATCTCAACTAGCCACACAAAAGTCGATCTGTTGATCCCTACAACTAGCCTTTGCCGGCAACAACAGCACAGCACACAAGTTTACACGCACAAACACACGAACGTTCGTTTAACGTGCTGCTATCGCCAAAAAATATATTAAAATATATATTTTGTTTTTAGATTTTTTTTTTAAGAATACAATAAATTAAGTATCACCACCCGCACACAATATGTTGCCTCTCAGCTATGGCAATGTTTATAAAACACCCGATGATTATAAACCACCCGACGATCTGGATTTCGATGACACGGAATATCCAAATCTTAATTCACGCGACTATGCCAGGCGACCACTTAATCACACGGCCCGGATGCATGAGGCATGGGAATGTCTGAGCATTAGTACCACGCCGAATGAGGCGGCTGCCAGCGGTAATGTGGCAGTGTGTTGTAATAAATTAAGTGGCCGAGAATGGACCGGTACACTGTGGGGTTTTGAAAAACACAATGTGCTGGAGGATAAAAATGAGGCCATGACACCGGGGAAATCATGTTTTAAGCTGCAGTGTCCTGCGATCATTAACGGCATGACATTTGTGTCGCCAAATATTGTGAGTTGGAATTTTTTGGGTTTTTTTTGGATAATTGAAAATTGTTTTTTAGCTTCTATTGGCCTTCAATACCGGTAATCTCCAAGTATGGTCTACACATTCCGAAGTACGTAAATCACAAAATCCATATTGTTTGTTCCTCATCGGTGAGAAGTGTGAACACATGAGACCGATAACCTGCCTTAGTAATTTTCCAAGTAATCAGCATAAGGCTGTCACGGGCAGTAAGGATGGTACCCTTAAGGTAAGAAGGGAGGACTTTTTTTGGAAATTAAAAAAAATAAATGTTTTAATTTTTTATTATAGATCTGGGACATGGGCACCGCTGATCTTGTCTCCCAGGGTAGTTATCGTTTTGCCCACACCGATTCAATTACAGGTGTATCAGCCGCTCGGGGAAAGGACAATATTTTTGCCACATGTTCGCTGGATAAATCATGTCTACTTTGGGATGATCGAGAAACGAGACCAGCTATTGGTAATAAAATAAAGCCACGAAAAATATTATTAAAAAATCTACCCCTTGAAAAAATGTCTTTTTTTTAAATGTTTTTTTTTTATTATTTTGAAAAAATGTATTTAAATTTTTGTTTTTTTTTTTCATTCCAGCTCTATATGAAAATCACAGTGTACGTTTTACAAATGTAACATGGTGTCCCCAATCCGATGATTCCAAAATATATTTGGGTGACGAAGCTGGTGCGGTCTTAACAATCGATGTTAGGCAACCAAAACAAATTGAAACCGAAACACAATACTTTGAACGGCCAATTAGAAAAATAATACCCAATGAGTAAGTCAAAAAAAAAAATAAGCTACTTAATTTCCAATACCTATTTTTAATTCAATTTTTTCTTTATTTTTTTTCACAGTGAAAATTTGGCAATAATTTCCGATTCAAATTTGGTGAAAATTGCAAAATCATCCACTCATTCTGTTTTCTATAAAAATAGCGAATCGGAAAATTTCGTACGAGATGGTGCCTGGATAACAAACAAAGAATTTTTAACAATTGGTTTTGAAGGCAAACTACGTAGTCATAGTATTGAATAGTTGTTTTGAATTACTTACTATCTTATAGTAGTAGTATAAGTATAGCTATTTTAGAGTTTTTTTGACATTTCTTAGGAGTATCACACCAAGTGATTGGTGTTGAGAAAATTTAGCAATTTGTTTTTTTGATTTTTATATCAAGAGCTACAATGAAATATGCACAAGTAATATTAATAAAAAAATAAATACTATGTATAAAGAAAAAATGATCGAACGAAAATACCATTGTTAAGCAATAATCGTATTTTTGAAGTAAATAAAAAGAAGTTGACACCAAAGGCCCTTTGTTAGTCAATCGGATTTGATTCTAGAGTGACGTGTGTTAAGTTTGCTTGAAATCGGTTCAGATTTAGACGTAGCTCCCATATATAACTTCGTCGGATTTCATGGAAATGGTCCACCAAAGGTCCATGGTTTATCCGATTGACACGAAATTTTGCATACGTTATCGAATTGGGTCTAGAATTACCTGTGCCAAGTTTGATTGAAATCGGTTCAGATTTGTATATGGCTCTCATATATAACTTCGTCGGATTTCAGGTAAATGGTCCACCAAAGGTTCATGGTTTGTCCGATTGACATGAAATTTTGCATACGTTATGGAATTGGGTCTAGAATTGCCTGTGCCAAGTTTGATTAAAATCGGTTCAGATTTTGATATAGCTCCCATATATAACTTCGTCAGATTTCAAGTAAATGGTCCATTTAAATTTTTTATTTCTTTTTTCGTTATATATTTATTTTTTTATAATAAAAATAATAATTACATATATATGTAGTTTTGCTTTAAAGTATAGTTTAATTATTATTTTTTTGTAATATTGAAAAGATTTTTTTAACATGTTTCAAAAAAATCAAATCTTTTCTGATACGGAGCAGGACGATAATAACTATAAAGTAGAGTTTCTTCGTTTTTGCAAAAAAAAAAAATATTTTTTTTTAAATGGTATGATCTTCTTAAGGCTACAGTGGGCCTAGTATATATTTTTTCTTCTTCTTATTTTTCGAATGTTAACGTAACGTACAAACACACACAATACACACAGATCTAAATCTGAAAGGTCCAAGACCTTATTGGAAAAAATGCAAGGGAGTGTAAAAAGGGGAGGAGGGGGAATTTTTTTGTTTTTGAAAAAAAGTGATGGATACTCCGCGGCTCTTAATCATCACTTAGAAAATCATCATCTAAATTAACATCTGTTGTATCGATATTATCGTCCAGGGTAATGCCTTCTATTTCCAAATCCAAATCATCATCTTCATCATTGGTGGTGGTGGTGAGTGGAGGAGGCACAGATGTTGCTGTTGGTGTGGCCGCAATTTTACCCACCACCGCCGACGACGCCACATTGCTGGGATAATCATCACTTTTCTTATAGTCCTGCACCCCGACCTTGGCATTGCTTTCGTAGATACCCTTCTGCTGGGACAATTGCATTTCCTCCAAGGGGTTACGTTCAATGTTCAGCGGCAAAGAGGCCGCCGCATGGGCCGGCAATTGTTGTCGCTCCTTTTGCCTTACGAATTCCTCCACCTGCAAGGCATCACCCAAACCTGGGAAGAGATTTTCATATTTTGCCGGATCGGCCAAGGACTGACCAGCCTTTTCATTGAATTTTGTCAACTCCTCACGCCACAACTCAACGATGCGTGACATCTGACTGGGAATGTAGGTGCGGGCAAAGAATGCCGCCTCAGGCAAGCGGTTGGTCTCAATTAATATCTCCAGACAACGTTCAACATCGGAACGTAAAAATGCCGATAGGAATGCAATGTTGTGACGGCCCTGTTGTGAACCATTCTCTCCCAATTCCCGCAACATTTCAGCATCTCCCGAGGCGGTGGCCAGCAACAGAAGGCCACTGAAATCATTGGCCTTTTGCATGCATTCCTTGACCAGGGCCATGTTATTTTTACGCGATGCCACATCGGCCAGCTGTGACCATTTTTGGGGATTCTCCGCCTCACGGGCCAATTTGACAGCGATGTCCAACTCCCCAATTTGCAGGGCCAAATCGAATTTATGATCAGGATCGGTCGATACCGTGAGGGCTTGTGATTTAAAGCCTTGCTTCTCCAAGAAGTGGGCAACGCGAGTACGATGTTCCTTTGGTATGGTGGGCAATACCAAATCGGCTCGTTCGAAGTCACGGCGCATGACGGCAGTCTGGTATTCCAGCACGGACAATTGCAGTTGGAAGGAAATGACATTGAGTTCCTTGTCGCCCAAATAGAGGCGATTATCTTTGGGCACATAGCCCAGCAGATACATGGTGCGATCCAAATGGGATACGGTGACAATTTCACCGCCCACATAGTAGTTAATGCGATTAACGGAATTCGTATAGATAAAGCAATCTCCCACCCAGAGACCAGTTTTGACAATTTCATTGATTTCACCTTGAAAAAAAGAAGAAGAAGGAAGAAAAATAAATTAGTAACCAGAACCGACGAAGTTATATGAGGGAGCTATACCTAAATCTGAATCGAGTTCAAGCAAATTTAACACACGTCATTATAGACCCTATTCGATAGTCTATGCACAATTTCATGGCAATCAAACAAACGATGGGCCTTTAGTGGACCATTTACATGAAATCCGACGAAGTTTTATATGGGAGCTATATCGATTTCAATCAAACTTCACAATGTCATTCTAACCCCAATTTGTTACGCTATGCAAAATTTCGTAGCAATCGGACAAATGAAGGGATCGGAAACCGAACGAAATTATGTATTAGAACTATATCCAAATTGGAACCGATTTCAATCAAACTTAAGACACATCTTTCTATACTCAATTTCGTAACAATCGAACAAAAAATGTGCCTTTGGTGAGGAAATCGGACGAAATTATATATGGGAGCTATATCAAAATCTGAACCGATTTCTATCAAACTTAAAACACATCATTGCAGACTCAATCCCATAGCCTATGTAACATTTCTCACCAATCGAATAAACGATAGACCTCTGGTGAACCATTTAAACGAAATCCGACGAAGTTATATATGGGAGCTATACCTAAATCTGAATCGATTTCAATCAAACTTAACACACGTCATTCTAGACCCAATTCGGTAGCCTATAGCAAATTTCGTATCAATCGGACAAACAAAGGGCCTTTGATGCGGAATTCGGGTGAAATTATATATGGGAGCTATATCAAAATCTGAACCAATTTCAATCAAACTTAATATACTTCATTCTAGACCCAAACGAACGGTCTTTTCTAAACCATTTACATTAAATCCGACGAAGTTGTACATGGGAGCTACTTCTAAATCTGAAGCAATTTCAATCAAACTTGACACTCATCATTCTAACCCCAATTCTTTACCCTATGCTAAATTTCATGGCGTTCGGGCGTAAATAAATATAGAATCCAATATAGATCTGAATCGATTCAGGGTGGTGTCAAATATATAAATAAAAACAGATTCCAAAAACTTACCCAAAACATCAAATGCACTTTCAATACCATCATCTTCCAAATCCTGTTTAGTTTCGAGGGCATTAACAATGGCTCCCGTATCCACCGACAATATAAAGAATGACTCCTCCGTGGCCAAACACACCAATGTGCCAGCCTCATTCCAGAATACATGGCGCGGTTGGACCTCAATACGTCTGACCAGTGTCAATGTTTCCCAATCATAAAATGCCAAACCCGATGAGGTTTTCACCCCAAATAAATAACCTCCATAAATATTCTCCGCTCCATATTCAGGGGTGAAACTTTTACGTTCCTTAAAGTTGCGGAACAGGCGCACGGTGCCACTACTTTCCCTTATGGCATATTCATTACTCTCCAAGGCCCAAACAAATTCTTGGGCCGAACCGAATGCCTTGTTACGCAATGCCATCGAAGTGTAAATAATATATTCACCATCACCACAGACCACAACGAACCGTCCATTCGGGTTGTGGGCAATGGTTTGGGGATAAATTTCACAGGCCCCCATATCCTTGACGGCAACGGGTAAACGTTCACCATCCTTGATCTCTGTGCCATCAGCCAAGGCCTTCAGGTTGACCTGTTGCATTTCGGAATGTTTTGCCCAGATGATTTTACTGCCAATCACATCCATGGACATGGCGGGTTCCTCACGACCCACCTTAATAATAATGGAACCTTCGTCATAGCCCAAGGCGACATTGTTGGTGCCACGCATGCAGGCAATTGTCCAGACACGTTCATAGCCATAATTGAGGCAGGTCTCCAAACGATAAGTACCCGAATGCCAGATGCGTACAGTACCATCCTCGGAGCCCGTTAATACTATCGGTAATTCAGGATGGAAACAGACGGCAGATATATTTTGAGCATGACCCTCTAGGGTTTGGACACATGTTTTATTTTGATAATCCCAGATTTTTACCAAACGATCATCGGCACCCGAAATCAGATATGGTTTATCACCACCATGATAGTAATCAACACAATTGACACCCTTCTCATGACCCTCCAGAGTGAAATTGGCAAAATTCGAGCCGAGCTGCCACACCTTAACGGTACGATCCAGTGAGGCGGAGGCAAAGGTGTTATTGTCCTTAGGATTGAAAACAATTTGCATAACGTAGTGGGTATGGCCTTCGAAGACACGTTGACAGGCCCACATTTTCTCCCAATTCCATAGCTTAATGAGCATGTCATCTGAAAAGGAAAAAGAAAATAGAGTTTATTAGTAAAATAGGGAAACAAAATGTGGTCAAAAAACAATTAAAAAAAATTGGACTAAGTTATGTGTGTCGGAACTACATCTAAAACTGAACCGATTATAACTAAACTTGACACACTCCATTCTAGACCCAATTCGATATCCTATGCAACATTTCGTGGCAATCGGACAAACGAAGGGCCTTTGGTGGACCATTTACATAAAATCCGACGAAGTTATACATGGGAGCTAAATCGAATTCTGAACCGATTTTATTCAAACTTGGCACACATCATTTTGAATTCAATTCGGTACGCCATGCTAAATTTCGTGACAATCAGACAATCGAAGGGCCTTTGGTGGACCAATTACATGAAATCCGACGAACTTATACATGGGAGCTATATCGAAATCTGAACCAAATTTGACACACGTAATTGTAGATTCAATTTAGTATTCGATGCCAAATTTCGTGTCAATCAGACAAACTTTGGGCCTTTGGTGGACCATTTACATGAAATCCGACGAAGTTTTACATGGGAGCTATATCGAAACCTGAACCGAATTCAACCAAACTTGACACCCATTATTTCAGACTCAATTTAGTACGCTATTCATAATTTCGTGGCAATCGGACAAACAATGGATCTTTAATACAGAAATCGGACGACGTTATACATGGTAGCGATATCGAAATCCGAACCGATTTTAATCTAAAATGGCACACGTCATTTTAGACTCAATTCATTAGTCTAAGCCAAATTTCGTGTCAATCGGACAAACAAAGTATTTTTATGCGGAAATAGGATAAAATTATATATGGGAGCTATATCGAAATATGAACCGATTTTAACCAAATTTGACACACGTCGTTCCAATCTCAAATTGGTATACTATGCAAAATTTCGTGAAAATTGGACATAAGATGGGTCTTTGGTGCAGAAATCGGACGAAGTTTTATATGGAACCTACCTCTAAATCTGAACCGATTTCAGCTAAATTTGACACACATCCTTGCAGACTCAATTTGGTAGGCTATGCCAAATTTCGTGTCAATCGGACAAAGTATGTGCTTTTTATGCGGAAATCAGATGAAATTATACATGGTAGCTATATTGAAAACCGAACCGATTTTAACCAAACTTGACACACTTCATTCTAGACCCAATTAGATAGCATATGCAAAATTTCGTGACAATCCGACAAACGATTGCAATTTGGTGGACCATTTACATGAAATCCGACGAAATTATACATGGGAGCTATATCAAAATCTGCTGCAATTAAGAGCAAACTTGTCACACGTCATTCCTGACTCAACTTACAAAATTTCGTGTCAAAATAATTTGTGTTTAAATGTTATCAATTGTCAGTCGTCTGTTGTTGTTTTTTTTTTATCTAACACAGAATTTATCTTATGCTGAAGACAGAAACCCCCACCCCCTCCACCAACAGACTGGATCAAATTATGATGAAATAATAGTCTTAGCATAAAAAAAAAACATTTAATTTTTGTTTATCTTCCACATCTGCCTCCATCACTTCCTGTTTGTTTTTCCTTTTTTCCAATTTTTACTCACCACTGCTGGTCAATATCAACGGCTGTGTCGGATGCACTGCAATACATCGTATATAATCGGAATGGGCCTCAAACGAATGCACCTTCTCCAGGGTGTTATAATTAAAGACTCGAATTTGCATATCATCGGAACCGGTAATTAGCCAATTTTTACGGGCGACAAAACGTCCCGAACGCACCGGAACATCACATACCTCGAAATCTTTGACCAATTGTTGGTTCTCATAGTTCATGATGTGTACGTGGCCATTGTATAGAGCACACAACATCCATGGTTCGGTTGGATGTATGTCAACGCACTTGACACGATCTGAACGTGATGTCAATCGACGTTTAATGTCTAATTTTAAAGGCATTTTGTTAGTTTTTTCTGCGTAAAATCACTTAACCGAAATGGTGGCAATTGTTTTTCTTTGATTTGTTTCGATTTCGGAAAAAAATATTAGTTTTTTTAGTTTTGGTATTGTTACGGTTGTGAAAAATACCGTCGTGTATTTGTTACTTCTTGCTCATATCACGGAAAATTTAACGTCATCGAAATGTCAAAAAGGCGATAATGGTGAGCGAGAGAGAGAGAGTGTGTGTTGCCATATGCATAAACAACTGTTAAACTGGGGTATTAGTTTACGGTACTTTTTAGACTATGCAAAGGAAATGAATGACACAAATAATGTGGCCTGGCAATATATCAAGTTGTAAGGTTATTTGGAAGTAGATCTAAAAATTGTATTTTAAGAGGCCAGGAATTAAAAAAAGGAGTGTTTTTTCAACATTTTCCAATGGAACATTAATAGATGAGGGAGAAAAAAATTAACATAATCAAAATAACAAATTTTAATGCAATGTATATATTCATAGATACTTTAATTATTACTTTGTATTTTCAGTTTCTAGTTCTACTTAGATAATGTTAAGGAATGAATTTCAATAAATAAAATTAATTGAAGATCTTTAGTCCTGATTTATATTAGGCGAGTTTACTTGCGGCAATTATTATCGTTCTCTTTTGAACTTGCTCCATACAAGGCAATTCGGTTTCGAAAATATTTCTTTTTTCATTTGATGTCAATAGTTTTTTCACATTTAAATAAATATAAAATGTCAACAAATACGAAATACACAAAACGAATTGCCAGAAAATTGTCGGTACGAGCAATTTTTTTCCATTTCTATTCCCCTTGTCCCTCACTCCTACAGTCAAAAACTTGCCGCAAGTAAACTCGCCTAATATAAATTGGGACTTAGACTATGCAAAAGGGATGACAAAAGAGACTTTTTTTAATATAAAGTGGCCTGGCAATACATCAAGTTGTAAGGTTATGTGATAAGGCGAGGATTTTTTAAATAAGTTTTTCGAGACATCCTTATAAGACGTGGATTTTTTTAATATTTATTTTTTTTGAGAACTAAATAAGGATTTTTTAAATAATTTCTTGGAGGATTTATGGTTAACAGGAGAATAAAAGACCTCGTCTCCAGATTTTAATGCAAAAATCGGAAGGGAAAATACCTTTGGCCCCACCGTCGTAAAATTCAGCCTTCATGAAGAAACATCAGACAACGGCATAATTGTTGTTGATTGACTTCGTTGAAAAGCTGCAAACACAACAGATAGCAGATGCCTACTTACCCAACTGCTGGACGAAAGCACCCCTTGTCTCGATAATTGAATAGAAGCACAATGACAAAGAACTGCCCACTCCCTTCAAACTGCACCAAAAGCAACACTTGGGTACCAAAGACCACCATCAAGAAATCCGTGGTACGATCAGGAGTGTCGTAATGCTACTGATATGAAAAACGCAGCGTATAGGGCAACCCTGCGGACAGTAGCAACACTTAGTGTGATGGAGAATTATCGGGAGAAACGGAGAGAGGAGAAACGTATATTCAGAAATAAGAAGAAAGAACAAGAAAAACGTGAGCGTGAGCAAATCGAGATGTAAAGGAGTCAGGATGAAGTCCCATCATTCTACCAACGGGTAAAACACCAAACCGAAGGCTTTGGTGCAGGTCCTGTAGATATGAAGAAGGAAACCTGAGAATGGATGAAGATGCCCTAGATGCCCAGAAGGCATATAAAAGCGAAGCAGCTGATGGTTCTGTGGAAAAATCAAGTCGAAGACAACATTGCTGAAAATGGTCTTTCAAATTGGAAAAACTGCACAAAAGACCGATGCGCCTGGAAATCTTTTCTAAGCTCGGCTTATGGAACGAAAGTTCTGTCACAAGCCAGCTAAGCTAAGTAAGTACATAAAGCGTATATATATATATATATATTTTTTTTTTTTTTTGGACAACTACATAAGGCGTAGATTTTGAAATTTAAAAAATCAAATTTGCATTTTTGTACAGTTATATATATTTTTTATTTTGTTGTTTTTTTTAATTTTTTTGTAAATTTTATATTCTCTTATACGTATATATGAATAAGCCTAAAAATATTTTATCTAACAGTTCTATGCTTTTTAAAAATTGTTTTCAATTTACAGACTACTTTTTTCATTTTTTTTTTTTAATAATAGTTGTGTATACAGTTAAATTCAAAATAGTATTTTTTAATCAATTCAAACTGGATTAAGTAGATAAGAAACAAAAAAGGAAATAGTAGAGAACAAAAACAAGAAAAAATTGAAAAAAACTGAAAAAGGGAAAATGTTTAAGATTTTTTAGGTTAGCATTTTTTTTGAAAATTAACTAATAAGGGAATATTTATGTATATATAAAATAAACGCTGTTTTTTTAAGTATAAAATAGGATATTTTTTGTTGTTGTTTTTTTTTATCATTACAAATTAGAAAAAAATAATGTTATCACTACAATTCCTTTTCGGGTTTGGAATCATATCACGGAAAATTGAACGTCATCGAAATGTCAAATAGTTGATAATGGAGAGAGAGAGAGGGCGTTGCCATATCTATAAACAATTGTGACAACAGTGTTGTTAGTTTACGGTACTGTTTAGACTATGCAAAGGAAATGAGTGACACAAGAGAATTAATTTAAATTAAATAAAGTGGCCTGGCAATATATCAAGATTTAGGGTTATATGATAGGTGGCGGGAATAAACTTAAAAAATCATATTTTAAAGGGCCAGGGATGGTTGGTTTGGATGCGTGGTTTTTTTTTCTAAAACACATTTCATTAATATAAGAAAATAATAAATTTAAAGTTATCACTACAATTCCTTTTCGGGTTTGGTTTTCTTTGTCGGTGTGGTCGATGACGACGATGTTGCTGAACCTTCTGTCTCCGTTGTCGTATTGGAATTTGCTTTCGTCGTCGCCGCCGCCTCTGCCGCCGTCTCCTTGGCCATTTGCCATCGTTTAAATTCAATCATTTGCATAATTCGTATCTTCATGTTCGGCCGACGTTTCATTACCTGCGCTAGTTTGCCAAATTCCAGGGAATACATAAATACAACCGGTATGGTGACATCGTTGATCCCATCGCCAGACATGGCAAACATCGGTTGGATTTCACCCGATGAATGGGGTACATTATCACAGACAATTAGGGCCAAGGCACCCGACTTTTGGGCCAAACGTGCCTTACTCACGAAAGTACAATCACCACGTTCGGCAATCAAAATTTTACCCTTAACCTTATCGGCATTTGCCAGACGTTCATCACAGGCACGCAATGGTTCGGCGAGAAGAACTTCACTTTCGACAAAATCGTCTTCGGTCAATTCGGGGCTGAAGTGTGAGGGTCCGGCCATTAGGGCGGTCCATTCGTTCGATTTGTCATCCACAGGGTAAGCAACGGCCTGGAAAAAAATGAAAAAAATTAAATAAATATAATTTTATAAAAAATATGGGTAAAAATCTCAAAGTGTTCCTATACACCCATAGAGTACCTTAAATACCAAATTACAGCCACTTTTTAAATTTAAAAAATACTAAAAATACTTTTGCAAAGAAGTCTTATACCGGTTAAGCATCGCAAATTCCATATTTAAGCTGTGGTCAGAATTTTAAAAATTAGAAATAGGGGTCTAAATCTCAAAGTGAACATATACTGACAATTTTTTGCAAATAAATTATATACCTTTTAAGAACCTAAAATACCAAATTACAGCCATTTGTGTTGCAAAATCTGGTCAGAATTTTAAAAATCTGAAATAAAGTGGACCTATACTCATAATCTTTTGCAAGGAGATTGTATACCTTTTGAGCACCACAAATAACAAATTCCACCCATAGGGATTGGAAAATGTGGTCAGAATTTTGAAAATCAGAAATAGGGCTTTAAATCTCAAAGTGGCCCTATACTGAAAATTTGTTTGCAAGGATATTGTATACCTTTTAAGAACCTCAGATACCAAATTACAGTAATTTTCATTGGAAAATGGGGTCAGAATTCCAAAAATTAGAAATAGGGGTCAATTAAAAATGTTCAAATTTTATCAAATAGTTTACCTGTAATTGTGCCAATTGATTCAGCGATTGCAATTTAGTTAATTCCAACATTTCCTGCATAAATTGTAGACCCATTTCACCTTCTTCGGGAGATTTTGCCTGGAAAATAATTTGAAAAAAAATTAATAAAAAAATATTTCTTAAATTAAATAGAAATTAACAATGTTACAATTTTATAAAATAGCAATAAATTAAAAAAATAAAATAAAAAATTTACAAAAAAAAAACTGAATTATTTTTTTTTCAATTATATTTAAAAATTATTAATAAAAAAATGAACCAAAATCCAAATGATAACTCACATTATAAAAACTATGAAACAGTCGCACCTTGCCATCGCCTAATGAAACCATTGTGATACCCATGTCGTAAACAGCTCGTAAATGATCGGCATTACTCGCTTGAAAGTCAAGGGCTCGTAGCCGTTTGGTGGCTGGCGTGCGCGGGCACGAGCCGGTAATGAAGTTGCGTAAAGGTTTGCGTACTTTCTCAGGAAAAAGCTTGTTCGATGAGGGGCAGGTGCGCATAAAATCCAACACATTGTGTTCCTCGGATTGGCGGAAACCTAGAAAACGGAAAAAAATAAAAATTATTTTCCAATTTTTTTTTTTATAAAAAATGTTAAGCAATACTTACTGTACGTGGAATTGCCCAACTGGGCCAATGACAGGGGCAGCAAATGGGCCTCAGTGGTGAACACAAATTCATCAATATTCAATATCAAATCCTGTGGCTGGGTAAACAACAAATACAAATACTTAAACGTTTCCGATAGGACAAACGAATCCATACGATCTTCATGTTTGCCGGTACGAACATCATTCACGGCGGCATAACCGCATGGTACCTTAGCATATTGTTGCAATGCCTTCAAGACCTTCTTGCCAACCTGCAAATAATGGTGATCACCCGTGGCACGATACAAAAAATAGGTGGATTCTATAAATTCCGGTCGCAAGTGATGTTGACCCCAGTGTATTTGAAAATCGATCGTAAAGGCCTCCGGGATAAAGGTATGCATTTGCATAACTTGATATAACATTTCATGGGTCTGCACAGCGGGTTTCAAATCACCCGACAGCACCTGTAGACCTGGCCAAAAAGCCAATAGCGCATCCATAAAGTTACGTGACTTGGCATGTGGTCGATGCATTAGGACATCCAACAACATTGGACCCTCACTAACATATTTCATAACGGCATTATAGTGGCGATTGAACCGTGCCAAATATTTATCATCACCCAGCAGGACATAGGATTTAAAGAGATATTCATAGTAGGAATCAATGCCAGCACCAACACCAGAATCACGACGTACCCAATCACCGGAATGGACATTTAAAACGGTACCCATCAAATCGGACCCCCGATGACGTAGCTTCCACAGGGCATCCATGGCGGCATGGGCACGAGCTTCAAATATGGGATCACCTAGAAATTAAAAATTAAAAAAAATCATAAATAGGGGTAAAAATCTCTAAGTGGTCCTACACTGAAATCAATCATTTCGCCTAAAAAATGTGACCAAATTGTTAAAAATTAGAACACATCATAAATAGGGGTAAAAATCTAAAATTGGACCTACACCGATATTTTTTTGCACAGAGGTAATATAGCCATTGAGAATCATAGACACCATATTACAACCAATTTCATTGGAAATTGTGGTCAAAATGTTGAAAATTGGAAATAGGGGTAAAACCTAAATGTGGCCCTACGCGGAAATTTTTTCTGTAAGGAGGTCTTATACCACTCATGAAACTCACAGAGAATTTTCAAGGCCTTAGGAAGACGTGGATTAAAAAATAGGCCTTCTGAAGAGCTGTTTTTATTAAGAAAAAAATTAAAATCCTTCTAAAGGCGTCCATGTAATGGATTAGTCCATGTAATGAAGTTTTTGGAATCGCTCTTGGCCCTTTGGGGTAGATTATCCTTTATGAAATAAAGTTGAATTGAATTGAAATAGGCCTTCTGAAGGGCTGTTTTTTATTAAGAAAAAAATAAAAAGCATTCTAAAGGCGTGGATTTTTTTAAAGAATATTTTTTCAGGTTTTCTAAAGGCGTAGATTTTTTAAGGAATATTTTTTCTATACCTTTTAATGGCGTAAATTTTTTAAAGAACATTTGTTCAAGACCTTTAAAGGCGTAAATTTTTTAAAGAATATTTTTCCTTACCTGTCAACCTTGACAATGCCGCAAATTCCAATAGAATCGTACCAGCACAAGCGGTACATGTTTCGCGTGACTTCTTTAGCTGTTCATCTTTCATGCCATAACGTAAATTGACCCGAGCATGCGGTATACCCGTTGATGTATTAAATGCTGGCAATAGACGATAACCCAAATCTCGGGCCATTTCCAATAGTTCACCTTTATACCATGGCATAACTTGTGCATTCTTTTGTATATATTCGGCTAAAATGTGAGCGGACAGTAGGCCACCCATCATACGAATATTTGTCTCAAAAACCGATACAATAATATCATTATCAAATTGTACATCACGTATCACCAATTTCACAGCATGTTCAAATTCCGCAAAATCTCCCAACACCACCAAAGTGTCCAGGGTGTCAACGAGGGTCATGGAGAAACTGAAAAAGAGGAAGAGAAAAATAATTAGTTAATATTTTTCTTCTAAAGAGAGGTCTCTGAAAAAAAAAATTTTCAAAGGCCTTGAAAATCCAATTTGATATAAAGACCCCTATTATTTCTAATGTATTTAGACAAATATTACTATTTTGGAATTTCAATATTTTGACCATAGATACCAGTGAAAGTGGCCTACATTTGATATTTAATCTTCTCAATGTGTTGAAGACCGCCTTTAAAAAAAATTAGTATAGGTCCTATTTCGATTTTTCCAATTTTCAACATTTTGGACTTAATTTTCTATCAAATTTGCTGCAATTTGATGTATTAGAATCTCAGTGACTACAGAACATCTTTTTCAAAAAAAAATTTCGGTATAGGTCCACTTTGCGATTTATACCCCTATTTATGATGTATTCTAATTTTTGAAAATTTGGCCACATTTTTCAACCGAATTGGCTGTAATTTGGTATTTGAGGTTCTTGATGAATATTAGACATCCTTACAAAGTATTTTCCGCATAAGCCCCCATTTGGATTTTACCCCTATTTTCAAATTTTCAACATTTTAACCACAATTTCTAATCAAATTGGCTGTAATATGGTGTTTATGATTCTCAATGACAATATTGTCTCCTTGCAAAAAAATTATCGGTGTAGGTCTAATTTGAGATTTTCCCCCTATTTAGATGTATTCTAATTTTTAACAATTTGGTCATATTTTTCAACCGAATTGGCTGTTATTTGGCATTTGAGATTATTGATGTGTATGAGACATTCCCACAAAAAGTTGTCAGCATAGGTCCACATTTAGATTTAGACCCCTATTTCGGATTTTTTTTAACTTTCAAAATTTTGACCACAATGTGCAATCAAATTGGCTATCAGGGATCCACACAAGGCCACAAATTTGTTAAAATATTTATTTTTTGGGGATCCACACAAGGCTTACATTTTTGAAATAACTTTTTTAGGCAACCTCATCACAAGGCGTAGATTTTTTGAAATATTTTTTTAAATTAGATTATGTTTTAAATTAGTTTTTATTATCATATACTTACTTTCCCAATATATCATCCATATCACCACGCGATGGTGTTACACCACGATAACGACCTTTACATGATAAAGGCATTAATTCATCGGCCGGATAGGCATTATCCATGTATGCATGATAGGCATGATAGAACATATCACGAGCTTCCTCCCTATATAAAAAATGAAAACAAAATTAATTGAAATTCCCAACAAAAAATTATCGAGGTTATTTACCTTAAAGCTTCCCTTTCCTTATTGGACATATTTTGTGTTGGAATTGAATCGCTGCTAACGAGCGTTGCAACTAGGCCCAGGGCCAGCAGTGTGTAGAGTACAAAATTAAACATATTTCCTAGTTTATAAAATGAAATATTAAAGGAAGATCGGGTTGATATGCTGCTATCCCGCTGCAATTCGTTATTGGTCTTCGACCCACTTAGGCAGTTATGCGGAGAAGTTCTTCTTCTTTTTGTCATACAAATATTTGGCATTGTGAAGTTAGACTTCTACTTTTGGGGGGATTTGTCGTTTGATATTGCAATCTCTGTTTTTATTTTCCGTCTTCTTCTTTTTTTAGTTATAAATAAATTTTTATTTTTCCGTGTAGCAGTTCAGTGGTGTTGCGAAACGTTGTCGCGGTTTCATTAACCTTCACTTTGAACCTGTTATAAACTCTGTTTTTTTTTGCTTGCTGTGCTTGGTTTTGTTTCTTTTTTTTTTTTTTTTTGTTAAAAGTTGATCTTTGCTTGGCCTTTTGTTGTTGATTTTTTCTTGACGTTACTCATTTTCCGTGTTTAGGCTGGCTATTGGTTTAGCGGCTGCTACTGCTGATCATGATGATGCTTGTTTGTTGGTTTGTTGCCTTACACAAATCTAAATAAGATCAAGGTAATTAATTGTATTAATGTATTGGCCAGGCAGGCAAAAACAAAACACACAGATGTCTAGCAAGTTGCTGCTTGTTTCACATGCAACAACAACAGCAACACAAATGGGAGTACAACAATGTAGTACGTTTGCTATTATCAATTGCTCTTCTTGTTGTTGTTTTTGTTCTTCTCTTTCAGTTAAAATTTGCAACACGTCAAGTGTTTTTTCACTACTATATTCTTCGTTTCCGTTTTCTTCTTCTTATTTTTTCTTCTACGTCTACGAAGAATCTAATCTTTTGATATTTATCAAAACAATAATAATAATAATAAATTCAACTACACGCACTCACACACACTTGCATTATTTTCTATTATTCTTGGTCGTCTGTCGTCATTATTCTTTCTTCCACTTTTATTTCTTTATTATCATTGTAAAAAACCAACAACAACAAAAAATGTGTCAATTTTCCATCAAACTCTCATCTTATGCGGTTGGTGGGGTTAAATTAATTTTCTCTCTTTTGCATTACCACTAAACAAAAAAAAAAACAAACACAATTTACATTATTAACACAATTTGTGGTTTAATTTAAACATTTTATTTGTTTAAATATCAATTAATTATATATTTTTTGTATTTTTTACATTCGACGACGGACAATCCACCTATTTTTTCCATTCACCACTTGACAACTGACAACTCAGTGGATGTGGACACAGACAATCGATACTTACTATCGATATTTTTCCTCTTTGCCATCAATGACAATTGACTATCGGTTACTTTACAAAGAGAGGGAATTAAAGCACATTTACAAGGGACAAAGAAAATTATATTAAAAAATAAAATAATTGAAAAAAATAAAAAATAATAATTTAAAAAGAAAATAAAAAAAAATAATTTAAAAAGAAAATAAAAAAAAATAATTTAAAAAGAAAATAAAAAAAAATAAAAAAATAATTAAAAAAATAATTTAAAAAAATTAAAAAAAAATACAAAAATAATTAAAAATAAAACAAAAATAATTAAAAATAAAACAAAAATAATGTAAAAAAATTACGCTTTCTTAGGAGCCGCAAAAAATTATTTAAAAAAATCTACGTCTTCTAAGAAACCCCCCAAAAACAAATATTAAAAAAAACCACGCCTTCTAAGAAACCCCCCAAAAATCCGCGCCTTCTAAGGAAGACGAAAAAAATATATAAAATACACCTCAAAAATTATTTAAAAAATCCACACCCTGTAAGGAAACTCAAAATTTTTTTTTTAATTTTTTTTATTCAAAATCACTATCTTTGCTATCATCTGGCTCTGCATACTCCTCCTCGTCATCCGATGATATTCGACGACTTTTCTTGGATTTTTTACAAAATTTTTCCTCCAAACTACACGGATCAGGAGCTTCTCGTTTATCTCCCTGCAGTTCGGATTTCTTCTTAACCTCCCCCTGCGACCGGTGATGGAAAACAAATGTTATACATTTACTGGTACGCCATGCCTCAGCCAGATTACTATCCGGTAGACCACGATTATTTGAACAATGATACCACTGCGACAAATGGGAGGTGCAATCGGTATTTTCCGGTGGCGGTTCGGTTTGTATATTATTGACACAACGTTTGCATTTGAGTCTGTAGGTAAATTTGAGAAAAAAAGTTTGGCATTTAAAAATTCCAAAAAAAAAAGTGTTCGAAAAATATTTTTGTTTACTTGTTGTGGGTATCCGATAAGATCCCCGGTTCATAGCGAAACAAATCCTTTAAGTCGTCTCGGGTAAAATGTTTCTCTTCACTTTCATTATTATCGATAATTGTGCTCGATAGGGATTTCTTGTGGGTTTGGCGCTGCAGGATTTTCTCTTCAATGGAACCAGTCTGTAAAATAAATAAAAAAATGATTTTAAATATTTTTTTAATTGCTCAAAAATTTTGAAAACCCACCGCCACCAGCCTATAAATAAAACATGGTTTCTTCTGGCCATCTCTCCAAATTCGGGCCATGGCTTGTTCATCATTTGCCGGATTCCAATCGGGGTCGAACATAAACAAACGATTGGCACCAATTAAATTCAGGCCACAACCCCCAGCCTTGGAGCTTAACATAAACAGGAAACAATCCACCGAGGGGTCATTGAAACGCTCCACAACTTTGTTACGTTTCTTAATGGACATGGTACCATCCAATCGGACAAAGGGATATTTTCTAAAAGTACCAAAAAAATATTAAAAATGAAAAAAAAAAAATTTCAGGGACCCCACCTCTTCCTTGCCAACTGTTCAAATAAATCCAGGGTTTGGGTATAATTTGAAATTAACACAACCTTATCATCGCTATTGGTTCGTATGGTGGCCAGCATAAAATCCAATAACATGAATTTGCCACTTAGTTCGGGGTTTATTTCTCTGAAAATTTAATAAAAAATAAAATTTATTTGAAAATCCAAAAACTCTTGAACTTACTTGGTACTATGATTTGCGGGAAAGATTGTTTGGGCATTTTCAAAGCCATTTTCTCTTGCCAAGACTTTGTCATATATCAAATCCGGATGGCTGCATAATTTCTTCAGATTTGTTATATCGGCCAAGGCAGTAAGGGAGGTAACCTTTTCATTGCAATCTAAAAAATATATTTTTAGGGGTCATTAGAGGTCTAGATTAAAAAAAATGTTCAAGAGGCATGGATTTTTTCAAAATACTTTTGTCCAATTTTACTCACCTTGCAAATTTTTCCGCACCTTATCCGATTTCAAAAAATTCACATATAACGCCTCCTGCAGAGGTGTCATTTTTGCACATATTACCATTTCGAATTTAACCGGTAAGTATTTAGTTAAAATTTGATTAGTACGCCTTATAATACATTGATTAACTAAGCCAATCAATTCTTGGGTCTTTTCCACCGCCCTTTGCCGCTCTTTATCACTTGAATCGGCATTTTGTCCTCGCAGTATGGCATTTTCAAAATTCCGCTTAAACTCAGCGGCCGTACCCAACATTTCGGGATTGACAAAATTAACTAAACTAAAATATTCGGTGAGATCGTTTTGTATGGGTGTACCCGATAGCAGGACACGTCGTTTCGTTTTCAGACGCATCAAGGCTTGATAAGTTAAATTATCACTGTTCTTTAGGCGATGACCTTCATCGCATATGACCATGCCGATTTCATTGCGACACAAAATATCGGCATAGATGCGAAAGGTTTCATAACTTATCACCAAGACGGGTGTGCCGCAACGTTGGCTGGTGTTGTAGGCAAATTGTTCCAAGGCACGTATGTTGTCCTCCTTGGAACCACCCTCCATTGGCAGGCAATGCAGGCGACCATGTAGCCATTTGTGAAATTCGTTTTCCCAATTTTTCACCAACGACGAGGGGCAAACAATAATGGCCTTGGATATTGTCGGCTTGCAGTCAGGACTTTGACGTAACAGTGTCCAAGTCAGGGTAACACATTGTAGAGTTTTACCCAAACCCATTTCATCGGCCATAATACAACCGTTGAAGGGTCCCCGTTTACCCTCAACACACTCGTACATAAATTTGACGCCTTCACGTTGATGCGGTCGCAATATGTTACTCAGGATTGGATCGACAACAACATGTACCAGCATTTTCGAAGGATCCATAGTGACACGTTCGTGTTCCGTATACACAGGTGGGCTATATAGAACTAAGGCATTACAGGCATGCGGATCATGTAAGGCCTTGCGTACTGTTGATCGGCGTACACCTAAACTTCGATTGGAATTATATTCGGGTACATAATTTGCTATGGGCACTTTAAAGGGTTGTGACAACACCTTCGCAATTAACTGTTCATATTCCGTGGGTGGCAGTGCAACCAACTGGGATTGCCGTGGTGTCAATGGAAGTCTTTGGATTTCCACCCTCTGTTGGTCGGTGGTTCGTTTGCGTTTATTTATAAAGGGTGTCACGAAGTTTAATTTACTTCGGGATGGAGTTTTTTGCTGGCTGGGTGCCAGACTGCGGCGCTGTAATAAACACAACAATTTTTAATGGAATATTTTAACAAATTATGGTGATTATTTTTTTGACATACCATTTTTCCTACTCTTTTTGACAACTCCTTGGAGAGTGTTGTATATCAAAGGCCAGGAAATACAATTTGGAACGGCGAATATACTTTTATGGGTGAATCATTTAATTCGCATGCACCCTTTTTGTTGTTTTATTAAACAATTTTTATTAAATATTTAATAAAAATGTAATATTTTTGTTTTTAAAGAGCTATGGCGCCTTTCAGTTGTCACATTCCATTTCGATAACATTTTCGATTACTGTAATCGTAACTCATTTGTACAGTAGGAATACAGGGTTGCCAATTGTAGCTCATTACAACATATACAAGGCTTACAAGGGATAAAATATTTTTTTTTTGGATGCACACAAAAATTTAAAAAAAAAAATTAAATTAAAAAAAAATTCTCCAAAGATTAAAAAAAATTCTTCAAAAATTAAAAAAAAATCTATAAAAATTTTGCAAAAACTTTTTTCTTCAAAAAAAAAAAATTTCTACAAAAATTTAAAAATACATTTTTTTCAAAAATTTTAAAAACATTTTTCTTCAAAAATGTAAAAAAAAAATTCTCCTAAAATTAAAAAAAAAATCTTCAAAAATTAAAACAAAATATTCTACAAAAATTAATATTCTTCAAAAACTTAAAAATTTTCCTTAGCAAGGGTGGATTTTTTAAATATTTTGTTGGGGTCCCTTAAAAAAATTAAAATTTTTCTACAAAAATAAAAAAAAAACATTTTGATTTAAAAAAAAAAAAATCTTTAAAAATTTAAAAAAAATTATTCTAATTAAAAAAATATCTTTAAAAAATTAAAAAAAATATTTTGACTTTTTAAAGAAAATCTTTAAAAAAATATATGGATTTTTTAAAAAAATTCTTTAAAATTTAAAAAAAATGTTTGATTTTTTTTATTCCGCCTAATAAATTAACCATATTTTTTCTTAAAATTTTTTAACAATTGTGTTTTTTATTAATTTTGTAATTAGTTATAATAATTGCTCTTACATTTTGTTGTTAATTGTTGTCGTTATTTTTTCAAATTAATTAATATCTTACAATAAAAAAATCGGGATTGAATAGCCATATATATATTATGTACTATATACACTAGTCATTTAAAGCTGTTTGTTAATTTGGTTAAAAGAATTGTTTTATTTTTTTATTTTTGCATTTCAATTTCCCACAGCCTCCTCAATCTGTTTTTTTTTTTTTTTTTTGTAAAGAAGTTTTTCATTAAAAGTTTTTTTTTGTATTTTACAGTGTTAATAGTTTTCATTTCCAACTCGTTTCCTTTTCTTTGTTGGCTTGGCAGTAGAAATTAATTTGGGAAATTTGATTATTGTTATGTTAGAAAGTAGAAGAAGAAAATGTAGTTTATATAGTTTCAAAAAATATTTTAACTATTAGTTAGGGTTTTGGAATTTAAGATGAGATTTTATATTATGTCGAAAACAATGTTTTTTATTATGAATAATATTTTTTGGTTTCATTTGTCTATATAGTTTTTAGCAAGATATAGCTCAACAAAACTTAACATAAAATTTTGGTTTTTTTCAGTTTTACGAAAAAATGCAATAGTTTGTTTTAATAAAAATACATGGTTATATAATAGGATGGATAATAAATGGTATAACATATGCCCTTTGTGGGCGAAGATAAAAAACAAAAATAATTTCGTAATTTTACACATCCTGTATTTCACTCCAAACATTACTTTTTTCGGGCGGCTTCTCCAATGGTGGCACTATATTTTGACACTCATTGAGAAAGGTCTTTAAACCTTGATAATATCTGAAAAAAACCAAAAGAAAAATTAAAATAGAAATGAATTTGAATTCGAAAAAAAAGATTGTTCTACACACCCATCTACAATCCATGTATCGTTGTGTGAGCCTCCTATAAATTCTAGTATACGTTTACGATCACTGCCACATGCCGTATATAAGGCACGCATCATACGTGGTGGTACCAAATTATCACTTAAACCGCTAACAAATAGAAATGGCACTGAGCATTTTGAAATTTTGGTTATTGAATCGAACTGGAAAAAAAGGAAAAACAAGAAAATTTAATTTAAAAAATTATTTAAAAAATCCACGCCTTATATAGGTCTCCAAAAACTATGTAGGTCTCAAAAAAATTATTTAAAAAATCCACGCCTTATACAGGTCTCCAAAAACTATTTAGGTCTCAAAAAAATTATTTAAAAAATCCACGCCTTATATAGGTCTCCAAAAATTATTTAGGTCTCAAAAAAATTATTTAAAAAATCCACATCTTAGGTCTCCAAAAAATTATTTAGGTCTCCAAAAAAATTATTTAAAAAATTCACGCCTTATGTAGGTCTCCAAACAATTATTAGGTCTCCAAAAAAATTATTTAAAAAATCCACGCCTTATGTAGGTTTCCAAAAAATTATTTAGGTCTCCAAAAAAATTATTTAAAAAATCCACGCCTTATGTAGGTCTCCAAAAAATTATTTAGGTCTCCAAAAAAATTATTTACGAAAAATTATTTAGGTCTCCAAAAAATTATTTAAAAAATCCACGCCTTATGTAGGTCCCCAAAAAAGTTATTTAGGTCTCTAAAAAATGATTTCAAAAATCTACACCTTATATTATCTCACCTTATTTTTATACAAAATATTTGGTACATATTTTACAGATGGATGTACCAGCTCCACTGCCATTTCCGGTATACTTGTAAATGTATTTTCAACAATGGCACACATTATTTTTTGGCTATATATGGTATCGGCGGCCACATCAATGGCCACGGCACCGCCCAATGAACGACCAAAGACTACAATCTGGCTATGATCCAAATCGTGACGAGTATAGAGATAATCAATGGCCGCCCTTGCATCCGTTACCAAGCCACGTTCACTAGGCGCTCCTGTCGATAGGCCATAGCCACGATATTCCAACATCAGAATGTTACAATTGAGGCTATAAAAGATGCCCCATACATTTTGCATACGATGACCCATATTGCCGGCATTACCATGCAAATAGACAAATGTCGGTACACTTTTGGACCGCTCTTCGGGCTGGCTGACCCAAAAGGCATGTAGGGTAACCTTGTCGGCGGTGCGTATACTCACTGTCTCATGAGGTAGATTATGCATGGTGGGTATGGGTATATAGACACGGGAGTTTGCCGGTAAATCGGGATGATACAATAACACATCCTGGCCATAATAGAAAATACCTAAAATGAAACATCACGAATTAATAGTTTTCGATTTTTCGTATGGTCGTTCGCCGCACTTACCCAACAACACCAAACCGATTAGGCCAAAGGTTAAATAACCACCATAGAAATAATAAAAAATAAAACATAACAGAAATGAGGCCACTGTTATGGCCCATACGCTACGCGATTGTGGCAGCTTAACCACAGCCATTTCTTTGGTTAACGTCGGCATGCTTGTGTTTGCTGCTGCGTTCCTCCTACTACTCCGTTTCACAAAAAATTCTCTAGCTAATTAGGAAATATTAATTTCATTGCCATTATTTTCCGAATTCCAAAAAACCCAAATACTACTTCATAAGCTCCATCATCACCATCAACATGATTTGCTTTGCTTTGAAGAAAGAACGAGCGTACAAAGCGTAAGTTTTGTTGTGCTGGAAAATGTATGAAATTGTCGTCTCTGCAGCAGCGGGAAAATGTTTTCACATGTAGATTTTTTTAATTTCTTGCAATTTTTATGCAAATTAATATCCTTCGTAAAGGATTTACGTTATAATTAGGAATTTTTATTAGGACTTTGAAGGATTTTTTTGCTTTTATTTACAGGCCGTCAACATGGTTCTATAGATCGATAACAGACATCATTAGGGTTGACACAATCGATTGTGGCCAAGTGTGTTGACACATTGGGGGCGAAATGTTTATCATGTTTGTAGGTATTCACACAAGGTGTAGATTTTTTAAATAATTTTTTTGAGCTTCCCTAGAAGGCGTAGATTTTATAAATATTTTTTTGGGGTTCCTTAGAAGTTGTACAGCATTATTGTAATCAAATAAATTCCAGGTAGGACCCTTAGTGTCTTGAGTTTCATATAAGGCCATATTTTGACAAAAATCGCAATCTTTCTTCTTTAAAAAAAGCTGAATAGGTCCCGCCAGGACCAATGAAGGTCTTGCGGATCCATATTTTTGGAAATGTTGCTACGATTTCAAATTATTTTTATTCATTTTATAATGAAGAGGCAATTTGGGGCTCTAATACAGCCTTATTATAATCAAAAAAAATTCCAATGAGGACCCTTAGTGTCTTGAGTTTCATATGAGGACTCTTAGGGTCTTGAGAATCCAAATCTGATACAAAATTGCTGTTGAAATTTCTTAAATTTAAAATTAATATTAATTCTCAAACGTGGAGGAGCAATTTGGTGGACAAAAATCGGGGGGCGGACAATGCAATTCCCCTTCAGGACCCTAAGATCTGTTTTGTATAATTTAAAAATTTATAAAATTTTGGGGTTTCATATGAAAACGATTCCATGTAAAGCTTGAAATAACCAAAAGTTACCCGAAAACCCCACAAATTCCGCCAGGTCCATAAGGGACACTTTAATTTTGGCACATAATTCGATGTTTTCTAGAGAATATTCCGTAAAATATTGAAACAACTCGATGCCGGATATCATATAGAGCTTAAAATAAAACAAAATAACCAAAAATAAGCCACAAATTCCGCCAGGTCCATAAGAGATCTTTGAAGATTCCCTTGATTTTTGGTTATAATCATCAAAATTCGGAGTTTCTTATGTTAAATTCTGGAAAATCTTAACACAACTTCATGCAGGATACCATATAGAGCTTGAAATAAACAAAAATGATCTGAAATCACCCATAAATTCCGCAGGGACCACAAGAGATCTTTGAAACCCCGCTTAATTTTGGGATATAACCACCCAAATTCGGATTTTCTTTGGGATATAATGATCAACATTCGGAGTTTCTTAGGTTAAATTCCGTAAAATCTTATCACAATTCCATAGAAATCTGCCCGAAAGATTCCCACAAAAATCCATTGAAAATTTTCCCATAATTCTTTAGAAAACCCCTTGAAAATACCCTAAAATCTGTGAAATTTTTTCAAAATTCGCAAGAAAATCTTCATAAAGCTTCGAAAATCCGAATAAAATTCGTTTTGAAAAATTTGCCACCATCAAAGTGATTACGTACAAGGCGTGTATTTTTTTGGGGTTCCTTAGAAGGCGTAGATTTTTTAAAAAAAATTTTGGGGTTCCTTAAGGTAAGGTCACACTAGGCAAATATATGACGAAAAGTGTCAAATATTTCTTTATTTAACTTATTTTTTTATTAATTTATTTTATTTTTTTAATTGATTTTATTTATTAATTTCTTTCTTGTCTCATCTCATGAAAATGACCTCTGGCTGTCAAAAATGGCCACACTCTCTATTTTTCTTCCATTCGATAATAAACATATCGATAACTGCCACTGATGCTTAGTAGTCAAAAGTCGACCTACCTATCCCTAATATACAAGATGGCTGTCATAAAGTCGTAGCCTGTGAACGTATAATTCCATATAAAAATAAAAATATTTTATATATATGTAAAACAAACAGTGCACAAAAACAACTATAAATACATTTTGTTAAATAACAACAACACCTGCTGGATTCTGTTTCTTGCCACACGTTTTATTAATTTTATGAAATTTAAGTGAATTATTTTGTGAAGCACATTACAAAAGTAGCATTCTAATCAGTACGAATAAGAAAATCAAGGCAAATGTGAAAGAAATAAAAGAGAATAAAAAATAGAAATAGAGGTACGCCAAGAAGAATTCCATATATGATGAACGGCAAAGCGTAATGTTCGAAAACGACGACGAACGCGTTGACCCTCAAATTAAGTGGTCGTAAATTGCAGGCTGGCAACACTGTACCCAAAAAACAAAATGGCGATTTTCGACAAATGACTTGTGAATGGAAAGCGAAGACGACGTGAAAAATTTCTGTGTGCTGCGTTGGAGAAAAAAAATTCAATACCTGACAAGAGAAAAATTTTTTTTAAATTAAGTGCAAGTTTTTGCCAAGAAAAAATATTTGAAAATTTTCCAAACAAAGTGCTGCGATTAATGTCTACTACAAGAATAAAGCCCATGCAGATTAAAAAATATCATGAGTCAGGTAAGTCGGCAAAAAAAAGTGGAGCTGTGGATATTTGTTAAATTTTGGCGCTTAAAATTATAAATATTTGAATAATTTTTATGGAATTCTATTAAATAGACTATGCCTGATATTTACCAATAGTTTCCGGGTCTTCCGTCTGCTGGGTGTGGCTAGAAATTTCGGTAATATTATGGAGTCTCAAGTTGAGACACCTTATGGGGAAATTGCCAATAAGCGGTTTGGCTGCTGCCTGCAAATGGGATCGATTTGAAAATTTGCAAAAATTTCCAATTTCCAAAAATTGTTTCACAATTTTCTCCATCGATTTGGAAACTAGACGAATCGAGGAATTTGAATATGTGAAAATTTTGAAAATCCATTAGGTACCCATTTTTGCAATTTTAACTTAAATTCTAATATTTTGATTTGTTTTCAGTCGATTCGATGTGAAATTTGCCTAAAAATCATATCCTTTTTATTGAAAATATGATATTTTTCGAAAAAATCGCCTTGATTACGTAATCACTTTGCTGGTGGAAAATTTTTCAAATCGAATTTTATCGGGATTTTTGAAGATTTTTAAAGATTTTCTTGGGAATTTTGAAGAAATTTCATAGATTTTAGGGTCTTTCCGAGTGTTTCCTAAAGGATTTTGTGAAAATTTTCAATAGATTTTTGTGGCAGGTCTTTTGGGCAGATCCCGATGGAATTGTGTGAAGATTTTACGGAATTTAACCTAAGAAACGCCAAATTTTGATGATTTTACCACAAAATTAAGGGGGTTTTGAAAGGATCCTTATGGACCTGGCGAAATATGTGCGTGATTTCAGGTAATTTTTGTCTATATTAAGGTCTACACCGAATCCTGCATGAAATTGTGTTTAGATTTTCCAGAATTTGACATAAGAAACCCCGAATTTTGATGATTATATCCCAAAATCAGGGGGATTTTGAAAAATGGGTTGTGGTCCCTGCGGAATTTGTGGAGTATTTCAGGTTATTTTTGTCTATTTTAAGCTCTACATGGTATCCTGCATCGAGTTGTGTTAAGATTTTACGGTATTTAACCTAAGAAACCCCAAATTTTGATGATTATATCCAAAAATCAGGGGGATTTTCAAAGGTTGCCTACGGACCTGGCGAAATCTGTGAGGCATTTCAGGTCATTTTGGTTTATTTTATGCCCTATATGGTATACTGCATTGAGTTGTGTTAATATTTCAGGGAATTTAATTTAAGGAACCCCGAATTTAGGTGGTTATATCCCGGACATTCAAAGATCTCTTGTAGCCCCTGCGGAATTTGTGCCTGATTTCAGGTCATTTTTTGTTTTTGTTTTTTTTTTTCAAGCTCTTTATGGCATCCTGCATGAAGTTGTGTTTCCATTTTTCGGAATTTAAACTAAGAAACCCCAGATTTTGATGATTATATCCCAAAATCAAGGGGTTCCCCTACGGACCTGGTGGAATTTGTGGGGTATTTAGATAATTTTTGTCTATTTTATACTATACACGGTATCATGAATGAAGGTGTGTTAAGATTTTGCGGAATTTAACCTAAAATCAAGAGGGTTTTCAAAGATCTCTTATGGTCTCTTCGGAATTTGTGGGATATTTTAGGATATTTTTATTGATTTTAAGCTCTATATGGTATCCTGCATAGTGTTTTATCAATATTATACGGAATCTCCTCTAGAATCAAAGGGATTTTCAAAGGTCCCTTGTGGTCCCTGCGGATTTTGTGGGGTATTTTAGGTAATTTTTGTCAGTTTTAAGCTCTACATGGTATCCTGCAGTGAGTTGTGTTAAGATTTTAAGGAATTTAACCTAAAATCAAGGGGGTTTTCAAAGATCTCTTGTGGTCCCTGCGGAATTTGTGGGGTATTTTAGGTAATTTTTATTGATTTTAAGCTCTATATGGTATCCTACATGGAGTTTTGTTAATATTTTACCAAATTTACTCTAGATAACATCGAAATATGTCCCCTATGGACCTGGCGGAATTTTTGGGGTATTTCGGGAATTTTTGGTTATTTCAAGCTCTACACGAAATCCTGAGAGTAATTGTGTTAATATTTCCAAACGCTTTCATATAAAACCGCCCAATTTTTTTTTTTAAATTTTTAAGTTATACAATGCAGATTTTTGGGTCCTTGTGTTTTTGAGGGAGAAAGGTTGGTATTTTTGTTACAATATATCCTTTATGTTTGGAGTGAATCGAAATCCTACCCGAAATTGGAATTTAATTCGAAATTTTCGAACCGATTCGGGGCCCTAAATGAAGCTCAAGGCCCTAAGGGTCCTCATTGGATTTTTTTCACCCATTATTGTTTCTTCAATATTAAAAACAATAAAAAAGATTTAAAATTATAGTAACTGTTCGATAAATATGGATCCGCAAGACCTTTATTGGTCTTGGCGGGATCTATCCAGCTTTTTTTTAAAGGAGGAAGGTTGCGATTTTTGCCAAAATATATCCTTTATGTTTGGAAAAATTGGAAATTGAAATTTAATTCGAAATTTTTAAATCGATTTGCGACCTTATATGCAACTCAAGACCCTAAGGGTCCTCATTGGAATTTATTTGATTACAAAAATGCTGTGTTTGAGTCCCTAATTGTTTTTTCCATATTTAAAAATAATACAAATGATTTGAAATTATAGCAACTGTTTGAAAAATATGGATCCGCAAGAACTTTATTGGCCCTTGCGGGACATATCCAGCTTTTTGGAAAAAGAAATGTTGCGATTTTTGTCAAAATATATCATCGGAAAAATTGGAAATTGAAAATTAATTCGAAATTTTAAATCGATTCGAGGCCTTATATGAAACTCAATACCCTAAGTGTTCTCACTGGAATTTATTTGATTTCAATATTGTTGGGTTTGAGTATATAAAAAAAAAAACAATACAAATAATTTGAAATTATAGCAACTGTTTGAAAAATATTGATTCGCAAGATCTTTATGGGTCCTGGCGGGACAATACCCAGATTCTTTTGAAGGAGAAGGGTTTGCGATTTTTGTTAAAATATATGTTTGGGAGAATTGAACAAGAAATTGGATTTTAATTCGAAATTTTTGAACCGATTTGTGGGACCCTATATGAAATTCAAGGCCCAAAAAAGGGCACATTTTAAATCAAATTGGCTGTAATTTGATATATTGAGTTCTCATCGGGTAGCAAATCTCCCTACCAAAATTTATCGATCTCTACTTTTAAGGGTAGCCTCCATGAAACGGTACCCTTAATTATTCGAATTTTTGCGGATTTTTGGCATTTTTTTTAAATCAAATTGGCTTTAATTTGGTACTTTGCGTTCTCATTGGTAAAGAAATCTCCCTACCAAAATTTATTGATATCGGTCTGCTTTAAAGGGTAGGCCCCATATAAGGGTACCCTCGGATTTGTGGCACATTTTTAAATCAAATTGGCTGTAATTTGGTACTTTGTATTAGGAAATCTCCCTACAAAAATTTATTGATATCGGTCTGCTTTTAAGGGTAGCCCCCATATAAGGGTGCCCTTATTTTTACGGATTTTTAACAAGTTTATTGGTAGAATTAGCTGCAAATTAATATATTGGGTTCTCATTGGGTATTAAATCTCCCTATCAAAAATTTTCGATATCGGTGTAGTTTTAAGGGTAGCTCTCATGTAAGCGTACCCTTTAATATTCGATATTTTGCGGATTTTTGGCACATTTTTGAATCAAATTGGCAGTAATTTGGTACTTTGAGTTCTCATTGGGTAAACTATCTCCCTACCAAAATTGAGCGATATCGGTCCACTTTTAAGGGTAGCCTCCATGCTGTGGTACCCTTGGGAATTTCCCCCTACCAAAAATTATCGATATCGGTTCACCTTTTAGGATAGCTTTTCTACCGATTTGTAATAGTGTTTACACAATTTTACCGCCATTTTTGAACTATTTCATCGAATTTACCTATCCTACCTGTTTACAATTTAATTTTCATATCATAGGTGCTATGTTATCTAATCTGGAGATAGAATGAAGACGTATTTTTGTCACTACACTACTCTGCTGCTGATAACCAAAAAATTTATGTAATTTGTTTTTTAAAAATATGCTAATTTTAAAATAATCAAGCGGAATTGAATTTGAACAAAAATCTGATACTACTACAATTTATGCTATTATCAAAAAAAAAAAAAAAAAAAAAACAACAATTTTACAAAAAATAAAATCAACAAACGTAGACAATTTTTTTTTTTTCAAAAAAAAAAAAAAAAAAATTAAATTTTTTTCAAAAAAAAAAAAAAAAATCAAAAATAAAATTATCAAATTTTTTTAAAAAATAAAATTTTCAAAATATTTTCACAAAATTTGTTTTTTTTTTCAAAAATAAAATTACAAAAATTTTCATTAATAAAAAACACACCTTTCAAATTGAAAAAAAAAAAACAATTAATTAAAAAATATTTTTTCCCTCCTTTTCTCTTTTTTCAAAACAGGAACACAATGAATCCTTTAACAGTATAGGATCGGAAGATAACGACGACGATAACCACCATCACCGTGGTGAAGAAGATAATGAGCATAATGCCGCCGGAGGATCGGGTAGTGGCAGCGGTAGTTCATCCGGATCTGATTCCGATTCCGACAGTTCATCATCGTCATCGAATTCCAGTGATGACGGTGGACGTTCATCGCCCGAACCACCCGATCGAGATGAAGATGATAATGCACGCGATGGCCACCAAGAGAATGTCTATCGTCTGCAGCAGCAGCATCAACAACAACAGCGGCAAGAAGCCGAAGAGGAGAAACAAAAGCAATTTGCAGAAGCTGGACTTCCACCATCAGCCATTGAGGCCCAAGAGGATACCAAAACAAATACAAATGGTTATTCGGATGATAATGAGGAGAGCGGCAGCGATGACAGTGGCAGCAATTCCGATACCAATTCATCGAATGATGACGACGAAGAGGAGGAGGCGGCAGAGGGTAATCAAACAGCAGCGACACCAGCCCAACACAACAACGACCCGACAGGAGGAGGAGGGGGACATAAAGACGAACATCATAACACTACCCACAATACAACGGGAACCTCGGTCACCACCACCACTGACAACAATACCTCACACACAACAAACGATGAAGATGACTCCAATGATTCGGATGACTCGCACAGCAGCGATAATGGCGAAGAAGAGAACCGAGAACCTCACCACATGGCTTCAGAGACGACGACGGCGGCGCCGAAGACGACGACAACAACGTCTGACGAAGGTGGAGCAGCAGCAGTGAACCACCATAGTGATGATGAGGAGGAGGAAAATTCCGATTCTGCCGAATCGGGAAAATCATCAAATTCTTCAGCAGCCCATTCGCCTACCGAATCGTCGAGTAGCAGTAGCAGCAGCAGCAGTAGTAGCAGTGTGAGTACTGACTGACACTTTCATATATAAATCTGATCGAATCGATTATAACTAAAATCCCTTTTATAGGAAGAAACTGAAGATGACTATCAGCCAAAACGTTCGGCTCGCCAAGCTCGAAAACCCCAACCTGTCGCCGTCGAAAGATCAAGGAAACCAGTCAAAAAGAAAAAGCGCCAAAAGTAAGATCCTCCTCCACAATTCGATGGCTTAACTTTGCTGATGAGATGTCCTCTCTTTTTCTCACTCTCTCCCCCTCTCTTTTTTGGAAATTTTGAAATTTCTTTTTTTAGCTGGAATTCCGATGAAAGTGATGAAAGCGATGAGGACAGCGAAGACTCAGCGCCGCCCTCGAGACGTAAACCGCCGCCAGCCAAACAAAAACAACAGCGAAGAAATAGGAAGTCGGCTTCCACGGAGGATAGTGGAGAGGATAGCAAGAGGTAAGTTGTGATTGAATTCTATTTTTTTTTTTTTTTTTTTGAAATACTTACTTAGCTGGTTTGTGTCAGAACTTTCGTTCCATAAGCCGAGCTTAAAAATTTCCAGGCGCGTCGGTCTTTTGCGCAGTTTTTCCAATTTGAAAGACCATTTTCGGCTATGTTATCTTCGATTTGATCTTTCCATCGTATTCGCTTTTATATGCCTTCTGGGCTGGGCATCTTCATCTATTCTCACAACATGTCCTAGCCAACGTGTACAGAGTGCCGCCATTTCTGTTCACTTTTGTGGGACCTTAAAAAATATTTAAAAACAATTTTTTTTCTTCCCTTTCTCAGATGTGGTACGCGCCGTGCCGCCGCCGCTGTCAGCTATAAAGAAGATTCCGATAAAACCGATCCCGACGATCTCCTCGAAGTTGAATATGACGAAAGTCAAGCAGAGGCAGCTGCCTTGGCGGCGGAAGAAGATGAAAAATGTGAGACTATCGAAAGGGTGTTGTATAAACGTCAGGGCAAAAAAGGCTGTACCGGCAATCAGACGACAATTTATGCCATCGAAGATAGTGGCTGTGACCCGAATGAGGGTGTCGATGAAAACGATTTGGAAAATACCGAAACACAATATCTGATCAAGTGGAAGGGCTGGTCTTACATCCACAACACCTGGGAGTCGGAGGCAACGCTGCGCGAACAAAAAGTCAAGGGTATGAAGAAATTGGATAATTTCATCAAGAAGGAACAGGAGCAGGTCTATTGGATGCGTTATGCCGGACCGGAAGATATCGATTATTATGAGTGCCAAAAGGAGCTGCAAAATGATTTAATTAAATCGTACAACAGTGTGGATCGGATTATAGCACGAAATGTGAAGCCAGAAGGTGGGGTGGTGGAGTATCTATGTAAATGGCAATCGTTGCCCTATGCAGAGGCTACATGGGAAGATGGGGCATTGGTGATGCGCAAATGGAAACGCTGTGTGGAACAATTTGAGGAAAGGGAGATGTCAAAATGCACCCCCTCACGGCATTGTAAGGTGTTGAAAAATCGCCCGAAATTTTATAAAATAAAAAATCAACCCGATTTCCTAAGAGAGGGTTTAACCCTCCGCGACTATCAAATGGATGGTCTGAATTGGCTGTTGCATTCGTGGTGTAAGGAGAATTCCGTTATCTTGGCCGATGAAATGGGTCTGGGTAAGACGATACAGACCATCTGTTTCCTTTACTCCCTGTTTAAGGTCCATCATTTGTATGGACCGTTTTTGTGTGTGGTACCGCTGTCGACAATGACCGCCTGGCAGCGAGAATTTGATCTCTGGGGACCCGATATGAATGTGGTCACCTATTTGGGTGATGTCAAGTCACGCGAAATGATACGTCAGTACGAGTGGACATTTGACGGTTCGAAAAGACTGAAATTTAATTGTATTCTCACGACCTATGAGATTGTGCTGAAGGTGAGTGGGGGATTGAAAAATTTTAAATTGATAATTTTTAAATGGGGTCCTCTTCTTTTTTACAGGACAAACTGTTCCTGGGTACATTGCAATGGGCAGCATTGCTGGTCGACGAGGCTCATCGTTTGAAAAACGACGATTCTCTGCTCTACAAATCGCTCAAAGAGTTTGAAACCAATCATCGACTGCTGATTACCGGCACCCCGCTACAAAATTCCCTAAAAGAGCTTTGGGCCCTGCTACATTTTATTATGCCCGAAAAATTCACCACCTGGGAAGATTTCGAATTGGAACATGGCAATGCTGCGGACAAGGGCTATACGAAACTGCATCAACAGCTGGAGCCATATATTTTACGGCGTGTCAAAAAAGATGTGGAAAAGAGCCTGCCTGCCAAAGTCGAACAGATTCTTCGCGTCGAAATGACCTCGCTCCAGAAGCAATATTACAAATGGATCCTGACCAAGAATTTCGATGCTCTGCGTAAGGGTAAAAAAGGCTCCACATCGACTTTTTTGAACATCGTCATCGAATTGAAAAAGTGTTGTAATCATGCGGCCCTAATCCGCCCTTCCGAATTCGAACTAATGGGTATGGGTCAAGATGAGGCTTTGCAAACGTTGCTAAAGGGTTCCGGTAAATTGGTACTGCTCGATAAGCTGCTCTGCCGCCTCAAGGAGACCGGTCATAGGGTGCTGATTTTTTCACAAATGGTACGAATGTTGGACATCCTGGCCGATTACCTGCAAAAGCGTCACTTCTCATTTCAACGTTTGGACGGGAGTATCAAGGGTGAGATACGCCGCCAAGCCTTGGATCATTTCAATGCCGAGGGGTCGCAGGATTTTTGCTTTCTGCTCTCCACCAGGGCGGGAGGTTTGGGCATCAATTTGGCCACAGCCGATACGGTAATCATTTTCGATTCCGATTGGAATCCCCAAAACGATCTGCAGGCCCAGGCGCGGGCCCATCGTATTGGCCAAAAGAATCAGGTGAACATTTATCGGCTGGTCACCGCCCGTTCCGTCGAGGAACAAATTGTCGAGAGGGCCAAACAGAAAATGGTACTCGACCACTTGGTGATACAACGGATGGACACAACGGGTCGCACGGTGTTGGATCGCGGCGGTTCGGGGGCCTCCAATCACACACCTTTCAACAAGGACGATTTGTCGGCCATTTTGAAATTTGGCGCCGAAGAATTGTTCAAAGACGAACAGGACAACGATGAGGAATTGGTTTGTGATATCGATGAGATTTTACGGCGGGCCGAGACCCGCAACGAAGACCCCGAAATGCCTGGGGATGATCTACTGTCCGCCTTCAAGGTGGCCAGTATTGCAGCCTTTGAAGAAGAGCCGGACACTGCCACCAAGGACAATGATTCGAACAATCAGGGTGGGGATGAGGATGATACCAAGGACTGGGATGACATAATACCCGAAGATTTCCGGAAAATTGTCGAAAACGAAGAACGGTCCAAGGAAATGGAGGATCTCTATTTGCCACCAAGGCGTAAAACCGCAGCCAATCAACAGGACAAGAAGGGGGGCAAGAAAGGTCAGGGGGAGGATAGCAATGATTCGGATTATGATGGGGGCTCCGATGGCAGCAATGATGGCGGCGAGGGTGTTGCTGGCAAATCAAAGAGACGCGGCCGCCCCGCCATGAAGGAGAAAATCATTGGCTTCACCGATGCGGAAATTCGACGCTTCATACGTTCGTACAAAAAATTCCCCGCTCCCCTGGAGCGCCTCGAAGCCATTGCCTGTGATGCCGAGCTGCAGGAGAAACCCCTGGCCGAACTGAAACGCATTGGCGAAATGCTGCACGATCGCTGTGTCCAGTTCCTGGAGGAACACAAAGATGATGCGGCGGCGGCGGTGAAAAAACCCCCTGCCACAGATAGCACTGCCGCGACAGACGATGCCGCCGCCGGAGCCAAACAGCGACGCAGTCGAGCCACCTACTCCGTTAAACTGGGCGGAGTGTCCTTCAATGCCAAAACCCTACTCACCTGCGAAGAAGAACTGAAGCCATTGAACAGTGTCATACCCGCCACCATAAACGAACGCCTCAGCTGGTCGCTGGACATCAAGACCCGCCCAGCCAATTTCGATGTGGACTGGAGTGTTGAGGAAGATTCCCGGCTGCTGTGTGGTATCTACCAATACGGCATTGGTTCGTGGGAACAAATGAAAATGGATCCCAGTCTACGGCTGACGGAGAAGATACTGCACAACGACGATCGGAAGCCCCAGGCCAAGCATTTACAATCGAGAGCGGAATATCTGCTTAAGATAATCAAAAAGAATCTGGAGACTAAAAATAAAAAAGCAAAGGGTGTGGGGGGTGGTGTGACGCGGAAGCGGAAACCACGCAAACAAAAGGAGGCCACCACCCCAAATGCTGTGGGAACCGCTGCTGAAACTCCGGAAAGGAAATCCAGACACCAATCGGTGTCACGTGATGATGAACTTTCACAAACGGCAGCGGGTGGTGGTGACAGCAATGCTGCAACCCCCCTCGAAAAGAAATCTCGCAAGGAAAGAAAAGAAAGTACCCGAAATTCCCACACCGCCGATCAATCCCTCGATGAGACAACCTCACACAGTGTGGCCGATGCCTCAAACACCTCGGAAAAACCCCGGAAAAAGAACAAAAACTCAACCAAAGACAAGGATGGTGGGGCGGGGGCGGCCACCGGTGGTGCTGGTAGTACACCCAAATCCTCGGGTAAAACGAAAAAATCTGCCAATTCGGATTCCACGAATAAACCCATGCATTTTACCGCCAACAATGAACCCCGAGCTTTAGAAGTTTTAGGCGATCTCGATCCGAATATCTTCAACGAATGTAAAGAGAAAATGCGACCGGTTAAGAAAGCGCTCAAGGCTCTCGATCGTCCCGATGCTAGCCTCTCGAGTCAAGATCAAATCAAACACACGAATGACTGCATCCTATCGATTGGCAGGCAAATTGATGCCTGCCTTGAGGCATACCACAAGGATTCCGAAAAGAAGGAATGGCGTTCGAATTTATGGTATTTTGTTTCGAAATTTACGGGTAAGTAGACTAAAATATTTAATTTTTTTCACAATTTGTTTAAGAAATTTATTTCTGCAAAAAAAAAATCAAAAATGGCGTTGATTTTTAAAATAAATTTTTAAATTTTTTCAAAAAAAATTTTTTTTTTTTTTAAATTTTATTTATTTATTTTTTTTTTCTTTTTGAAAAATTTTATTTTATCAAACGTTTATGTTTATTTTCTGTATTCTATTTTTTTTTTCTAACCAGAATTCGATGCCAAAAAACTCTTTAAAATGTACAAAAATGCCCTTAAAAATACCGATGGTGATACGTCAAAATCTTCGGCGAAATCCTCATCTCAATCGCCGCAGAAGCGATCGAAAGACGATTCTCTAACACAAAACGGCAAAGATGATAAATCGCCAGTTAAAAAGAAGAAAAAGGATAAGGACAAAGGAGAAAGAGGAGGCGGGGATGATAAAAACGCAACCGCCGCCGCATCAACAACACCCAAATCGGAACGTTTTATGAAAGTGGGTAATGCAAATAAACCACCGCCACATACACCAGGTGCTAGTGGTAGTGGCATGCCTCCGCATATGAATAAAAACAAAAGACCACCACCACACACTCCAGGTGGTGGCGGTGGTCACAATAATTCGCCCATGAAACGTAAACGTGATGATATAGAGGGGGGAGGTGGTGCTCCGGGAGGCCCTGCGAGTATGGGTGGTGGTGACACCAAATCGCTGTCATTTAAAAGGCTCAATATGGATGATCAGGGAAGGTAAGGAAATAGTTATTTTATTTTTTTTTTATAAAAAATATTTTTTAGAAAAATAATTGTTTATAAAAAAATATTTTTTAAAAATATATTACAAGGCAAAATTCAAATAATAAAAATATATTTTTATTTTTTTCAAATACATATATAATTTTTTTAAACAATATTTGTTTTTACAGAAACCGCGACGATCGCAAAAATCGCCATCGTGACGATTACTATGGCAGCGGCAATAGTCATGACGGTTTGAATACCAGTCGCGGCAGTGTTGGCAGCAGTGGCGGCGGCAATGATCGTCGCACATCAATGAATTCACCCTCCACACCGAATAGTCGCATGCATCCCAACAATTCGCGTTTACCACCCGGCAGTACATCGTCACCATATTGTGATGGTGGTGGTAGTGGCGATCGTTGGGGTCACAATCGAGATCGGTAAGTTGAGCAAAATTAATATTAAATTTTTAGTGAAGTTGTAGGTGAAGCGGAAAGAGTTTCTCAGAGGATGTTTTTTATAAAAATTTAAATTAATTTAAATTGTTTCATGGTAATTTTCAGATATAACAGTGGCAGTGGTGGCGGCGACTACAATAAACGTGATCGTTATGACTCCTACAATAATCGTCCTGGCGGTGGTGGTGGAGGAGGAGGAGGTTATCATCATCGAGATCACAAAGATCGAGATAGAGATCGAAGATTTGACAAAAGAAGGTAAGGGAGATTATTTGCATTGGCAGATCATTTACATAGAGTATGAATAGTAGTGGTCCTAAAACTGATCCTTGTGGAACCCCCCATATAAAAGGGGCATATAATCTGATCTAACTCCATTATACATAAGAAATTGGGAATCGGTCGAAAGTCTGTATAGAGACCACAGGTCTTTATAAAGACCAATTGGTCTGTATAGAGACCACAGGTCTTTATAAAGACCAATTGGTCTGTATAGAGACCACAGGTCTTTATAAAGACCAATTGGTCTGTATAGAGACCACAGGTCTTTATAAAGACCAATTGGTCTGTATAGAGACCACAGGTCTTTATAAAGACCAATTGGTCTGTATAGAGACCACAGGTCTTTATAAAGACCAATTGGTCTGTATAGAGACCACAGGTCTTTATAAAGACCAATTGGTCTGTATAGAGACCACAGGTCTTTATAAAGACCAATTGGTCTGTATAGAGACCACAGGTCTTTATAAAGACCAATTGGTCTGTATAGAGACCACAGGTCTTTATAAAGACCAATTGGTCTGTATAGAGACCACAGGTCTTTATAAAGACCAATTGGTCTGTATAGAGACCACACATGTCTTTACAAAGACCAATTAGTCTGCATATAAAGACCACAGGTCTTTATAAAGACCAATTGGTCTGTATAGAGACCACAGGTCTTTATAAAGACCAATTGGTCTGTATAGAGACCACAGGTCTTTATAAAGACCAATTGGTCTGTATAGAGACCACAGGTCTTTATAAAGACCAATTGGTCTGTATAGAGACCACAGGTCTTTATAAAGACCAATTGGTCTGTATAGAGACCACAGGTCTTTATAAAGACCAATTGGTCTGTATAGAGACCACAGGTCTTTATAAAGACCAATTGGTCTGTATAGAGACCACAGGTCTTTATAAAGACCAATTGGTCTGTATAGAGACCACAGGTCTTTATAAAGACCAATTGGTCTGTATAGAGACCACAGGTCTTTATAAAGACCAATTGGTCTGTATAGAGACCACAGGTCTTTATAAAGACCAATTGGTCTGTATAGAGACCACAGGTCTTTATAAAGACCAATTGGTCTGTATAGAGACCACAGGTCTTTATAAAGACCAATTGGTCTGTATAGAGACCACAGGTCTTTATAAAGACCAATTGGTCTGTATAGAGACCACAGGTCTTTATAAAGACCAATTGGTCTGTATAGAGACCACAGGTCTTTATAAAGACCAATTGGTCTGTATAGAGACCACAGGTCTTTATAAAGACCAATTGGTCTGTATAGAGACCACAGGTCTTTATAAAGACCAATTGGTCTGTATAGAGACCACAGGTCTTTATAAAGACCAATTGGTCTGTATAGAGACCACAGGTCTTTATAAAGACCAATTGGTCTGTATAGAGACCACAGGTCTTTATAAAGACCAATTGGTCTGTATAGAGACCACAGGTCTTTATAAAGACCAATTGGTCTGTATAGAGACCACAGGTCTTTATAAAGACCAATTGGTCTGTATAGAGACCACAGGTCTTTATAAAGACCAATTGGTCTGTATAGAGACCACAGGTCTTTATAAAGACCAATTGGTCTGTATAGACACTGCGCCTGTCCTGTACAACGTGCGCACATTCCAAGTACAGATTCGCAGATCGTGTTTCTTTATACGTTTGCGGGAGTCGTCAACTTTAGGGGGGCGTGAACTCGCGACACATATCAGCTCACTATTTGTTGTTGCTTGGCGTATCTATCATCCCCAACGCCACCCTTAGCAAATGATCAGCTGCGATATAAACACTCGCGTTTACTCAGACATAGAGTTGCCAAGTTTGTCTCTTGTAACAAAGCGAAGTTCTTAGCTGACAAACGAAATAAACTGCATGAGAATTTCGCTGGTGACTCACTTCGAGGTTAACAAGGCAAGGTTAAATGGTATCCCAAATAAACCGCCAACACTACTCAAAATTATTATTTTTTTTTATAAAAAATTATTTCTATTTTTTTTATTTTCTTTTCAGATACCCACCTTCACATCCGCCACCACATGGCGGTTATGGTAATCATCCTTATCCTAATTATGGTTATGGTATGCCACCAAATGGTGTTGGTGGACCACCACCACCGGGTATGGGTGGTGGTTATGGTGGTGGTGCTGGCCGCGCTCCTAATATTGGTGATCCACGATATAATCATTCAGCCGGCGGAGGCGGCGGCGAATGGTCAAGAGAATATCCACCAGATGCATATAGAAGAAGCGGTGGTGGTCCGCCCGGTACCCCAGTTTCTTCAAGTGCTAGCAGTAGTGACCGAAGACCGCCGCCATCATCTCAAACATAATAATAATTGGCAAAAACGAATAAGACTAGGCACACACTCACACAAATACACCCCAGACTCTGAACTTCTAGAATTCTTGCATTCTTACCGTACGATACTACATTTTTTAAATATTATTCTCTGCTAGGATGTTTAGATTGAGAGAGAGAAAACAATTCATGTAATTAAAAAAAATCATTTCTAAACACTCCATATGTACATTTCTTGAATTAAAAAAAATCTATTTCATTTATATATACAAATTCATAATTATTTTTTGTTTGCCAAAAAAACTTTTTTTTTTTGATACATATTTTTTGTGTATTTAAATTTATATATATAAAAAACATGTATGTAAGAAGTATGTATGTTTAGAAATGTATAATCTTAAAACAACAATACACACATGTATGTATATTGTTGTGTTAGTAGCCAATCAATCAACCACACATACACACATCTCCATATTAGATTTTTTCATTCATTAGATTTTTTTTAATTTTAAAAATGTTCTCAAGTGTTTTTTTTTTCATTTTTTTTATTTAGATCTACTTTTAAGAATTGTAGTCATCACAGCCAACCCAAAACCCAACCATTCATCCCGCTTCCTTTCTTCTCCTCTTATGCTTGAATTTTACCGAGTTTGTTCAGTCCTCCCTTCCTACCACCCTACCTGTATGGGATTCAAATTTACTTGCTGTAGTATACACACACACATTTACATGTATAAGTTTTTATTTCAACACATTAATCTCTAGGTTCTTTATTATTATTATTTTCTTAATGTATTTTTTTATATATATAAACAAACATATATATACATAAAACAAATGTAATAATATTCTTATAAACAAACAAACTACATAATACTGTATAAAGTATATTTTTTAAGTTTAAGCTAAGGAAATTTCTATTAAATATAAACAACAACAACAACCCACATTACATATATATATATATTAAAAGAAAAAAACAGACCCCAATTTATTTATAAAAAATTAAAAATAATAACAATTAAACAAATTCCAAATTGGAATTTTTAAATTTATTGCTTAATATTAATTATAATTATAAAATAATAATATAAATAAAACAACAAAGAGAAATTAAAAAAAAAAATACAAAAACAAAAAATAAAGGAATATCATTTTTTGGGATTGTCCATAAAAAAATAAATATGCGTTTAATTTCTATCTATAAAAAAAATATTTAAAAAATCCACGCCTTAGGTAGAGCCCGAAAAAAAATTATTTAAAAAATCCAGGCCCTGTGTAGAATCCACGCATTGTGTAGACCTTGAAAAAATTATTTAGAAAATCCACGCTTTATGTAGAGCCCGAAAAAAAAATGTTTTAAAAATCATCGCCTTATATGGAGCTCGAAAAAATTATTTAAAAAATCCACGCCTTATGAAGAGCCCGAAAAAAATTATTTAAAAAATCCACGCCTTATGGATTTTCATAGACGAACTCTAGATGAGAGCTTTTTTTATAGACCACCTCCAGAGGCAGCCTTTCCTTATATATGAGCTCTAGAGGAAGTCTTTTTCATAGACAAACTTTAGAGGTAACCATTATAGGGAGGATTCTTTCATAGACGAGTTCGAGAGGGAGTCTTTATAGCTGAGCTCTAAAGGGAGTCTCCTTACAGATAAGTTCTAGAGGTAGTCTTTCTCATAGACGAGCTCTAGAGGGAGCCTTTTTCTTAGACGAACTCTAGATGGAGTTTTTTTTTTATAGATGAGCTCTAGAGGGAGTCTTTTTTATAGACAAGCGCCAGAGGTAGTAGTTTTTATAGACCAGCTCTAGAGGGAGTATTTTTCATAGACGAACTCTAGATGAGAGCCTTTTTTATAGACCACCTCTTGAGGGAGTCTTTGTAAGCGAGCTTTAATGGGAGTCTTTATAGAGGAGCTCTAGAGGGAGTCTTTTTCATAAACGAACTCGAGATGAGAGCCTTTTTATAAACTTTTCATAGGCGAGCTCTAGAGGGAGTCTTTTACATAGACGAACTCTAGAGGGAGTCTTTTTATAGATGAGCTCTAGAGGGCGTATTGTAGACGAGATCTAGAGGGAGTCTTTATAGAGGAGCTCTATGAGCTCATAGACGAACTCTAGATGAGATCATTTTTTATAGACGAACTCAAGATGAGAGTCTTTTTCATAGACGAGCTATAGATGGAGGCTTTATTATAGACGAACTCTAGAGGGAGTTTTTTTTCATAGACGAGTTCTAGAGGTAGTCTTTTTCAAAGGCGAGCTCTAGAGGAAGTCATTTTCTTTAGTCTGCTCTTGTCAGTTTCATAGACGAGATCTAGAGGATGTCTGTGTAAACGAGTTTTACTGGGAGTCTTTATAGAGGAGCTCTAGAGGGAGTCATTTTTGTAGAACTTGAGAGTCTTAGACTAGAGGGAGTCTTTATAGAGGAGCTTTATAAATCTAGAGGGAGTTATTTGGTAGACGAGGTCTAGAGGCAGTCCTTTATAGACGAGCTCTTTGTCATAGACGAGGTCTATAATGTTTTAATGGACCATCTCAAAGTGTAGATGTATAGATCTAGAATGTTTTTAGGCTCTTTAGAGATTTTTTAGAAGTTTTTAATAGACGAGGCCTAGAGTGTCTTTGTAAAGAAGAGGTCTAGAAGGAGCCTTAATTTATTTTTATAGGCGAATTCATAGGCGGACTTTTAAAGGTCTTCCTACATAGACGAGATCTTGAGTGAGACATTTTATGCTCTATGGGAGTGGGAGTCTTATTATTTATTTTTTTTTTTTAATTTTATATTAAAAACTTTTAATATTTTTTTTTGTTGTGTTAATAAAAAATATTTTTTTAATGAAAAATTATTTTTTTTAATAAAAAAATATTTTATTAAAAAAAATATATATTTGTATATTAAAAAAATGTAAATAATTTTATTTTAGAGTTTTATTAAAAAAAACTTGGTATTTGTGCTCTCTGTATTGTTTACAGATAAATTAATTTAAAAAAAAATAATTGTTAATTAAAATAGTAATAATACGAACAAAATGACGTAAAACGAAAGTTATTAGAAACTAAAATACATAATGGCACGAAACATGCATACAAAAAATGAAAATTCGAGTACAAAAACATTAACATAAATATTAAAACGAAAATTAAATTTGTCACTGGTTGTGTGAAAAAAAAATTAAATGATTCCATCATTCCTCTTTCAATTCTTACTCTCCCTGACCCTTCTTGGCGGACCAATGTAAATAATTAGGCTGTGTAGCTGCCTCATATTCCTGTACCAAACAATCGACAACATCTCGCGAATCATCCAATTCGGAAAGGTCATCCTTAAAGATATCCTCTCGACGAAATTGATCCAAGAAAGCTCCACGCTTTTTGAGTTTATCATATTGTCCAAGAGCACGCTCGAACAGAGAGCAAATACTTGTATGATTGGCCAACATAAGACCGGATACACGATGGCTACTCTGAACATAGGGTGAGGAACGAGACAAGGCGACTTGAATACTGGCCGGACCCCAGGGTATAAATTGTGCCAGTTTACGTTCTCGTATGCGCTGCAACGATTTGTGCACCTGGGTGGGGTCAACTTCACCCTGGATTATATTCAAAATGGATATGTAACAATGGTGATTGGTTTTATCAGGGCCCGTGGAGACCATCATATTTTTCGGTTGCAATAGGCGACGCATAACATCCAACACCGTGGTTTTGCGTACATTAACCGTTTGCTGCAATGGAAGGAAAATTCAAAATTTCAAAAAATGTTCAAAATATGCTAAAAAAGGTCCCCACTTACATCATTATCTGTCGTCAGCGGAGTATAACCGGTCATCAGGAAATGCAGCTGCGGTGTGGGTATCAATGGAGCCGTCAATCCTATCAAATTGTTGTTCATATACGAAGGATAACGCAGGGTGGTAGTGCTAACCGACATAATTGTCGATACCAAAGTGTTGATTTGTGAAAAACTTGGGTTCTGTATGTGCAAACGATCGGTGGCAATACGATTTAGGGCGGTGTTATCCAAAACGACCACACAATCAGCACAGCTGGTCAAACGTCGCAACGTTAGTAGTGAATTATAGGGTTGTACCACAACATCACTTATTTCATCTTGATTGGGAAAGACACTATAGGTTTGTATCAGCTTTTTGGGGAAACGATCCGATAAACGTTCCATAATATAAGAACCCATCCCAGAGCCAGTGCCACCAGCAATCGAATGGCATAATACAAAACCCTCCAACGAATCACTGCCATCTGCTTCACGATCTATAATGTCGAAGACCTCTTCTTGCAGTTTTTCACCTTGACTATAACCGGAGGCCCAATTGTTGCCAGCACCGCCACCATGTTTCGAGAGATAGACATTTTCGGGATTGTACAACTAAAAAAAAAACACAATTTTGTAATAAAATAATTTTTTGTTAGTTGTATGTCCCCTCCTACCTTGGCATAGGGACTACTCATAATGGTGTGTATAACACGAGGCTCCAAATCCAATAACACCGCCCTTGGTATATAGTGATCATCGTCGGCCTGATAAAAGAACACATCTTTCCTATCGACACCATCAGTGGCAAAATCTTCTAAAACACCATTTGGCGAAATGCCATGTTCCAAACACAGGCGCTTCCAAAATTCAAAACCAACTAAAATTATAAAAAAATAATTAGCAGGAATTAAGTCATCCCATCTCCTTTTCATTAAGAATTTTTTTTTGTTTACTTTGATTTCCACACTGCCCCAATTGTAGCGTAATTATTTCGCTTGGCATTGTCCTTCCAAACTGTATCTGGCTATATCCACGGCAAGTGTTGTTGTTCCTTTTTTTGACCGATATAAATTTAAAAACTATGGCATTGGCTTTGCATTTAATTTGCCAAATTGCTCCAGCTGCTGTCATGTCATGAAAGACAACGGCATTTATCGATAACATTTATCGTTCTCTCATGATGGTATCTCTCTCTCACACATCGAATTTGGCGCTTTTTTCTACATTTATTTTGGTAACTATTCCACTTTTAGATGAGCAAACAAATGAAGTTGTTGTTATTTTTAAAAATTAAATTAATTTTAGTTTATTTTTAATTATTTCTTGTTTTAAAAAGCCCCCAATAATGTCCATTAAATGAAACTCTGCTGATTGTAAGTGAGGGATTCATAAATCGTTTTTCGTCTAATCGATATATTGTTGTTTGCCAATTGTCACAGTGTCAATTATCGATCTATGTATCCCTAAGCAGCGAGCAGCAGCAACAATTTCACAATCAACAAAAGCGGAGGGGAGGTTTATTTCTGTTGTTTTCTTTTTTTTACAAGACAATTGTGTTGAAAGCATTTATTTTATTTTTTATTATTAAATTTTAAACAATTAATTATCTGCATAAACATAAAGCAACAACAACAATGCCTATTGACAACAATGAAGATGCCATCAAAACTTTTGTTGTATTCGATTTGGAAACAAATGGCCTGCCCAATGAACAATTCAATACCTGTTCCATTACGGAACTTAGCATGTATGCATTTTCGACCGATTGCCTTAACAGGGATAATGTCCAACAGGATATAAAGGAGACTGGAAAAAAATTGCGAAGAGATGAACTAATGGATGGTATTGCATGTTTAGATGATGGTGATACTGCGATTGAAATACCAGAACTGCCCAGAGTTTTGCATAAATTAACTCTAATGATCAATCCCATGCGAATGATATTTCCTGAATCGGAGAGAATAACTGGTAAGTGGGAATTTATATACAAAATAATGTAGACACAATAGAAAAAACTCGAACATATAAAGGAGCAGCTCTGAATTGTTTAACACCTGCAAATCTGGGCCTAATCAGATCGTTATCTGTAATGTGGTAAATTGGCACATCAGTAGTTTTCTGACTTCACCTTATCATCACATATATGTATATGTAATATTGTGGTTTTTGTTGCATTACATTACGAAAATTGAAAGCAAACATTCTCCTTGGATATGATAAGTTGAATAAACAACTAATTTTTATATGTATATACTTTTCCAGGTCTCAGCAACGATATGCTGTGCAATGAGGCACCATTTAATAAAACTACCGCCAATTGTGTATTGGCTTTTTTGAGGCGTTTGGAAAAGCCAATATGTTTTGTGGCTCACAATGGTTGGAAATTTGATTATCCCATCATTAAATATGTTTTCGAAAAGAACGAAAAGGTAATACAATAATTTCAAAACTATTTTTAATAATAATTAATATTATTTTTATATTACAGAGCATACCCTCAACCATCTATTGTGTTGATTCATTTCAAGCCTTTATTGAAATGGATGAAAAACAAGAAGATATTAAAAATCTAAATATGAAGCCTCTGGACGAATTAACACCGCTTGCTTCCGATTTGAGTCAGCAATCAACAACAAGTGTCGATGAGCAGAATAATGAATCAAATCCATTATTAGAAAATGATAAAATTGATTGGCAAGCGGTCAATGAAATAACGCCTCAGCGTAAAACAAAAGCTGTCAAACGCAAACTATGTGATGATGACAGTGATACTCCCGAGTCATCGAAGAAATCTCCTCATAAGGCAGGGGTATCATTTAAATCGCGCCGTAAATTATTTTCAAAACCATTTCAACCCAAATTCAAATATCCACCCAAGGATAAATTTAAGTTGGGTAACATTTATGAACGTGTCTTCGGGAAACCACCCACAGATTTACATCGTGCCGAATCGGATGTTATGATATTAACGAAACTTATTCTACATTATGGTTTGGATTTTTTGGCATATGCCGAAGAGCGTAAGGTATCATTTGATGAGGTCAACAGATTGGGAGAAATTTCATAATTATATATTTTTTTAATATCGAAGTTACACAGAAACTGTGTACTCAAATATTTTATTTTTTTTTCCTAATTATTGTGATACAAAAAAAATTTTGTGCATGCTCAATTGTTTTAAACTATAATCTCTTCTTTTTTGAAAATTTTGTTTATTTTCTTTCAAATTATGTTTTTAACAAAAACAAAATATTTATATATATTTTAAAATATATGATTTTTATACATTTTTTAAATATTTTTAAAGAGTGTTTTATTTTTAAAACATGTTCTTAGGTGGATATTCCTCTGGCGCCTCAGCTTTAGAGTATATCCGTACGTTTTTTTTTTTACTTCTTATCCACTGGAATTGGAATTTTTGTCACGGTCTGTAGAAAGGTGATTTTTTGTAAAATAAAAATATATTTTTCCTCTTATTACTTCCTCTCCTTCCTAACTCAACATTTTTCAAGAAAGAACTTTCATCAAGATCATGGCCTATAAATATATATTAATAGATCTTGATCAATATATACTGCCTTGTACAATACTTGTCTAGTGTAAATCGTTGCAAAGAGAAATCGATTGATACATTAGACGAAAGTCGATCTATATATTCCTAATCTATTGCTTTGCAAAACAAGAGCTGGCGCCATTGTGAATGACAACAATAAAATTAAATGTATGTATGTTTACGAGCACGTATTTTAAAACTTGTACATATTTCTGTATATAATTTACTTATTAACAGTTAAGTGTGTCAATACAAAGTGCTATTTTTCTATTTGCTTTGAAAAGTAGTTTAATCGTTTCGACGAAAAACGATCTATAGATCCCTAATGTTCTGTGCTTTGCGTGGTTTTATATTTGTCGGGATCGGGATCGGTGTTGAGAGTTTCTCTCTCTTGAGAGAGTAATTAGAGTTGCGCTATTTTTAATTTTGTAACAAGCGTACTTTTTGTTCACAAAAACTGACATGTACCAAAACAAAAATTATATTTTTTATTATGAATACATTTACGCTTAAATTATAACATATAATGTGTGTAAATACAATAGTGCTATTTTATGATTTATTATCATTTGAAGTAGAATTTTAGGTATCTTTTTTGTTCCTACCTGTGGCAATGTTTTCCAACACAATTCACAATTTACCACTGAGAGAGAGAGAGACTCTCAACACCGATCCCGATCCCGGCAAATATAAAACCACGCTTTGCAAAAAGTCAAATGGCAATGTGTTTGTGTGTGTGGTGCAATTTAAATTGTTTTTGTTTGCTTGTTGGGGCAAACGAACGTGTTTGGATTTGTTTGTTACCGGCGTTTTTTTTTTGTTCTTTCTTGAAAGTGAAAAGTAAGTGAAGGTAGCACTTGGAGAGGAATATATATATATATATATATTAACGGATAACTGAAGGCAAATCCAATAAAACTAAACATAAAGGAGATTTCTTCGAAACTGCCTGCCTAAAATTCCAAACAAAAAGGGCGAACTGCCTGTGTTCTGAGAATAAGCAACTTTGCCTCACGGAAGATTCCCATTTAAGTTCCTAAAACCCGGTATGTAGGCTATCAAACCATATAATGTTGAAAAAAGATTTACATGTTTTTGTTGCTATTTTCAGGGTCATATTTTTTACCCTCTAGGTTTAATTTATATGGAAAATGGACGATAGCAGTCAATTGCCTTTGGTGGATCAATGTAAGCCCACGTTTAATTTCGATAAAATATATTTGTTCAATAATTGCCTCATCTTCCAGCATCTATGTCCCTATCCCTGGTAGATGATGATTCCATATTGAACAACAATGTAAAATACAGTCAATTGGAAATGAGTTTACCCGTCGAAGAGACTATTACTGGGGAAGTGGAAGACACCAGTATGGCTGGTGTAAAATTAAGCATTACCATGGATGAGGAGGAAAAGAATATGCTGACAACAAAACCAAAGGGTAGAAATGTACGCAGCGATACACTTCTTGAGAATATTTGTTATGGCATGGCCAAAGAAAAGACCAAAAACAAGGCGAGTATGGAAAATGAGAAAAGTTTGGAGGGAGGAGGAGGAAGGGGAGGTAATAATAAATCCATGCCGGATGAACTAGAAGATATTAGTATTAACCGAACGAAAGGAAATGAAACCAGCAAAGTGGAGGATGAAACAACTGGAAGTGTTCTAGATGAAAACGATGAAGAGGAAGAAGAGGATAGTATTATACCGGTAGACGAAGATGATGAGGACGAGGAGGGGGATTGTGAAGAAAGTACATTACAAAATACCACCAACTTAGAAAATACAAAATCCGATGCCAGCAAAAATATGTTTCAACATTTACAACCTCAAGATAAAACACAGGATGACAAAGAAGACAAAAAGAAGAAGGAAATTACTGCCATTGATATGGAGGAATCCATGGAAGTGGAAAATGATGTAACTGATATTGTGGAACAAAGTGTAGATATACCCCAAGAATCTTATGTTGAAGATGATGATCCTTCACAATTACTACCCGATGAAAATGGTTACTTTAAATATCCTCTCGTTGAGTTGGGTAGACGTCTATGGCCATCGACGGAACAAAAACAATGTTATACCAAGGGATGTCTATGGTCACCGGATGGTACATGTTTATTGGTGCCTGTGCATATGGATGGTAGGTTGAAAAAATCGAAACTAAATTTTGGGAAAAAAAAATATTTAAAAAATTTTTAATTTTGATTTGTTTTTTTTTTCAATTTCCTTTTCTAGGTATGCATGTCCTGGAACTACCCACCGATTTGTATACCACTCAAGAATTAAATGCCAAACGAGAATTAAGTCCTTTGACTACAGCGGTTCACGTCAAGGAGGGTGGCATGGTTTATGACTGTGCCTGGTATCCATTTATGGCAAGTACAGATCCTGCTACATGCTGGTGGGTAATTTCGAATCGGTTTATTCACTTTGAATACTGATTTATATTTGTTTTTGTATTTTTCAGTTGGTTGGCCACCCGACAACATGAACCCATTCACATGTGGGATGCATTTAGTGGAGAGTTGCGTTGTTCCTATCGTGGTTATGATGATGTCGATGAGGTGGAATCAGCAATTTCAGTGGCATTCAGCAATGACGGCCAGAAAGTGGTGGGTGGATATAAGAAAAATATCAAAATTTTTGATACAAATATGTGAGTAAGGATGAGAGAATATTCCTTTCTTAAAGACTCATTAATTTTATTTTTATTTAAAAGACCAGGACGTGATTACACCTCGGTGCCGGTGAAACAAACTGTTTCCTGCTTTGCCTTCAATCAGGAAAATGATAATTGTGTAACAACTGGCTCCTGGAATAGTCACATTTATCATTATGATTTGAGAGCCCCCAAATTGGGTCCTCTATTTGTGCTAGGTGGCCATAGTGGCGGTATAACATGGCTTAAATACTCAGCCTATAATACCGATAATTGGTATTTATATAGTGGTGCGCGAAAGGATAATAAAATCCTGAAATGGGATATGCGTAATTATCAGGAACCCGTCAAGACCTATGAAAGGTCGGTGCAGACAAATCAAAGGATTTATTTTGATCTGAGTCCATTGGAAAAATGGCTGATAAGTGGTGATACCGATGGTAGTTTACGTATATGGGATGTGGATGATAAAGAGGAACCAATGGAGGTGGGTAGATTTTGAAACGGACTAGAGGTTAGAATAATTATTAATATTTCTTTTTTGTTGTTGTTGTAGATTCCCTTACATTTTGATTGTTGTAATGGTGTCAGCTTCCATCCTTCGTTACCAATAATAAGTACCAGCTCGGGTCAATATCATTTTACCGATACGAATATAGTAGCAGAGTCTGATGACAAAAAGTCCGATGGTAATTCTGCAGGGCAGAAAATTATTGATTATGAAAATTCCGTTGTATTCCTGTGGTATGGTCCATCAACGAATGTAGATTAAAATATTTAGAATGTAAGTTTTTATTTTTACTTTTGTAATTTTGTTTTTATTGCTAAGATCATGAATTGTTAAGCTGAACGAATGAAGGATACCAGAGAGAAATAAATAATTGGAATTTTTAAGAATGCCTTGAAAAAAAATTATTAACAAATCCACGACTTATGTAGACCCTCTAAAAAATTATTTTAAAAATTCACCTTGAAAAATTCATGGTGATTTTTTTTAATCCATGCCTTGCTGAGGTCCTTTAAAAGAAAACCACACAATTAACTACTTAAATCTGAAAAATCTTTTCAAAATTTTATTTTCAAAAAAAGAACAGATGAAACACTACTACTTCATTTTGCAAAAATGGGAAATTACAAAATTTACTACTTTTTTGTTGTTAAAACTCAACGACAAAAAGTTGATCTTAAAAAAGGAAAATGCACACAAAAATTAATAATAAAAAATTAAAAAAATTGACAAACATACATTTGCATGTTAATGGAATACTTTTTTTCAAGATGTATAGATGTAAATACGGATGAGTCCACACATCCTCACCTTATCCTCCCACACAATCCGGACGGATAAGATTGACTTCCAAACGCCCACACACACCACACCAACACAGACAGAGAGATACGGAGACAATTTTGACACTTTACTTAAAATCTCTTCAAGAATTCCTCGGCACAAGTACGGGCCCTAGCATTAACGGCCAGCTTCATTTCACTGATTTCCTTATCAATTTCCTCCATAAAACTGATAACGAAATCGACCAGCTTATGTTTGTACATCTGTTCTGTATGGAAGTTCGTTATCAGGAAACTAATGTCATAGCCATCGATGGGCTTGCGCCGCAGGATGATAAACGATTCGGCACGTCGCATCATGAAACGGGTGAACTTGTGACATAGGATCTTCTCGATCTCGTCCGCCTGTTTGACAGCAATACTGACACGTACCGAATTGATGGAAGGTTCGATGAGAACACGTTCACGTTCATTGCGCGATATAACAATGGGTGTGAGTATCAATTCCTTGCTGGAGCAGACTTCCACTTCGGGTTTGTTGTGACGTTCCACAACTTGGGAGGGGAAATCTTGTAAACACATTGCTGCGGTCAGGGAATGGCGTACAGCAGTTAGATATGGTTTCAATGTGGCAGCCATTGTTGTTGTTTTTTTTTCAGTCTGTATTCAATAGTTCAGTTTAGATAATTTAATAAATTTTCCGATTTATTTTTTTAATGGGGAAAAATTTAACAAAAATAAAATGATTCACTGCTAATCAGAGTGTTTACCGCAAGACAATGTCGTTCGCTCTCTCTTTCTGTCCCTCTCTTTTGATGGCTGTCATTTACAACGGCGTTATTGGCAACGCCGTTAATTGGGTGTAGTTGTACGATTTATCATCAAATTAGTGTATTAACATGTTAAACGCATTGGCAACACATGAAATTGATTTTGTTGTTGTTTTGGTTTTTTTTGATTCTCACCCATTGGGTTTTTAAGAAAAAAATTAATATTTAATAAAATATACGTGGTGTAAAAAACTCCAAAAGACGGAGAAATTAATTTCCAATTGTCGTTTGACTGTCAATTTTTTTGTTTTATGTATGGGCAACACTGTTTCATTTAACTTCATTCTTCCATTATAATAATCCTTAAAAATTGTGAATTATTATAATTTCAATCATAATTAATAATATATTAATTAAAGAAATGTGTTATTTCTGCTGTAAGTTGATAAAAAAAGATGTTTCATTTCCCGCCGATTATATTGTGAAAATCATGAAATCATGCTTCTTCTACCAATATGATTCTGTTAATCACTGAGAGGGAGAATTTTTATTTTTGTGTCGCTTTTCTTACAATTTGACAGTTTTTGAGTTGTTATAGTGATTTATTTGAATTTGGGCGTTAGCAACATTGTTTCTCTCATTTGCTTCTTCTTCAGTTGTCATTTATTGTAACGGCGCGACCGGTTTGTTGAAATTTTTCGTAGCGAATTTAATCAATTTAAATAATTATTTTGCCATGAATAAGCAATAAAAATTGCGGCCGGTTCATTGCAATGTTTCGTAGTGAATTTAATCCATTTAAATAATTATTTTGCTATAAAAAATCGTTAAGAATTGTGAATTATAAAAATATTCATTATATTTAATAATTTATTTGTGAAATAAAAGTGCTAATCAATTGTATTTTGTCAAAAAAGTTGTGTTCTATTCCCGCCATTTCTTCTGTGCAAATTCATGCAGTCGTGCTTCTTCTTTTTCAACCAATTGGATTGTGGAGAGAGTGAGAGAATCATTCTCCTAGTGTCATTTGTATTAACGGCACGGCCGGTTCATTGCAATGTTTCGTGGTGATTGTTGTCAGTTTAAATAAATATTTTGATATAAATAATCTATAAAATAATTAAATAATAAAAAGTGAAACAATAATTAATACGATTTTAATGAAATAAGTGTGTTTTAAAGTGCAAATTATTAGCAAAATGTTGTGTTCTATTCCCTTCTTTCCGTGCAAATTCATGCAATCGTGCTTCTTCTTTTTCAAACAATTGGATTGCTGAGAGAGAGTGGGAGAATCATTCTCCTAGTGTCACTTGCATTAACGGCGCGGCCGGTTCATTGCAATGTTTCGTAGTAAATTTAATCAGGTTAAATTATTATTTCGCTATAAATAATCCTCAAAAAATTATGCATTATAATAAATTGAATAATAATTAATAAAATAATAATTGAATAAAAGTGTTTTTATGTGTAAATAATTAGAAACAAATTTTGTTATATTCCCTTTAATTCTACTGTGCAAATTCATGCAATCATGCTTCTTCTTCATCCAATTGGATTGCTGAGAGAATGGGAGAATCACTCTCCTAGTATCAGTTGTATTAACGGCGCGGCCGGTTCATTGCAATGTTTCGTAGTGAATTAAATCAGTTTAAATAATGTTTTTGCTATAAATAATCATTAAAAATTGTGATTTATAAGAATTTAAATCATATTTAATAATATACGTTTTGTTCTATTAACACCAATTCTGCTGTGCATGTAAGCCATGCTTCTTCTTTTTCAACCAATTGGATTGCTGAGAGGAGAGCGATACAGGCCGATAATAATTCTCATAGTGTCAATCATATTAACGGCGCGTTCGGTCCTTTGTAATGTTTCATAGTGAATTTAATAAATTAAAATAATTATTCTGCTATATATAATTGATAAAATAGTGAAATAATAAATAAATTTAATCTAATTAAAAATATTAAAAAAATAAATGTGTTTTCAAGCGTAAATTATAAGAAAAAAGTTGCGTTTTTTGTCAGCCAAATATATTGCAGATTCATTCATGTTCTTCCTTTGCTTATGAGAGAGTGTGTTCGTGTGTGTGTCTTTTAATGAGAGAGAGTAATGAAAATGGAGTTGTTATTTATTGTAATTGATAAGCCGTAATATGTGTTGGCTTTATGTTGATAAAGTAAATATAAAATATTAAAACAAAATTAAAAAATGCAAAAAATAAATATTAATAAAAAAATAAAAGTGCCATAATGAAAAAAAATTAAATGTAATAAATTGTAAATTTGTGTTAGTCAATTTCTATTAGCCGCTCTTTAATTCCTTCCTGAATTCTTATTGGACTACATCAGCATCTTAATGGATATCATCAAAGCAAGTGGCCGGTGAATTGGTAAGTTTTTGCACTAAAAAGCAACAATTTTTTAATTTAAAAAAAAAATTAGAAAACAATTTTAAAAATTAATTAAAATATCTAAAAAAATATTTAGAATATCTAAAATAAAATTTAAAATATCTAAAAAAATATTTAATATATCTGGAAAAAAATATTTAAAATATCTAAAAATATATTTAATATATCTACGCCCTCATTTCAACACTGGAAAAAAATATTTAAGAAATCCACGCCTCATATGGACCTTGAATAAAATGATTTAAAAAGTCTACGCCTCATTTCAACTCATGAAAAAATTATTTAAAAAAATAAAATCGCGTTCTGATTTCAACCATGGAAAGAATTATTTAAAAAATCTACATTTCAAAAAATCGTTGAAAAATATATTAATAATTTCACGCCACTTAAAAATCTCCTCCTTTAAAAACTCAATACGTGGCCATGTTACTTCATTGTTTAACATATACCAACCAAACATTGCCAATTTACTACGATTATTGGCAACATTTTTCCCCCAAGGGTTGGCAACATTTGGTACTTCGAATTATAACGGTATTTGTTGTTTGTGTTTTTGTTGCTTTATTATTTATTTTGCTTTATTATAAAAATTTGCAATACTAAATTTGTATTGAAAAATCGAAAAAATGCCAAGTGAAATAATTACCTTGCAATTGGGCCAGTGTGGAAACCAAAGTAAGTAAAAATGCCCCACTGCGTAATTTTTGTTAATTGTCTTTTTATTCTTGCAGTTGGCTTTGAATTTTGGAAACGTCTGTGTCTGGAACATGGCATTTCCCCCACCGGTATGTTGGAAGAATTCACCACCGATGGCCTGGATCGTAAGGATGTGTTTTTCTATCAGGCCGATGATAATCATTATATACCAAGGGCAGTGTTATTGGATTTGGAGCCACGTGTTATTCACACCATTATGACCTCCACATATGCCAAGGTAAGTAAATGGAATTTCACTATTTAATTTAATTTTCATTAATTTTTTGTTTTTCTTACAGCTTTACAATCCCGAAAATGTCTATCTCTCGAAACATGGCGGCGGTGCTGGCAACAACTGGGCCTCTGGCTTTAGCCAAGGAGAAAAATTGCAAGAAGAAGTCTTTGATATCATAGATCGTGAAGCTGATGGCAGTGATTCGCTGGAGGGGTTTGTTTTATGTCACTCAATAGCTGGTGGTACTGGTTCGGGAATGGGTTCCTATATGTTGGAACGTCTATCGGATCGTTTCCCTAAAAAACTGCTACAAACCTATAGTGTATTTCCAAATCAAGATGAAATAAGTGATGTCGTTGTCCAACCCTACAATTCCCTACTGACACTGAAGCGCCTGACCAATTGTGCAGATTGTGTTGTGGTATTGGATAACACCGCTTTGAATCGTATTGCTTCGGATCGTCTGCATATTGAAAATCCAACTTTTACACAAATTAACACGTTGGTATCGACAATTATGTCGGTTAGCACCACGACGCTACGTTATCCTTCGTATATGAATAATAATTTGATTGGTTTGACGGCTCCCTTGATACCTACACCGCAGCTGCATTTTCTGATGACAGGGTATACTCCGCTGACGACAGATAATGATGTGAGCTATATTTGTTATATTTTTTATGGAAGTCCAAAGGGTCTAGAAAAGGCCTTTAGGTCCTCTATAAGGTATAGAAGACTTTGAGACCTTTTTATTGCCTATAGCAAACCTTGAGGTCTTCCATGGCTCACAGAAGACCGTGAGGTCTTCTATTGGTCATAGAAGACTCTATGATCTTCTATTGTTCATAGAAGACCCTAAGGCCTAAAAGGCCTTTAGGTCCTCTATAATGTATAGAAGACCCTGAGACCTTTTTTGCCTATCGGAAACTTTGAGGTCTTCTATTGCCCACATAAGACCGTGAGTGGCTCTATTGTTCATAGAAGACCCTTAGGTCTATAGTCCATAGAAAACCCTGACGTCTTCTATAGTCCATAGAAGACCCTAAGGTCTTCTATAGTCCATAGAAGACCCTGACGTCTTCTATAGTCCATAGAAGACCCTAAGGTCTTCTATTGTCCATAGAAGACCCTAAGGCCTTCTATCGTCCATAGAAGACCCTAAGGTCTTCTATAGTCCATAGAAGACCCTAAGCTGTTCTATAGTCCATAGAAGACCCTAAGGTCATCCGTAGTCCATAGAAGACCCTAAGGTCTTCCATAGTCCATAGAAGACCCTAAGGTCACCTATCGTCCATAGAAGACCGTAAGTTCTTCTAGAGGCAATAGAAGACCTTAGGGCAATAAAAGACCCTAAGGTCTTCTATTGTCCATAGAAGACCCTAAGGTCTTCTTTTGTCCATAGAAGACCCTAAGGTCTGGAAAAAGATTATTTAAAAAATCCACCCCTCATATGGACACTGCGAAAAAATTATTTAAAAAATCTAGACCTTTGAGGTCCTCTCTTGTATACAGAAGACCCCAAGATCCTCTATAGTAAATCTGAAGAGCATTTTTTAAATATATTTCTCATTCCATTAATAATTTTCCCTTTTCTTTATTTCGCCTAGACCAATGTGAATGTCCGCAAAACCACTGTCCTGGATGTCATGCGTCGCCTGTTGCAGCCTAAAAATATGATGGTCTCCTCGGGTCCGGATAAAACCAATCATCACTGTTATATATCCATATTGAATATTATACAGGTATTTATCGGATATATTAATTTTGAAAAAAATAAAATTTTAAAATTTCCTCTCCCTTAGGGTGAAGTAGACCCCACCCAGGTGCACAAATCCCTACAGCGTATACGCGAACGTAAATTGGCTCAATTCATACCCTGGGGTCCGGCCAGCATTCAAGTTGCCCTCTCACGTAGTTCACCCTATGTCCAGAGTAATCATAAAGTCTCTGGCCTGATGATGGCCAACCATACGGGTATAACATCGCTATTCAATCGTGCTCTGGCTCAATATGATAAGCTGCGTAAACGTGGAGCTTTCTTGGATCAATTTCGTCGTGAGGATATGTTTAAAGATGATCTCTCCGAATTGGATAATTCTCGTGATGTTATCGACTGTTTGGCCCAGGAATATGAGGCGGCAACGCAAAGTAATTATTTACAATGGGTTCCGAGGAATCGTGGAGAATAGGATCGAGATCTTGGAATTCTTCAGCAATTTGTCAAACCTCCTAACTAACCTTCTAAGCTAACCTTTACTTTGGATTTTGATTAATTTTATGGTCATGCTAAGCCTTGGCCATTTATGAAATAAATTACTCATGAATTGAACATACACACTCCAACATATTTATGTGTGTATTTGGTTAGCTGTGCAGCACCATGTGTTGAAGAACTGCAGCAATCCAAACGATGCTGCTACCTCTCATGTAGGCCAAACAACCAATCAACCACTAGACAAGACACCTAGTACCAAACTCATCATCATCAGTTTGGTTAATTAACATGCGTGGGTATTCAATACTATTGCTGTCAAGTAGGCCACATGTTTTGGAATTGGAAGTCTCTATTAAAACTGAAAACAAATTCCACTTCAATTTGAGAAAAATGTCATTGCAAATAATTTTCCCTTTCAATGAAGCTACGAAATGGGTGACTAATTTTCAATTAAAAATAAATTTCCTATGGAACTTAACAACCTCTTAGGAAACTCTACCCAAACTCAAGACAAGTTTCCTTTTTTGGTTATCACAATATTGAAATTCTTCTCAAGAAAATAATTTTGAATTTTTTTCAAACAAAGAATACCCTCTTCTAACCGATATGGATATCTATTAAAAAAAAATATTGTGGATATCTAAATGTTTTGTATTTTAACAATTTTTATTAAAACATTAATTTGTTAAAGTGTTCTGTTATCTCTATCTCTAGTCTGCCATTAATGAAGAAGATGTTGTGTGGTGTTTTTCATAATTTAGTTTCGCAGATTATCAGGAAGCTAATTTATAATTTTTATACCCATATTTGTGTGCAAGTATGTAGCTTCTATATTTGGTATTTGTTTCTAGAGATGGCGAATAGAAAATTAGTTTGTCTTTATGGCAATGACGTTTTTGATTAGACAAAGGCGTCTAATTGATTTGAGTGATAATTAATTTCGAATATTTAAAAAATATATATATTTTAAAATTAAATTTTCAAGAGTCTCCATATGGCGTGGATTTTTTAAATAATTTTTTTCAACATGTCCACAAGGCGTGGATTTCTTAAATATTTTTTTTTTCAACATTTACACAAGGCGTGGATTTTTTAAATAAGTCTAGTGGAGACCCTTGAAAAAATTATTTTGAAAAAATTACTTTAAAAAATCCAAGTCTAGTGGAGACCCTTGAAAAAATTATTTTGAAAAAAATTATTTAAAAAATTCACGCCTAGTGGAGACCCTTGAAAAAATTATTTAAAAAATCCACGCCTAGTGGAGACCCTTGAAAAAATTATTTAAAAAATCCACGCCTAGTGGAGACCCTTGAAAAAATTATTTAAAAAATCCACGCCTAGTGGAGACCCTTGAAAAAATTATTTAAAAAATCCACGCCTAGTGGAGACCCTTGAAAAAATTATTTAAAAAATCCACGCCTAGTGGAGACCCTTGAAAAAATTATTTAAAAAATCCACGCCTAGTGGAGACCCTTGAAAAAATTATTTAAAAAATCCACGCCTAGTGGAGACCCTTGAAAAAATTATTTAAAAAATCCACGCCTAGTGGAGACCCTTGAAAAAATTATTTAAAAAATCCACGCCTAGTGGAGACCCTTGAAAAAATTATTTAAAAAATCCACGTCTAGTGGAGACCCTTGAAAAAATTATTTAAAAAATCCACGTCTAGTGGAGACCCTTGAAAAAATTATTTAAAAAATCCACGTCTAGTGGAGACCCTTGAAAAAATTATTTAAAAAATCCACGCCTAGTGGAGACCCTTGAAAAAATTATTTAAAAAATCCACGCCTAGTGGAGACCCTTGAATAAATTATTTAAAAAATCCACGCCTAGTGGAGACCCTTGAAAAAATTATTTAAAAAAATCCACGCCTAGTGGAGACCCTTGAAAAAATTATTTAAAAAAATCCACGCCTAGTGGAGAGTCTTGAAAAAATTATTTAAAAAAATCCACGCCTAGTGGAGACCCTTGAAAAAATTATTTAAAAAATCCACGCCTAGTGGAGACCCTTGAAAAAATTATTTAAAAAATCCACGCCTAGTGGAGACCCTTGAAAAAATTATTTAAAAAATCCACGCCTTATGTACCCCTACAAAAAAAATCCACCATTGAAAAAATTATTTAAAAAATCCACGCCTTATGTACCCCTACAAAAAAAATCCACCATTGAAAAAATTATTTAAAAAATCCACGCCTTATGTACCCCTACAAAAAAATTCACCATTGAAAAAAATATTTAAAAAATCCACGCCTTATGTACCCCTACAAAAAAAAAACACCATTGAAAAAATTATTTAAAAAATCCACGCCTTATGTACCCCTACAAAAAAAAATCCACCATTGAAAAAATTATTTAAAATATCCACGCCTTATGTACCCCTACAAAAAAAAAAATCCACCATTGAAAAAATTATTTAAAAAATCCACGCCTTATGTAGGTCTCCAAAAAAGTTATTTTAAAAATCCACACCTTATGTCTTACTTGACTTAGCTGGCTTGTGACAGAACTTTCGTTCCATAACCCGAGCTTAGGAAAGATTTCCAGGCGCGGCGGTCTTTTGCGCAGTTTTTTCCAATTTGAAAGATCATATTCGGCAATGTTGTCTTCCACTTGGTCTTTCCATCTTATTCGTGGCCTTCCCCTACTGTGTGAACCATCAGCTGGTTCGCTTTTATATGCTTTTTGTGCTGGGTCATCTTCGAATTTTCTGTAAGGTAATAATATCGGCTTTGTACTTTTCGAGTACATCCGCCACATTCCAAGTGCAGATTCGCAGATTGTGGTCCTTTATACGTTTGTGGGGGTTGTCAACATTAGGGGGCTTTGGTTTTCTTTTTCTTTACTTTTTCATAGTAGGAGGGGTTTCCCAAGTGTGGACAACTAATTCGACGCCTCAACCCATTTTTTCCAAGTTCTTATGGGTGAACTCGCGGCACATATCAGCTCACTATTTCAACGGGTGATGAAAATAGCTACCACAGGTGCCACCGCAAGCAGGTCAGTATTCACAATTGAGATTAAAGAGGGATCAAGATAGGCCTGGACTTCGCCATATTAAAGCCAATCAGAGCCGTTCCTTGGTATCTATCATCCCCTACTGTTAACCAGGGATCTTACGTGGATATTGTCCGCGGAGTGATAGCACGTCTGTATATTTTGCTGTGCATCTACACACTAATTTATTGGAATAAAAAATGATCCTTAAGAACTAAATATTACAATATGACTGAACCTATCTTAGACTAATGTGTAAAAGAGAGAGAGAGAGAAAGAGAGAGTGCGTAAACCCACCTGACATAACATATGTAGTGGACACACACATTTCCTTATCTCACATGTGACCAGCAAGCTACACATGCTCATCAGTCTGTAGCGAAGATTACTCCTCGTAATTTCACCCAAACATACCGCATGCGGCAATATAAAAATCCTATCGTATTCTTGTGTACAAACATTCAACCAAAATAATCTCTTATCTCAAGTGGACTGTATACGAAAATAGATCCCTGTTTAACTAAATATTCTCTCTTCTACACAAGAGACCAACCAAAATAAAAATGATTCTGCCCGGCATTTGAATGTCACGTATCATGTGTATCGTATTTAAGTTGTTGTTGTTGTAAACGTTTTGCTACAAAGTGTGCTGAATTTAATGCCATTTTGTTTGGAATATCGGTCAGTTGGCACACGCGTTCCATCCATGTGGCGCTTTGGATTATTGCCATTAAATGGTCAATAAACCTGTCACACACAAAAAAATTATAACCTCAAAATTTCTCAGGAGCTCTTCTTCCCTCTTTGGATTATTTTACATGAACAAAAATTGGAAGACCTTGAGTTCAATTGTGTTTCAAATCTATTTCAAAAATTTAAAATTAACTTCTGTTCTTATAAATGACTCACATTAGTCCGCCGTCCATTCCACTTCCAACTGGAGCACGAGTACACCTTTCTGTGTGTGTTACAAGGAACTATGGTTTCCAGTAGCGAACGAACAACCGACCATTAATTTGAAACTTGTTGGCAATCACATTTTGAAATTTATGTGGCGTTACAATTTCCAGAAATAAAAAACATTAACAAAATAAATTATTTTGTCACAAGTCCAGTAGCAGAATAATAAGTTTAGTGGCTTTTATTTCTTGGTTCTAAATTCTGTTCTTTGTGTGTGTGTTTTTTTGTCTCTTTGGAATCCATTTGTCGTTTTTGTCCAGGTCCACATGTGAATAATGGCAGTAATATGTCCCAGCAACAATTCAACATGGACTTCTGTTTATTTTTGTTTTTCGCTTAAATTTAATGAAGTCCAATTTATTTTGTCATATCTGGGGTGGTGGCCTCTCTTTCCCCGACACTCTACACAATTCTCAATTTGAATTTGACATTACTCCCCTCTCTCTCTCTCTCTTTTGAGGTGGTGTGCTTGTATGTAATTCACTTAATTGTGTCTTTCAATTGCAAGTAGTTTTTTTGTTTTTTTGGTGAGTAATGTTTTGAATGTTGTGCTGTTGTCGGAGAGGTGGCGGGAGATCACTCAGTCACCTTGACTTTACTCCAATTTCATCAACATTTGGTAATAACTCACCAACAATAACAACAACCCAAAAATAAAATTATAACTCGTTTAATTGACATTGTCGTAATGACGACAATAAAAACTGTCTGATTACAGACCTCCGCATACACTCAGGGTGTGTGGAAGAGGTGGTGAAGAGGAGTGACACATTCCCAAAACAGAGTCATAAGGTGTTTTAGGGGAGTTCATTAAATTATGTAGGTCTCCAAAAACATTATTAAAATAAAATCCATGCCTTATTCAATAATCCTCTCGTTTTAATAGGTTTTGGGCACAGAAACGGCTGGAAATTAAATAAGGTGCTATTTGCGAAAAAAAAAATTATTTTGCTGAAAAACGATTTCTGGGCCTATGTCGATGGAAGCGATGAATGTCATGGAAACTGCAAATGCGTGCAAT